TCTTATCTTTTTCTCTGCCATACTTTTGTATAAATCCTTTTAAGTATCCATTTTCTCTTGGGCATTTCTCGAAGAAACCTAATTCTTCTTCCGCCTTGTTGGATGAACCTAGCTTCCTGGCTCTGTTGTACAAAGTCATCACTAATCCACGCTTATGGGACAAAACAGTTGTAGTGAATATATTGCCTGGTCCAGGTTTATTTTCTGTAGATGGACTTTTCGACGGTAACTTCATTTGTTCTTTCTACATTTAAATCCAGGAAAGTGAACTCATTATTATGTTCATATCCCATTGTGATTTTGATGTTTAGATGGGTCTCATTGAGGCTATCATACAATGTAGATGTGTGATCCATATCGTTGCAAACAACAAATGTATCATCAAGATATCGGCGATAGTAGGTCGTCCCATTGATGGTAAAGCTCAGTTGTATTTGTTCGCGGTAGATCATAAAGATATCAGCCAGAAGAGATCCCAGAAGTGAACCTATCAAATTATCATTAAAGTTGGTTGTTAGATTTGAATTGAATATCTTTTGTACAAGGCAGCAGTAGTCACTTCATCTCTTTTTCAGGTAATGGTAGTAGATCCGTTTGTTTACAAATGATGTCAGTAGTTTCGATCAGTTGTACGTTTGTAAACAAGGAGGTCACGTCTTACGATATCATGAGTTTGTCTGATACATCATTATTGTCTACCTCATAGGAAAACTGACAGCTATTCTTCAAGCTATGGTTTGCGAATTTTAATACAGCCGATTCGAATTTTTCTGTTTTCACTCGGATAGCTACAGGCTGAAGGACAGGAGAATGAAAGGCCTGCGATTTTATAATGGACGTAGACATTTTTTGCTTACTAGGTGAGTATGATTCGGGTACAATATCTAAACACTTATTCTATGTCTTGAATTAGGATATACACGTATTTTAATTGATACCTTTTTTCAAGTTGTCAGTTCACTGACCTATGTGATTTGTGCTTACTGGGTGAATATAATCGAACTATAATTTACTAGGTCACGACAGTGGTATTTAAGCACTGAAGTATTTACTATTATTCACCTACTTGAAATCATAGTGTTATGCTCGTTAATCATTACATATGTCCAAACCAAGTTCACTTTTAACGGTTTGATCATTTTTAAAACCCTTACATGATGTTATAAAATACTCCTACTGCCTCTGCTTCACGAAATGTGTCATCTATATTGTCTGATGTAACGGCTATATTCCAAAGAATAATACTGTCTTGTGCATTTTATGCATGGGTGCAATTTAAGCAAGGTTTTGATGATTTTGTGAAGATAATAAGTAAATTGTTCATTACTTTTTTTGGATGGATTCAGACACATCCTACCGGGTTGCTTCAAGCCGTAAAGAAGGCATATTCGGCACTATGACATCTGAGTAGATGAGGTATGAATGGACTTTTGGAGGTCATCGAGCTCCTAGAGGTGCTGGCTAGAGGAACAAAGGGTAACTTGGCTGTGCATGCATACAAGCACTCTCCTTTTTGAAGTGCGTGTGTAATGTCACCAAATGTCTTGTAGCTGTAGAAAAATAGTAACACGACGTAGGAGTAGTATAGTTTTACATTTATATTAGTCACAGTTGCTTGGGTACTATGCACAAAGCAACCATACAAAACCGTAGACAACACTATCTACCTAGGGCAAATCAAAAATCCGATTGATCACCACTATTCTAACCAATCAAAATCGAGAAAGCCAGAAGAGAGGTAAATTTAAAACGCAACAGGGTTTATCCTCACCCATTCCATATCACCGCCAATTGTAGCGTCGTCATCCATTTCTATGGTAGTTTAATGACGAGCTATATTTTTTGTATACTTTTTAAATGAAATTCTGCATCAACATGTTTCTTGAGTATGTATTGTCAGTGGCATTATATTCTTGAACTGAGTTATATTTATTACACTTTTATCAGAAAATGTCGCTTGATACTGATATCTGCGCAATGTAACGGATTAAAGGAGGTGATAGCTTCAAAAGTAAAGCTTTGGAGTTTGATGAAATCCTACTGGTTTATTTCGGTCAACTTATTGCAACGCCCTAATACCCATTGGATAAAGGTGGCGCCACTTCAAACTAGAGATATGACATATAAATTCTCACTTATTTTCCTGCACCCAACGTCTTGTCTTTTGAAAATCCAGTTGTTAGCGTCGTGTGTTCTTCACACTGTATCAGTACAGATAAACAAACTGATAGCTGCAGGTAAGATGACTGACGCTCAACTGAATTGACACATTTCTTTGGTCACTTACACAGGAGTTAATCATGTTTTCTAACAGAGGAAGAGTGTATATTGACTGTGTGTGAATCTATTGAGGATTTATTCTTAGTGTCCTTGTGTGAAGATCTCTGGTAATGACGTTGAGAGATTATTCACCCCCTTAAGTTTCTATATCACTGGTACATTTGTACAATGAAGACAGCCAAGGGTTACTATATCGTATTTCAAAGAATTTATTTCGGTCGATTACAAGTCATCAGTTGTTACGTCTGTCATCGATAGGGTGTGATCTCACACAACCACATGGTATAGTTAAATTCGTTATGATGACTGTACTGTTCGTGTCATAATTCAACTCCTTCGACTTATCTATACGCATAACTTACTACCTTTAATGCATTCAAACTATGCCAACTAATGTTGAGCATGTTAACCATGCACGGTGTTAGTCAAGCAATATTGGTGACGTAATTGTACAGTATTCTAGCGACCTCTCTATCTCAAAACAAGCAGTATCACAATGGTTGAAGTTTGGCACTCTTTTGTTTTGTTAACCACAAATTTCGTCGAAACGGGAGGAAGCTAATTCTGCACATCTTCTGCTTTCGACTTTACCTAGATTACACAGTTGCTTAGCTAGCATTTAGGGGAGGATAATCGAGAATACACAACGTTACTTTAATGAAGTTATAGCTTCTAAAATACAGTTCAAAGACAGTAGAAGTATTTTTATCGATGAGAGAGGATGTGGTTACGTAGGGTGGAACTGGACCCTTCCATATTCTTCCTGTCTTACTAAAATGTCTCTAAATATATCACAGTACTAACATCTTAACGAGAAAGCGATTGAAACTAAATATTTCTCGTTATTATATGCTGACGACTTAAGAGTCACATAGATCTTCAATTTTCGTAACACACAGTGCCTACATTCGAAACGAATCTCAACAACATCACAGATGTCTCAAAACCACGTTGTAATCTAAATAAGCCTTCAACAACTGCATTAATTTGTGCAGGATCTATGGATTTCTTAATTTATTTCATTTCGTCTATGAGATATTCCAGCCAAGATACCCCTACATTTAAAGTCTTTAGCACTGAAATCTAGTACACCCATTGTTGCTCACTAGTGACGACCAAAATTTTGAGCTAGACTGTCTTTCAATAGAGAATTTCCAGTTTGATCCCAACTTATTATCAACATCTGTGAAACATTTAGAAGTAGTTATGGGAACTTCCAGGGTTAAAAGTTGAATCTGGGTGTACTTTTGCAGGAATATTTTACGGGACTATATTATGATTGCCAAGCGAACTCCTTTCATCCGCCAGGTACACATCAACTGCCGACAGCACGTAATACATGAGTTGGGTTGCAAGGTGAATTCTGTCATTGAATACTACTCTTCATCCATAGACATTTTCGTTCAGCCACGTTTTAGAATTCTTTCGAACATATTCGTGTCGCACAATGCTCTATGTCGTCCATTGAAACTGCCATCATGAGACCACCTGAAAAATTTTATATCACTGACATAAACAGCTTCAGAATAGTTTGATTGAAACTGCCCTACATAGATGGTTACCCGGTGACCAATGATTTCATCTCAGCGTCGGAGGACAAGTAGGCGTACTATAATCATGATAATATTATCTACACCCACAATAGCGAAATGTCCACAACTGTTGTCGACATGACGTTGAGTAGATTTTAACATAAAATAAGTTACGCGATGAATCTGAGTGTACTTTGGAAGATAAATGTTTATAACTCTTATTTTGCCTCTTAAAGCGCTTTTACTTAAGTAGGATATAGTTTTCAGTATTGTGGTTAGAAGGTCGGAGCCGATCGGCAGGTAGCCTCGCACTTAGGTTTCGTGCTTGTTGTCACTCATCAGCAAGGCGTGCATCTGCGATCTTGCAGGAACTGATACTTCCTTTGAGATTTGAGCCCACATCAGCAGCGTTACTACTGAACTACTCAGGATCCCGATCGACTACCTGTGGGACTATAACTGATACTTTAATCGGTCCCTAAGTAATAACTAATGCCACGCTTCTAGTCCTTCGTTTAGTGCAGGCCAAATCGTATCAGTCTCTGACTGCAGCATTGAGTGAACCGAGTTCGAACACCAGAAGAGAACCAAATGTTGTGTTGGATTAATGCATTGTTCTTGTCATGTGAGCCATCACACTAAGGACCAGTATGCATCTGAACTAGATGAAATACCAACATGTATATCAGATCGTGAGAGCAGTGGTACAAAATGGGACTTGTAAACTCACTAAATGAGAAATCTCTTCCCTATGGATATACTTCTTACGACTGTTACCTAATAGATTTAGGTTTCTCTAATTGATGAACACAACTAGCAATCTCACTTTGAACTAATTAGTTCATTAATTGGAATTTATATGGGGTGAACTCGAAGAACCATATGAGGGAGGCGAGGATCTATTAAAAGTTTAACTGAATACTAAAATACTGGCATCAACAGTTCCTGTCTATTAAAAATTACTAACCGAAAGAATAAGGATGATTTAACAATTGTAATAATTTAAAAAACACAGATTGAGAAAATATTTAACACAACATTTCACTCAAAAAGTATACATACAATAATAATATTGAAATAAGGTGATTATATCACAACCTTTTTTGAAAAAAAAACACAAAACAAATGTTTGCCTATTTTTATGGAAGAAGAGAAAAAAAGAAGACTGACAGGAAGAAATATTTTCTTTTAAAAACCACGGAAATTAGCTACGGTATTTACAATTTTAGGTGGACGATCAGCGCATAACTTGGGGAATTGTTCTGCATCACAATTGATTAAATCACGTAATGTTTGCAGATTACTCGGAACAGTAACACCTAAATCATGGAGCATACTGAACAGATAACCTAAATGATGACAATAATAACATAAAAAAAACAACAAGAAACTGTAAACAAAAATTTTTAAGATAGAGAGCAGATATTATTACGCTATGGAACAAATATGTCTAACCTTATCTTGTATCGAAAGTTGGCTTATTGACTTTTGATTATTAGGCTGTTAAGCAACGAATGCTCCCGGTGATTACCCACTTTATCTGGACATTATGATGAACCACACTAGCCACCAACGACTTTTCAGTCCAGCTCTTGAGGTCATCCATTATCCAGTAGCCATCAGTGAGCTGGGTCTTTGTAGGGATTTAGATTAATTTCAATGTGGATTTCATCATGGGCCAACACGTCAGTCAGAGATCAGTGACAAACTCAGAATTCACAAGTCACAACTCGCTGAATGGTCAACCAGCTTGGTCTCACGACCTTGGGGGTACCGAGTTAGGGGTGTGAGTGCGCCCCACTGAAGAGTGAAGAAATAGAACTGTGTTAAGTGATATGATACGATGAGCAATATTGAGGTTAGACCTCAGTCGAGTGCTAGTTAAGGAGGAGAGGAAATCAATTGACGAGGTTGTGAAGCAACCACATCGATTGAGATGGTTAGGACATGTGTTACACATGCATGACTAGCGTAGCCATCGATCACATTTCTCGACCGACGGACAATGTTACCTGACTGACATAGGATTGATCAGGTTTGGAAAAGAGAGAGCTATTGGTGGTCCAACCAAAACATTGCTTCATCAGTCAATGAAATAAATTCCCGACAGTTAGTTCTAGCCAGCCACGTTGCGAGGTGTAGACTTCCTGGTTGGAGTCCTCGCGATGGTAAAAACCAGTAACTGTATACAACTGGTCATATGCCTCTGAATCGTTCTCAATGGCTGGAGCAGATACATTCACTCCTTGTGACTTATGATATCCAATAAAACTCTATTATCCTTCTATATTACTATTCTTTTTCCCTCAATCACACCTCTGTTTATTATCTGTCTTTTGAATTTCTCTTCACTCTCTTCTTTTGCTTTGCGTGCTACGTGGACATGAAGTGTGGCAACTCGAACTGCTGCACATCTATTCGAAGTTTTACATTTAAACCAGTCAGTCAGTTAGCAGAAATAGGATGAAACAGCTATCCAGTGTTCTCTCTGGTTTTCAATAATCTCTTCAACTGATGTCGGTTCATGACGATATCTACATTGAAATTATCATTTACGGTTGTGTGAAATAACTATGTATTTATAAATAACAGCTACTTCTGGTCATTTTGTTTCCCTGCTGAAACAATAAATCTTGACCTTCTCAATATATCTTCCATGTATGTGAATAGTATACAAGGTGTCAATCATATATTTGTCGTGTTGAAATACTGTATTTGAAGGAAATGCTTGTCTTTCCCGTTCAAAACTACTCAATTTAAAGGAACCCAGAACCTAGAAGACCTGGATTTCGCGGATGATTTATGTTTGATGTCACAGAAAATTGAAGACTTACAAGCGAAAACCGACAAACTGGTCGAAGAAGCAGCCGGCGAAGACAGTACTCCCGGTGAACATGGACAAGACGAAGGTTATGAAAATAACCAGCCAACAACAACAACAGGAGCAACATCCAACGCCAATCACCGTCAACAGGAGGGATTTCAAAGAGGTTACATCATTCACTTGTCTAGGGAGCATTCTCTCAACTACAGGAGGAACGGGCGAGGATGTCAAATCGAGCGAGAATCGGGAAGGCAGGCGAGAAACACATTCATCATCAACCTGAAATCAATCTGGAAATCTTCGTCACTCACCATCAACAATAAAATCTAGTCGGATTTTCAATACAAACGTCAAGTCAGTCAGCTCTTCTATACAGATCAGAAACTTGGCGGGTCACAAAGAATATTTCCAACAGCCTGTTGCAGACCTTTATCATCAACAACTGTCTTCGCTCTATACTGAAGATCAAATGGTCGGAAACAATCACCAACAAGAAACCATTGGAACAAACAAAAGAGGAACCATTCGCCAACCAACAAATATGCAGGAGAAAGTGGAGATGGATTGGACACTCGCTGAGGAGGCCACCGGGTGATATCGCGCCAGCGTCAGGCCATTGCCCGAGTGGAACCAGGCCGATAGGTAAACCACGAGTGGGACGTCAGTGCAAGGGTGACATGGAGGAGATCGTGTGAAGAGGAGTTGAAACAGTATGGACTAACATGGATGCATGTGAAAAGCACAGTAGAAGACAGAAGCAAGTGGAGACGTGCAGTTTTAGCCCTATGTTCCACTAGGAACGCAAGGGAACAATAACAATATCAAGTATGATCCGGTTACTTCTAAAATTAGTGATTACGATTATATGATAGCAAACAGTGTAGCTTAGTGATACTAAAGATATTTTTTGATATGTGAATGTTAGTCAGACAAATCAAAACAGCTACGACAGAGATATGAGCGGAAATTCATTGTTTCAAAGTTGAGAATCTTAGACAATTGAACACACTTCAATGAGTTCAAACAATTGTATCACTGATGCTGAGAGAATCCATGATTCAGGTCTCAGTGAGAACACCATCACTCACTTGGAATACAGGTACATGCCCAACTGAGGTATTCTGAGTGGGACGAAGCGCGCGTCCCGGATTCAACTGTTAGCAACTGACAAAAACAAATAACACCATGTTGACCTAAAGGTATCGCCGTAGCAACCATAAGAGAAGCCGACATGTCAACAGGGCCTGAACATATTGCGTTTCAATAAAATCAATGGAGAAATTCAAAATAGTAATAATAATAATAACTACATAACGCATATTATTCATTTTTAGTTCTCACTGCTAAATGAGTAATAGACTAGGATGGACACAGTTTTCCGATGCTTTATAATTTCGCAATGATTCCCTAAATGATGTTTGGTTCATGATAAAATCCATAATGAAAAGCATTTCATATTGTCATAACATTAATTATGACAGGTAACAATATTATTTCCATTTCTCTGCATTCTAAATGAGACATAGGGCCTCAAGATTCAATTGAGTGAAGTTCGTTTCACGAGCTGGAGTCGGTAGACTCACCTAGTTGCCAATATTCCCTAATTATCGTGCTTAATACCGATTTGGCGAGGTTCAGAATTGTATTGGTGGCCGGAGATCGAACCTAGACGCGCATAGTTGGCGCGAGCATTCTGCATATTGAACTACTACTATCAACGTACAAGTAGTATAATACTTCAGAAATATTTAATATTTTTAAATCACCATACCCAAGTCTACATCTAATTGTTTTAAACCATGTTTAGTGAGTAGCGGTTGGTCGTCTGCATCATTATCACTTTCATATCCGTCAACATCCTCGTCACCATTCGATTTTGAAGTTTTATTTATAGCAGATATTTTTGATTCTTTTGTTAATGGTTTCACAGCAGACTTATTCATACCAATTTGTAGGATTGTATTAATAATAAGATCACAGACATTCACAGAAATTAAATTCTCTAACCAATAGTAGACAAAGGACTCATTCGGTGTTTTAGTATTGTCTGGAGTAGATTTCATTTGATGACTAAAATTACTACTTAGTAGCCGTTTACGAGGTGTTTTTGACGTTGTTGTTGTTCCACTGGCTTCTTGTTGTTGTAATGCCGAAGATGTTGTTGGCGACACCTGCTGCTGCTGCTGTTGTTGTTGTTGTTGACTTTCGCTTATTTTATGCGATGTAATTGTATAACTAGTCTCTAAATCACCTAAATATAAACATTGTGTTAAACCGGTAGATGATAATGACGGTGGCGAATCATCAAATTGACTTCCTTCAGTTATTTCAAAACTCGTATCGCTAGTTGATAAGTACGGTTCCAACTGACCTGGTAGCATAAACAGATACTGACCAATCTGCAATGTAAATGAATGTAAAAAGATTTTTTTAATAAATACTATCCCCAATTATTCAGATTATTAATATCAATGTTTGAATCCAATTACTAGGCAAGGATGTTCCATGCAATAGACTGTGGGTTACGCTTATTCTTCTTGAAAGCTGGTGTAATAATATTCAGTCATCCTACCTTGATGGGTGAAGTAGGCTAGTAGGAGGGGACCAGAACACCAAGACGCATCAGGTGGGGAAGACTAATGATTAATTAAGTCAATATGAAACACATTATATATACTAAGGTTTAGACAAAACTACAGTTTGAATTCATGTTGTTGACAGATAACATTTCAATATCAATCATACAGTGGAACTCAGTAACCCTTTGAAATATGTAAATGAGATTCACCTCATCATATATGATAGCTTGTTGCTCAAAACTTGGTTGATAGAGAGTAAGATTCAAAAGTTATGGGTAGAAGTGAAGTGCCTATAAAAATGGACCATCGGTTTACGAAAACAACAGTCAATACGCAGACTTCAGTCAATACAACCGCCTTAAAAATATATTATTCCATCCATAATAATAATTATTATAATAAAAATAATAATGATAGTCTTAAATGCCATAAAGTCATTGAAAGCCAGCCAGAGGGTAGCAGGACTACACAGAATTGTCTCTGAAGCAATGAAAACGGATCCACATACCTCAGAGGATGTCCTCACGCTACTATAACGGAAAGTGTGTAAGAAAGCAAAGATAACTACTGACTTAAAGAAAGGTTACCTTATCAAATTACTACAAAACAAGGGTGATTAAGGTCCCTCCAAAGGCTGGAGCGAAATCATGCACGTGTACGCGCCAAGCGAAATATTATCATGTCAAGCTGCAGAAACTAAAAGATGCTCTGAATGCGAAACTTTTCCCGAAACAGAATAGATTCAAGACAGACACACTGTATATGGATTAAATTACAACGCTGAGTATCGCTGATACAAAATAGCATAGAATGGAAGTCAAATCTCAACCTCAGGTTCATTTATTTTAAAAAGGCCTTAAACAGCGTTGATTGCGAAGTAATTAGGGAACTACTCCAACGCTACAGAGTGCACAGCAGCAAACATTTATAAACCTCATTCAACAGCTATATGATGATGCCACATGACAAGTGATTCGCAACAGAGAACTCAGTGAAGCTTTTGAAGTGAAGATAGGAGTAAGACAAGGTTGTTTACTGTCACTAATAAAATCCTTACTTTTGGTGGAAGGGATCATGCGCCAAGGTGTGAGGAGCGGGAAGACATGAAAACATTGGCCCAACAGGAAGACTTTAGAAGATTTAGACACCGTGGACGATTTTTCTCTAATGTCTTACAAACTTGAAGACCTACAGGTGAAAACCAACAAGTTGGCAGAAGAAGCAGTCAGAGAAGACAGGACTTCAAGTGAACATGGAGAAGAACAAGGTGATGACAACACATGACATTTAACAACAACAACAACAACATCAAGCATCAATCACCATCAGTGTGAGGAAGTGGAAGGATGTCACCACTTTCACTTATCTGGTTAGGTAGCATCGTTTCAACTGCAGGCAGGGACACGGATGAGGATATTAAGGCAAGGATTATAAAGGCAATCTGAAGTAGGTGTGAGAATTTGCTGCACTCAATATAAAGAACAAGATTATGATTTTCAACACTAATATCAATTCACTTCTGTATGGTCTCCAGAGACTTCATGTGTCACGAAAACCCTTTCCAGCTGGTTACTGCAGACTTTTCTGAAGATCACATGACCATAATAGATTAGCAGCAACAAACCAACCAAGAACTTACTGCCCAACAAATACACCGAGAAAAATGGAGAGGTGCCAGATATACACTAACGAGACGTCAAGTGACATCATGCATCAGGTCCTCAAGTGCAACCCAAATGAAGGATAAAGAGTTTGGCATAGAGGAGATAGTGTGAGGAAGAAATGAAATCTTATCGACAAACGTTGAGTCATCAAGTTTCACTAACACCCAATTTTCTTGACCGTTTTTGTATTACGCAACTCCACCCGAAACTTGCTAATTCTCACCAGTTTAGTTAAAATAACCATAACCAATTCTATTTTTGTTTGACAAACTGAATGTACACATACGTACAAAAGAACCATCTACTATAATAATAAAAACTTTGCTGATTTTTGATGACTTAATTTTGTTTGTTTGCCTATTTCTTTAATTGCTTATAATTCCTGAATTCATTTAGAACTCTTACGTAATTTCGTATTCTCTACTTTGTTCTTATAAGTATCCTAGGTGCAACTCAATCATCAAACTATTCATATTATTATGTAACTCCATTTTAACAACTGATTGTGACAACTCATCACCCAACCTCCATTTAAAATTGAAAGTTATTATTTCCATTTGTTTCCAAGCTCATTTCTTGCACACCTGTAATTCGTTCTAATCCTGTGTAATTTTGTTTCTAAGCCTCTCGTAAGCCATACCTAGTTTAAAATAATTTTCACCTTTTATTCGCCTTCGTAATTATGTGGAATCAAATAAAAATTGTAACGATGTAAAATTATGCATTTAAATGCGATTGTACAGCTTTTGAAAATGAAATAGCTGAAAAGATATCTTTTCTGAACTTCGTGTTCTCTTCTTTCTAACATCACCTTTGTTACTACACTAGTTTCATTAACACCCAATTTTCTTGACCGTTTTTGTACTACGTAACTCCACCCAAAACCATCTAAATAAGACTGCAGAGAACAGGATGAAGTGTAGATGTGCTTTTGAAGCCCTATGTCCGACTCAGAACACAAGTTACTGATAATAATAACAATGACGATAGGTCGTCTTAATAGAACTGTTATCCAAACGGCCTTTCTGGTATAATAGGGCCAGTCGGAATATATCTCCCACCCAGTATTCCTCGTTGGATTAATTCGTTATGTGCGAGCCCGACCACCACGTCAGAGTACCAACTGAGAGGGTTAGAGCCAGATTGGGGGTAAATTAGAGTTACGTTGAGGTAAATGTCTAGTGTGAAACACCTTTTAGACGAAATCTTTTCCTCTAGTTCTAAACATCATTCACTTGTACGCTCATTCGGGTTAAGATTAGATAGTTTTCCACTGATTCTCGACATTTGAATAAGGGAAACAAGAAAACCAACTAAATCCTTCACATCATAAGCGAAGGGTATATTTCTTACAATTACAGCGCCATTAAAGTGATAATAATAATAGTATTATTATTAATAATAACACAACTTTTATTAAATTAACTTACTTGAGTGATATAATCCTGAGGTAGATACGCCATATCTGGTAGACATACTTCTCCATTATTTGGATAAGTGAACCAGATGGTTAAATCTTTTACAGGTTTTAAATAATAACGTATTGGGGCTAAAGCAACTTGACGTACAATACCAACTGTAGCACGACATAGCATAGAACTCGACTTATGAAATCCATGCAAATTAGAACGTGTTTTCAGCATTGTTGAACTGGTTAATGTCCTTTGATGATTTGTCATTTCATTTGGTGGTGGTGTTGTGAGACCAGATGAATGTGCTATAATTTTGATTGAATGTTGACATTCTGATGATTGTTTTAAAACTAATTGACGTAAGATGCAGAGAAGGATATTTGGTATACGAGAGGGCAGATTATCGGTGTTATTATTACTGCTACTATTATCATTTTTTGTACTACTGAAGGCCAGCGTATTCTTCTCTTTAGGTGTGATTATACTAATCATTAAAGGCGCAAAATAGAAAAAGAATAAATAGTTAGCGCATATCTATTTTCCAGAAAACGCTTCTCTATCTGAATATACAAGTGAGTGGGGAGGCTTCGACAGAAATACTAAAAACCCATTTTGTCCTGTTCATTGAGGTGAACCGTGATCTGAATTGAACACCGACCTAGTCTCTTTCAAAATATATTTCTGTCAGTTTACCTACAACTATGGAGCAAGTTATATCGCATGTACTCAGTGTACACCATCGAAATACGCTATCAAATATTTACCCTCCAAGTTTTACAGAAGAGGAAAACGACCCTATACAGCGATATTCTGGAATACCTGATAGATTCTAGACAGCACGAGAGCTCGTACACCAAATTCAGAGTCATTTACAGAGGAGGTGGGAATCTTGATAAAGGAATGAAAATCGATCTTGTTCAAACTGCAGAAGCCTATGTGAATTAAAATACAACAATGCCTGAACTCTGGGTACAGAAGTTTGTTCAGTTACTGAAACTAATGTCTAAACAACATTCGACCCGTGTTTGTTTTCCTTTTTCTTGTGGCAGTTCACAACCGGCGGTAAGGTCTTAATATGGGCATACAACCCCAAAACTAACTCAAAAAGATTATGTGTGACCAGAACCAAGCAGTTGTTCTCTGAGTCCTGTGGTTATGCAACACTAGTTCTCTTTCTATTTCAAGAAGAAATCAACTTCTATGGTGTGAACAGCTGGAGAGCTATAATCACCCACACCCTTCCATAACCACACAAGGCTTTCCTGATCATAACCTACCACCATCTTCATGCCTTCCACTGTAGTATTATTTCACAGATAGGTCATTCCTCTTTTCCTAACTCTGTAACCATCAGGACGGACCAGAGGCGGGAAAAGACCACTGAGACTCACTTAAAACCACGCTGCCAACTCCAAAAAGAAGCATGCATACTAGACCTAAACGTGGTTATTCACTTAACCCTGTATGACTGACACAATAAATCTGAAAAATTCACGTTACGAATGTCAGGAAATTCTTCTGCTAGCTCGTAAGCAGTTGTTAGTGTAGGAATATTATTCACTGCTAGGGTAGAAAAATCCCCACTTGACTGTACCACAGTGAGAAGTCGTGTTTGTGGTATCTCACTGAACAGATTCGTTAGAGGAAGGAAAGGTTGCCGACACCCGCCGACGTCTTATCATAATCCCAAGAAAGAGAGGAGAATGGAACAATTTAACTGACTTAAAGCCACAACCGATTACGCAGCATCTAATACGTACTTGTATGGGAGGTCGACATTGGTCTTCCAACCGTGATTAAAGTCGCAAAAAGTGTCCCTCATCTGAAACGAAGTAAAGCAAGAGTGCCTGATGGAATGAGAACAGGTGTGTTTAAGGAGATGGTGATGGATTGCTGACTAGGCTAGCTATTAGATAGTGTATGGGAATTAGGGATGGGTGTGTTAGAGTGGTGTAAATCAGTGATTATCCCAGTTTATGAAAAATGAGACGAATCTTCCTTTAATGGTTATAGTGTGTGGAGAGGGATTAGCTTAATTAATGTAATATCAAAACTTCTACGTTTTATAATCATTCGTAGATTGAGCAGTATCTCGGGAAACCAGTCGGGCTTTAGAACAGGACGTGATGTATTGATCATATCATCACTCTTCAGTAGATTCCAAGATATAGGCATACTTACCAGTGGCCAAAACCTGCCTTATTTCTTGACCTAAAGGCGGCGTTTGACTCTGTCGATTAAGGAGTATTCTAGTAATTTCAGGCTGTAAAAGAGTGCCGAGATTGGATATCATACTAATTAGGCCACTACTTGAATTCATGAAGCCATGTAGGAGTTTATGAAGAGTCTTCATCTGAAGTGATAACAATCAGTGGTGTCTTGTCAAGGATGCCCAATGTTTCCACTTCTGTATGACGTAATGAACACCTTGAATCGAAATGCACAAACATAGACTGCATATCCGTAACTACATTTCATCGAACTGCTGATATTTACGCAAACCTTTTGAGATAGTTAATAACTGCAGTAGTATTCTTTCCTTCTTGTGTAGTCTGTTGGATCATTGCAGTAGGCAATCTCAGCCAACAAATTAGGGTGACAAATATCAAACAGAATTTCAGACTACACATGTACAAAAATCTACCAGGGCACTATGTGAGCTACATGAGTTTAGGCTGATCATATGCTCTTAAGGGTGGCCACTATGGCAGATATTTTGCTGAGGACCATACAGCGCCAATTACCATCAACAGGAGGGATTTCAAAGAGGTTACATCATTCACTTGTCTAGGGAGCATTCTCTCAACTACAGGAGGAACGGGCGAGGATGTCAAATCGAGCGAGAATCGGGAAGGCAGGCGAGAAACACATTCATCATCAACCTGAAATCAATCTGGAAATCTTCGTCACTCACCATCAACAATAAAATCTAGTCGGATTTTCAATACAAACGTCAAGTCAGTCAGCTCTTCTATACAGATCAGAAACTTGGCGGGTCACAAAGAATATTTCCAACAGCCTGTTGCAGACCTTTATCATCAACAACTGTCTTCGCTCTATACTGAAGATCAAATGGTCGGAAACAATCACCAACAAGAAACCATTGGAACAAACAAAAGAGGAACCATTCGCCAACCAACAAATATGCAGGAGAAAGTGGAGATGGATTGGACACTCGCTGAGGAGGCCACCGGGTGATATCGCGCCAGCGTCAGGCCATTGCCCGAGTGGAACCAGGCCGATAGGTAAACCACGAGTGGGACGTCAGTGCAAGGGTGACATGGAGGAGATCGTGTGAAGAGGAGTTGAAACAGTATGGACTAACATGGATGCATGTGAAAAGCACAGTAGAAGACAGAAGCAAGTGGAGACGTGCAGTTTTAGCCCTATGTTCCACTAGAAACCCAAGGGAACAATAATAATAATTCTTCCAGGATAACATAAAGTCAAAGAGGAGCAGACGTTGCCTATCTCGTACAAGGGACAATCCAAATCAAATTAAAAGCTTTCAGGGAAACAGGAGCTGCAGACAGACCACAAGCCAAGTTCAACACTCAAAAACTGAAGGACCAGGCTACAAAGGACATCTTCATTGCAAACATAAGGGAAAAAGCCGAGACACAAATCAACACCAGCGAAAAGGTCAGCGTCGAAAAGCACTGGAACAACTTGAAAACGGTGTGGAGTCAAACCTGCATGGAAGTTCTAGGCAGAAAGAAGAGGCAGGACAAACAGTGGCTCACTACGGACACTTGGAAACTAATAGAAGAGAGAAGGATAGTGAAACAAAAGATTATACAGTGCACTGACGAGCAACAAAAACAGGAGCTGAATGCAAGCTACAATACACTGAACAAAAGAGTGAAGAAGAGTGCCAGGGAAGACAAAAGAAAATATTATGAAACCATAGAAAACGAAGCAGAACAAGCTGCAGGCAAAGGAGACCTCGCCACACTCTACCAAACAACTAGGAAACTATCGGGCAAAAGTTCGACACAGATTAAGCCAATAAAGGACGACAGTGGAAAGTCAATCACCAAAGAGGTGGAACAGAGAAAACACTGGGCTGAACACTTCAAACAACTTCTAAATCGTCCGCCAGCTACAACACGCCCAACAATACCAACAACGGAAGCAGAACTACCAGTGAACATTGACCCCCCGACGAAATCAGAAGTCCTGAATGCAATCAAGATGCTAAAAGCTGGAAAAGCACCAGGACCAGATGGAATCCCAGCAGAAGCTTTGAAAATAGACCCAGAGACAACAGCGGACTTGATGACGCCACTGCTGGAGAAGGTGTGGAAAGAGGGCAGAGTACCCGAGGATTGGAAGAACGGATACTTATTCAAACTTCCAAAGAAAGGAGACTTAAGTCAATGCAAAAACTGGCGTGGAATTATGCTTCTGTCCATTCCAAGCAAAGTACTAAGCCGCATCATCATCATCCTGGAGAGAATCAAACAAGCCCTAGATGAAAAACTTCGACCGGAACAGGCCGGATTCAGGAGAAACAAATCATGTATTGATCAAATCATCACACCGATCATCGTTGAACAAAGCTTGAAATGGCAGCCAGCTCTCTATCTCAACTTCATCAACTTTGGAAAGGCCTTCGACAGCGTCGATCGAGAGGTCATTTGGCAACTACTTCGCTACTACGGGGTCCCATCGACAATTATACATCTCACTCAACAGTTATACGACAATGCTGCATGCCAAGTAATCCACAACGGGAAACTTACAGAAGCCTTTGAAGTGAGGACGGGAGTGAGACAAGGCTGCCTACTATCACCAATGATCTTCCTGATTGCAGTAGACTGGATAATGCGACAGACAACGGCAACCAACGAGGGAACAGGCATAAGATGGAATCACACAAAAGACTTGGAGGATCTGGACTTCGCCGATGATATATGTCTGATTACCCACAAACTGGAAGATATGCAAGTGAAAAGCAACAAGTTGGCAGAAGAAGCATCAAAGATAGGACTTCAAGTGAACATAGATAAAACAGAGGTGATGAAGATTCCTAGCCAACATCAACAGCAACAACAGACAACAATCAGCATAAATGGGAGGAACCTGAAAGAAACAACCTCCTTCACCTACCCATCTGGGAAGCATCGTTTCAACTACAGGCGGAACTGACGAAGATACCAAAGCCAGAATCGGAAAAGCAAGACAAGCTCTCATTACTCTCAAATCTGTGTGCAGGAGGTCAACAGCACTCACCACCAAAAATAAGATCCGGATTTTCAACTCCAATGTAAAGTCAGTGCTACTATACGGATCAGAGACTTGGCGAGTCATAAAGAGCATCTCAAACAAACTTCAGACCTTCATTAACAGCTGTCTTCGCTCAATACTCAAGATCAGATGGCCAGAAAAGATCAACAACAGCGATCTCTGGCAGTGAGCGAACCAATTGTGAAACAAATATGCAGGAAGAAATGGAGATGGATTGGCTGGCCATACTCTGAGGAAACCATCAAGTGACATCACTAGACAAGCCCTCGAGTGGAACCCGAAAGAGAGGCGGCGAGTTGGTCGTCAGTGCAAGGGTGACTTGGAGGAGGTCATGCGAGGAGGAGATGAAAGCATGTGGACAGACCTGGAGCAGGGTGAAAAAGTTGTCATAAAACAGAAGGCAATGGAGGTGTGCAGCTGAATCCCTATGTTCCTCTAGGAATTAAAGGATATAATAATAATAATGTGCAAATGGAGAATTCAGTGTAAGCTTTTTGAATTTTTGAGGTCAGTATATAACCTTTTTTTCACATATACATAATTTGCTACCAAATACTGACGTGTCCTATCATTATAATAGTATTCACCCTAAATGAAATAAAAGAGATTTGGAAGAATGAAGAAAAGAGGCCACCGTTGTTGTCTCTTACACCAAACGTCACCCCGCTTCCCCCCCACACACACGCAGGTAGATAGATGGATAGAGAGGAAAACAAATGAGCAAATGGTGAATAAACTTACTTCTCATCAGCATTTAAAATTTGTGACAGCCAATCTGTACATTTTGACATGGCATATTCGACAAAAGTATCAGACTGTGAGCTTAAATCACCTAGAGAAAAGAAAACAAAGTCATATGAAACGTATTAGGAGCAAATAAGTATAAAAAGTGAGAACATAATCTCTTTTCAATGCAACCAGACACATGTTAATATAAGATGGTTGAAGGCAGTCGACAGAAAGCCTTGTCTGACCTAGGTTTCGTGTTAGTTGGCACTCAAGAGTCAGCAAAAAGTATCTGCAACCTTGAAGGAACTCATATCTTTTCTGAGATTCAAACCGGGGTCACCCAGCGCTGCAGTCAGAGATGTTATCACTGAGCTATTCAGAATCGTGATTAACCTCCTGTAGAACAACATTGGGTACTTTGATCGGACACTAGTTAGTAACTAGTGTAGTGTATCTGGATTCTATTAGTCAAGTCTCTGACTGCAGCACTGGGTGATGGGGGTCCGAATCTCAGTAGGAACATGAGTTCCTTCAAGGATACAGACACGCCTCGCTGATTGGTGAGTGCCGACTAGTACGAAACCTAGGTCAAACAGGGCTTTGTGCCGATTACCTCCAACCATCTAATACCAACAATTCAAAGTGGACCGTGATAGCGAGCCACCTAGAATGCTGACCACATTGCAAACTTGACTGATAGAATTCAGTTTGCAGCAGACAAAGGACGAGACACAACACACTAGTTATTAACTAGTGTGCATTTACACCTTGTGATTTATGATATCCAATAAAACTCTATAATCCTTCCATATTACTGTTCTTTTTCCCTCAATCACACTTCTGTTTATTATGTCCTTTGAATCTTTGTTTACACTCTTCGCTTGTTTTGTGTGGTACGTGGACATGGAATGTGACAACTCGAAGTGCTGCACATCTGTTCAAAGTTCTGTGTTGAAAACAGTCAGTTGGCTTTACTTACTCAGAGTTAGCTCTCAAAACGTATCATCGAACATTTATCCTGATGGCTTTACAAAGGAGAAAAATAGATCCCACCATCCATTTCTTTTCTGGAATACCTGATCAATTTAGGGTACTGAACGAACCTAGAACAAAGCAACTTTACAGTCATCTATAGAGTACGCGGAAATGTTCACCAAAAGAGTACAAATCACACTCCTTCAAACGACAGAAGCTATGATAATCAACATGCTGAGAATGATATTAAGGAGACCAATAACTCTTCACCTAGACGCCTCTTCTTGTATACATTTTTAAAATAAATATAATTAAATTTTATTAATTTCTTTACTTACCTGTTAAATGTGCAAATTTTATTACCCACATAAAGCCGTAGGCTTGATTATAACCCAAATCAGAATCAGATTTAACTAACTGTTTTTCAATCCAATTATTCCATACCATCCATTTAGCAATAAGTGAATCCCAATAGGACTATTAAAAAAGCAAAGTAAAATGGAGTGAATAGCAAACATAACAAAACATAATGAATGTTGTAAGGCATATGTATGTACAATGACTTCACGAGGGAGTATAACAGGGTACGACCTCTACTGAGAGGAAAACACAACATAAGCTAAAATGAAATGAATGGATGTTTTTCTTTTCTTTGGGTCCCAACTGTGGAATAGAGTGCTTCAAGCTTTGAGGTAGGTGAGATTGCTGGCCCCATCTAGTCCAGCCACTTCTTTTTCTGGGCTTACTACCGGCTAGTAAACAAGGCCTGTGGCCTCTCCCTCCTATGGCTTTCAGCCACAACTTGGAATAGTTATCTCTCCTGTTAACACCGGATAACTGTATTATTTTTATTTGTACTACTAACTTTATTATCAACATCATACTGTGTGTTATAGTTTCATAATTCAATAGTATCATTATATTATCTCATTACTATGTGACAAGAGTTATTTTCCCCTGTATTCCTACTAGTATACACATTCTACTTGATTATATTTGATTCTACTGAGCTTGATTGTTTCAAATGTCTGTGACTAATATTTCATTGTGTAACTGTAAGGCCTGATGAGAATTTTATTGAAAATACATAGTTGTTTAAATTATCTTGAATCATTATCGTAATGGAAATATTTATAATATTAATAAAAAAGGAAAAATTAAACCGTTCACCTCTTAACACATACATGAATAATATCCAGTATGAATGGTGTACTTATAGCACCAGTTGCTTCAAAACACAAGTTAATTGCATCACAAAATAAACCCAGAGATCGACTGACAACATCTTCATTCAACTTTTTCCATACATCAGATAGATTGTTGCCGACTGTCTAAAAGAAGGGAGGGGGGGGGCGTGGGGAGAAAGACAAAACAGCAAACGAGATTACAAAGAAAAAGGAAAATTTAAAGTTGAGAAACAACTGCCAACAATGAAACTATTGATATGATCATTAACAGCTCACACAGCTGATTCAAATAAGCGAAACAGCCGTCCAGTGTTCAGAGATCACTCCAATCTCGCTGGTTGGCAGACACTACTTGGTTGGTGATGTGAGTTATATTCAACTAACCCACAAGAACCAATCAGTAGTACATACCATCATGTCATCTAGGAGGTAGATATGGCTCACTGATTCATTGGAACTCAGTTTCCACCTAACGTGTTCTGTGATCGAATCCCGCTACACCTAGCGCCATGAGCCTTCGCAAACTAAGTGTGACTCATAATCAAAAACATGTGAAATCTATCCCGCCTTATTTGAGAATGAAATCCAACATGTAGTAGTCACCCCTGATGAGTACAAACTATGACAACCAAAACCACCGTCATGTGTTTACATATTATTTAGATTTGGTAAGCAAGCACTATTGGTTGATATGGATGGTTGTATCAAACTACTCATATCAATCAATTAGTAGTGTATAACTGGAAACTGCGGTGTATACACCCATCACACACCCACACACGAAAACGTAGAATCATAATTTTTGCATATGGAATAACTATATTAAGTATCATATTTCATAACAAACTAAGGATGAATGCAGAATACAGAATCAACAATAAACAAAAATATGTAGTACGATCTTATACTTTTGTTCTGGAGGGTTCTATAAAATTAATGATTTAATTATTTATGATTAAAAACAATTAGTTTACTGATTACACAATCAATCAGCTTAATTTAACTTTCTAAAAGATTACATTGTGTTATTAAAATGAAATTGGAATTACTGACTGAGTTTCAAGACAGGACTTTGCATAAGTAGAAGTGCCACAGCAACATTCCATATGTCACGCAAACATTGAGAAGAGAAAAGGAAAACTCAAAAAGAACTATAATGGACAGAAGTATAATACTGGAGAAATAGCAGTGACACGGAAAAAATCTGGGGACTTAATGGATCTTGAGGATTACAATAACAGTGAATGCATCTAAGCCATTGGGACAGATCTTCAGCTATATCATCAATAGTCTCCAACCAGTGGTTCTTAGAGTCTCGAAGATGTCAACTAGGCACGTCTACACCACTTCCCTATATGTGGCTAACTTAAAACATAGTCAAAGAATTCATAGATTTATGTTAGGTTTTGAATTGGCTACCTATTTCTCCTGTCCAGGATAATTCTATGTCAACCAACTTTGCTCGATGACGAAGGTGATGCCTCGTTATGCTTAACACGTATCCTAAGCACCCCAATCAATGTAACCCTACAACCCCATCAAGAGATTTTTCTTTGTCACCTAACACTATGCTTAACTTAAATATTACTCAACATATTATACCACTTAATACGGGATATAGAATTCAAACAAACATGTAGTCAAAGACAGCTAGTCTCTTCAGTTCTTCCACTTTCAAAGAACACATCTCACACCCAAAAAGATGGACGGAACGAAATGCTGCTCAGTGCATACATCCTTTCATCGATTAGTAGATAATGCAAGATGGCAAGTGTCAAGTGACACTTCTGTATCCATGCTGAGATTTCCATAAATAAGTGCGATCAACACGCTCAACTTGGAGTTCGTGAAGACCAACCCTGCAGCATCACCTCACATTTGACCATAGTGAGTCGTATGTCAAGCATTCCAGGATTTCCTTTCAAGATGTTCAGAAGGCTATGCATTTTTTCAACGTCTTCACCGAGAAGGACAATACAATCCACATACTCTACATCAACAAGACTGTTACCTGCAAATAAATTAATCCTTAGGTCACCGAAAGAGTTAAGAATTGGGGTTAACTGTCTTAAAAGCTACATGTCATAATGTGCAAGCAACTGCCACATGATATTGGTTAGCATTCAACGGGAAAGTGATTCGTTGCCTGACGACGATCTCCACCCTAAGTGAATGGGACCAAAAGTCAGAGACTTTATGGATTGACGCAATATAAATACTGTTCTTAGATGACATAGTTAAAATAAGCATAATTCCTATTATTCTGTCAATGCAATTGTTTATTGTAGGATATTTATTTCTGGGGATATCTCAGACACAAGGAGAGTTAGTGTTGTGTGACCGCAGAGCTCAGCGGATAACTGCTCAAGGCCGGTAATATACAGTCTGTTTGAATTGGTTTTTCGAGTCACGTCCATATTAAGACTGCCGCCGGATACGGATCTCCTCACAGTAAGTCGGGATGCACAATTTTCGAGATCAACCTTTTCCAGCTGCCTCCAACCAGTTTCCAGAACGGAGTGGCAGCATAACTGGCATGGTGTGAATCTGAGAGAAACACCATACTGCTACACTATGACGGTGACTGGTTTTAGTCAAATTGAACTCCAAATGACATTGCTGGAATTGTAGGGTAGAACATAGAGGAACATTAGCTCCAGTCAGTGGTTTTTGGATATGAAAACCCGACCACCTCGCCAAGGTAGTAACTACCAGTCGAGGATTAGTCCATAAAGTCTTTCACGGTTAGTTTGAGCCATATTAAGAGGTGTAGGCTGATCGGTTGCAGCTCTCGAGGTGATAAGCACCAACAGCTAGGGAATATTGATGATGTGGCTCAGAATCTTTCACAAGGCCGCAGAGGCAAACCGTCATGCTTTTCCATGTTACTATTCTTCCTCTGATACATTTTTGATGACGCTGAGGCATCTATAAAAATGCACCATACACAAAAATGAGGTCGATTAATATCGACTAGTAGATATATCAAGGGGGAATCCCAAGGATAAACAAATTGATATCAATGAAGATTTCGCCAACAAATAAATTCAGTTAGAGATCATTGGACATATGTTTCGTCCTGCTACGAAATCTTCATCAGGGAACACACCCACGATCCTACACGGGATCGGGCCCATAACCTTCAAGTTAAGAGATCAAGTTCGTTGACTAAACGGCCAATTGGGTTGGGATTCAATGACCCGTGAATTCTTTGAACTATGCCAACTTGTTATATAGCGCTTTCCTGAACCACTGACTCAGATAAGCACCTACTTCATCTGGACGTGCTGGGGGACCACACTGACCACGACTTCTCCGTCTAGCTTCAGGACATCCAGTTAGTATTCATCAATGAGCTGGAAATCAATATTTATATGGTTGGTTTTTGTAGGGATTTGGATTAATTTCAGTGGAAATTTCATCATGGGACACAACACATCACAGACCATTGAAAACCAGGAAGCCACTGGACTACTGTTGGCTCAAGACGAAATGAACATCGAAATTAATCCAAATTCCGAGCGAAAACCCATAATTTGAATAACTAATAATTGTTAGACCAAAAGCACAAGAGGTGGCTATCATAGTCTAGTGGTCACTACGCTTCGGGGTTTGAAGTCTCACTGGGATAGGAGGCGATGGGGTGGAAATAATCACAAACTGGGAGTAATAAAGTCCAGTTAGTGAGTCCTCAATGGGAAGAAACAAATGCGCGTCCCGGATCTCACTACTAGTCGCCACTAAACAGGGAAATAATTGAGACAATAATAAATGTAAAACACCTATTATTATCCTCTAAATTAAGCTATCTGCACATAGCTGAGGCATTAGCTAATCGAGATTTGAAACCGGACCTCTGCATTCATACATACATTCTCTCCCTCTACCGTGGCCAGAGTAAAGTTCTTACTATAATTTTGCTTCTTTCTCTTATTATGTAAGTTCACTATTATTATTAATACTATTATTTTAATATCATTATTACTCCCATCATGCACATTTTATTACCACTTTATTACTGCTTATTATTAACACGCAGATTTTATATAAAAACATTATCACCTTTCCACTAGTTCCTGTACATTCTACACGAATTTATTGATTAGTCATTATCTCACACTTATTACGTAACGACAACTTCTATCTCTTTTCTAACTTACAAATGGTCATCTTTTCTGCCACCTTACATTATACAATACAGTTTTCAAGGACAAAGTATACCAGTATCTGATTGATCTTAAAATTTCTTTGTTTAACATAATTGCGATTGTACAGCTCATGAAAAGGAATCGTCGAAAAGAAAATTTTATTCGCTGTTTGTGCCTTTTTCTTATGACTGTAAATTTCTGATCATATTACATATTTAGCAGCTTACAAATTCGAAAACGACAAAAAGAAAGAATACTCCACTAAAACAAAGTTATGAGTCATTTGACTGTCTGACTGTTTTCAACACAGAACTTTGAACAGATGTGCAGCACTTCGAGTTGTCACATTCCATGTCCACGTACCACACAAAACAAGCGAAGAGTGTAAACAAAGATTCAAAGGACATAATAAACAGAAGTGTGATTGAGGGAAAAAGAACAGTAATATGGAAGGATTATAGAGTTTTATTGGATATCATAAATCACAAGGTGTGAATGCATCTAAGCCAGCCATTGACAACGAATTCGAGCTATATCACCAAATGTCTCCAGCCTTCATTTGTGTTTACGAAATCGAGGAGCCCAACCGACCAGCCAACCAGTGTACACCTCCCTACGTGGCTGTCTTAAACTAGCTGTTGTGAATTTCATTGATTGATGAAACCATGTTTTGGTTGGACCACCAATAGATCTCTCTTTTCCAACTTGATCAATCCTATTTCTGTGTGATCGATGGCTACGCTAGGCAGGCATGCATAACACATGTCTTAATCATCTCAATCAATGTGGTAGCTTCACAACTTCTTCAATTGATTTCCTCTCCTCCTTAACTAGCACTCGACTGAGGTCTAACCTCAATATTGCTCATCGTATTATACCACTTAACAGGGGAGATATAACGCAGGCACCTATGATCAAAGGCAACTAGCCAGGCTTCTCCACGTCTTCTGCTCTCACGCCTTGCTAACAGCCATAAAGCAGGACGGAGAGACCTGCTGCTGAGCAGTACACACGCTCTTTGGTCAACAGCCAGTCGGATATCGCGTCTACTAAGCCAGAGATGTCATAAGTTTGCGTATGCTAAACGAACCTTCTGTATTCGTGCCGAGATTTCGTCAGCGATCAACCCGCTGGAGCCGGCTAATGCAACTTCCCAAATAAGTGAAGTGGTCAACACGCCCCACCAACCACTTCACTCCAAACTGTCTTTAAGCTAAAAGTCAGTCAATGTAGTTCAGTCATGTAGCATTACCATCTTACATTGGACAGTAGGAGTTCTATGTTGAATCCAGACAGACAGACAGGAGTGAATCGCATGCCGATCAACGGAAGACTGCTTCTCAGCTCAAGGTTTTCAAAAGACTGCACTTTGTCAGCGTCTTCACATAGGTGACAGGACTGTATCATCTGCATATTCAAAGTGAACGAGTTTATTTCATGGTAACAAGTCAATCCCCGAGTCGCTGAAATCAGTTAGAATTAAATGTGTAAGTACATCTACGATGAAATTAAAGAGAAATGGGGACAGCGGACATCTCTGACGGACACCACTAATCGTCACCACTTCAGATGACAACTCGTCGTAAGCTCTTACCTGGCTGCATAAGTTCGAGTAGAGTGCTTTGATAGATGCAGTGTACTTTCTCCGCATTTTCTTCACAACCAAACACCGCCATAGTACCTCTCAGTCGACGGAATCGAATTCCGCTTTCACGTCAAGAAGTCATGAGTCATTTGAAAAGGACAAAAAAAGCAAAACCAAAATGACAGAAAACTTACAATATTCAATTTATTCAACTCTTGATCAAACTGTTGACGTATATGCTTAGCAAATAATTCGGGTAGACCTATAAATGGATTGATCATTGTTTGAATGAGTCGAGTGAAAGCATTTTTGAAATTTTCAACAAAATTATCTTTGACCTTCTTATGATGACTATCACTGTCATTATTATCAAAACTATTCACATCACTGGAGCATTGATTATTCCGCATAATATCTAAAGAAGGAAAAAAAGAATGGTAAGCCAAAACGATCGGGACTAATACAGATATATTAACACAAGGATAAGAAAATGCCTGTAAGTAAGCAGTTAGTCAGTCAAGGTGACAGTAAGGAAAGATAATTATGTAATTTATGAAGATGTCTAGAAGAAGAATGGAAACCGTCCAGCTTAGAGAACAAAATCATACAAAAAACATCTACTACTATTATTTTGTTGTCTACTCTCAGAATTTATTTCCTATATCTTTAAGATAATTCTGTTGTGAACATTGTTTCCAAATTTGTGAGTTTCCCACTGTTTCATACTGATTGTTAAAAGTCATTAAACTGATCAATGAATTCAGATGGCCAGAAAGAATAAGCGCCAGGGAACTTTGATGGGTACAGGGACTAATGAAGAGCCTATCACCCAGGAAATAAGCAGAGAGAAATAGGCACTGACACGACTACTGAGTGATATCACACACTAGTCATACCCTCACATGTGGAACCTGAATGGAGAAAGACCATTTGGGCCCGAGGGGTGTGATATGCAGAATATCGTGTAAGGAGATAGTGAGAGCTTATAGGTAATTGCGGCGCCATTTAAAGAAGACAGAAGAAAACAGAGTAAGGTAGTAGTGTGATGCTGGAGCCTTATTTTCCACTAAGAACCCACAGGTCAGATAACAATAGTAAGAATAATATTCACTAAACATTTTTAGGAGTAAGTTCTAAGAAATCATACGAACTGCCAGTCAAGAAGTGTTTGTCTCCTTTACTCAGTCATATAAATGGAAATTCAGGTATTCAAGGAATTATGTTACATTTAAATTTTGATCAAATTAGCATTAATTTTCAACTTAATACGACTCACGATTGTATAGTGTACATTACAACATACGATTAACTGGCACTTTTCCATCGAACTTAGTCGACGGATGGTATTCACAGCCTAGCTAAGTGACTTTCCTATTTTATTTTTATAATTCGAAAATTAATATCGCTGAAGATCTCTGGTCGCATTGAACTTTAGTGGTTAACTGTTTATCTAGCAGTCGTCACAAGACTGCAGATAAAACAAACAAATGGAATCTGGTCAAAACGCTCATCAGAGGAACGCACGATTATTGGAAATAACCTTATGGAAAATAGATATCCCCAAAAAGTTCATTTCAAAATATAGAAGTGAAAAGCCTACACTGACACTGGAAACAGTTGAAAAGAAACCAGACTTTTAGCGTATAAAGCCGAATAAGTATCCACAAGAGAACATTTCTCACCACCAAACTAATTCCGCTTTACAACAAGTTATCCTAGTTAACTCAGTCAAAAGTAGATAAGTATCCTGCTCATTTGAATTTCAGCTGCACTTAGCAATTCGTTTGCATTTGAAGGAGCAAGTTCATAGGAGAGATTGAGAGGAGAGTGCCTACTAGATTTTCTGAGGATATCCCTAAACGCCTCTTCATGCAAGGTGGCGAAGTGTTTTCAAGTGCAATTTTTGCATACAATCATATTCTACTGATTCATATGAATGGTATGCACCTACTCATTTCGCTCAATCAGTAGCATATAGTTTTGTGCACATATGCTTGCTTTCTTGATTACCAAGTAGATCACATATTGAACTCTCCACCATATTATGTATAAATTCCTTCTGTTGTTAGATCTTATATTCCCTCTCTAGTCTATCCTTGTTTCTGAACTCTAAAGACAAATTATACTATAAGTAATTAACCTTTTAATGATGCATAATTTTTCCACTTAAATCATTTTTGAATAGTGTTGTTTATATTTTATTTCCATAACTCGCCTAACAAACACCCCAAACAAAATGGAGATGCAACGCAAATACGCTGGAGAGACCATTCAGTGATATCACACACCAGGCCTTTGAATGGGACGCTAGTGGAAATAGAAGAGTTGGGCGTGGGTCCGAGGGTGACATGGAGATCTTGTTAGGAGAGGATCACAGCTTATGGTCAACACTTGCATATATATATATATATATATATATATATATATATATAATGTTTCGCTAATGAAGTCTTTATTTTTAAACGACACGGACCAGTCTTGTCCTCGAATCTCTTCTTGGGACCTTAGCATCAAAAGATATTGAGGAAAGACAAAAGCGTATTCGATCTTCCTTCAAATTGCCTGTTGCATTTCTTAGCATCATTATTACATGAACAGGCATATCAATAACTGTGATACCGCGGTTGTGTATATAACTTTTAGATTTTCTTTAAACATATACACTTCACTAATTCAGCATCCTTTATTTTATAATGCTAAAAATATCTTTCAGATTTCAATATGATCTTTTCGATGACACAAATAGCATTAAAAAATATAGTAAGACCGCAGGTACTACTGATTGACTGATACAAGTAGTCGTATCGATACATAAGCAGCAATGATTATCGGTCGAAGAAAGGTGTAAAAAAACTTGATTGTTACAACATCAAAAACAAAGCACGAATAGAAAAACAACAAAGACCCAAAAGGAATGCAGACAACACCTACCAGAATAAATTGGAACTAGAAGTTCTTCAAAACAATGTAAACATTTTACAGTTACCTAAAAAGAAAAAAAATAGAATGAATATATTATGTATAAAATATTTAACTAAAATGTGTTATGAAGAACAATAAAGATAGTTCAGCGAAGAAAATCTCCCTTATTGAAGAAATCATATTCAGAGGCTGTACAGTCGTATTTTATCTACCAAAATTGTGTAGTAGCCCATTATTAAGTAATAGGGAGAGGGTTGACACAATTGATATAATTACTATCTTTATCTTCATGACTTAGTGGGTATTTTCGGTGATTTATAATATGTACTAGTTTCAAATTTGACCACGGACTGATATCAGTTAGGGAGCCATCGAAGAATGGGGAGTACTAGACAACTATTTCGTCGTAGTTCTCGATTCTTAAGTAAAACGCGCTCATAACCCCACCGCGGATCGAATCCGGGACCTTGAGCTTACCAGCAGAGCTCTCTGATCATTCAGGCACTGGGATGAAATGTTACGCACAGTGACAAAGGTGAGAATATATGGGCCTTTGGATTCTACCCAAGTAGCGGAGTGATCTAAGAATTTGGTTTGTAACATGAAAGTACTGGGTCCGCTATCCAGTGAGTGGGATCATCTGTCTGTTTTCGACATAGAACTTTGCACAAATGTGCGGAAGTTCAAGTCGCCACACTCCGTGTAGCACGCGAAGCAAGAGAAGAAAGTACAAGAAAAGCATAATAGAGACAGTGAGCAGAGGTGTGAGACAAAGGAGGAGTAATAACGAAGAACAAAACAGTTTCATTGGAGATCATAAGTCACAAGGAGTGGATGCATCTGCGCCACTGAGAACGATTTTGAGCCATATCACCAATTGTTTCCAACCATAGATTTTAACCGTCCCGAGGTAAAAAGAATTATGGTTGCATACTGTCAACGGGTTCCAAACTATGAAGAAACAGCTGTCCAGTACTCCGTGAAGGTTTCCAGTGATTCTCTTATTGATGTCAATCCATGATCAAATTTGAAGCAAATCAAATCCCTATAAACTAACACTTGAAAATACCATGTGTCATTCAAGAGCGATAATAATAGAATTGTGAGATTGTGTATACTACTGAATAGCTGATATAATCTCACATCAAACAGTAGTGATTACTACTCACTTAAGAAAAGCCTTATATTATTCGTCTGTTATTTTATGGGTCTATCTAATGATTAAGCTCTTATACATATGTCTTACTTCAAAATTAAACTAAATGCATTGGAATTATTTCGGCTTGCAAACTGTTCAACTATCTGTAGTAACGATCACAGTAATATACACACAGTGCTCATATATCTAATGAGAATCATAATCAGTAGCATAAATATGTCACCCTTTTCGATAAAAAAAGCAAACAACATTGTTATTGAACCAAACTCTCGACTTCCAACTACTCATACCAGTCAATCAGTAGTATATACCATCATGTGTTTACCCTTATATTCTTCATTGCACTTTAAAAAAGATCAATTTTGTTGATGAGGCCTCCAGTTTCACACACACGGAAGTATCGGGACTTAACTCACAAACAAGTAGGAGATGTACGAACATTTGGTTTAACAGTCTACGGTTCGGGATAGCCAGACTTTGAATACCATATATTTATTTATTTATGCATAATCATTCTATGAGGGTCTATGTGGTCACTTCGCTGTAAAGGCGAGGCAGTTTAGTAAATGTTAACTAGAAAGTGGAATCCTAGCTGCTATACACACACTAGGGTTGTCATGTGAAGGGAGTCACCAGTGAATATCTTCAGCATGTCCCGTACTCGTGTCATGTCTGTTTTCACTAGCGCCCACCTTACAAGAGGAATGCTCATGCTCAACCTATAAGGCATTATGCATTTGTAAGACTTGCTTGTGATGGTTGCCATAAACCACTGAGATGGCTTGGTAATGCACTACTTGTGAAGTAAATCGTGAGGAAGTTGGGGACGGACAGTGGAGAGGAGGAGGGGAAGAGTTGGATTACATCAGCCGTTTAACGGCAGTGTTAAAAGGATGCATGGTATGAGGTGTTCGTTTTCATTATAAAAAAGAGTTTCATACATTTGGTTCCCTTGATAAATTTCGATAAAGAAAGGAAGACGAAATTTGCAGTATAAAATGATATCATTCTATTTCACAGGTTTAAATTGATGATGAAAACTTAAACTAAAAACATTGTAATGCTTTCATTTAAATGTGTCAATTTTATAGTATCTCTTCTCTACCACCACTCAAACATTAAAGCATGTTATTATCATCCATATAACCATTGTAATTTCAGGTAGTCTGCAACTGATGAGAACCTGTGAAATAGAATGATATCATTTTATACTGCAAATTTCGTCTTCCTTTCTTTATCGAAAAAAGAGTTTGTTTGCTCGGTTCGAAATACCAAATCAGCTGATAGTCCACTGACACAGTGGTCAATCCCACAAGATATTGACTCTTCAACTGGAAATTGGCCTAGAAATTACCGTAAAATGCTTATTACACAGACATTGTGATTTAAATCATTTCGGTTTCCAAAGGAAAATAAGGTGAAATTTAGATGCAGTGTATAACCAGTTGCTCACTGAAGTAGCTAATCAGAATTCAGCTGGTTTGAACCAATTGATTCGACTGTCTAAGCTTAGTCACACTGGATACACATCAGTGATGAGGAGCTCGATCTGGAATGTGCGAGGCGACCGCCCGGTGGTTAGATATCACTTGGTTGATGATGTAAGTGATATATTCTTTTTTATTTACAGCCTGATTCCACACTGTATTTTTAGTACAAGTATGGAATTTTCAGCATGGATATCGGTAGCCCAAATTTTGCAGGCCAACCATAGATATCAGTCGTGCGTCGACAGGGGTTCGAACCTCAGATCATGTGGATGGTCGGCGAGAGTCCTAACCACTGTGCCACCATCCAACTACCCGTATCACTCAGTTAGCCAATCACAGTAGCATATGAAAATGTTGTTATTGTATACATATGTAATAAAATGAACAATCAAGTTCTTACCCGGAACAAACATCCAAGTGAATAATAATCAGATATTGAATTAGTAAATTTTTGAAATGATTTAAGCGATTCCAGTGATTCAGTAAAATCTACAAGTATTCCAATCGGATAAGATGGTCGAGTCGAATTTTGTTCTTTTTGTGGTGCCGTAAATAATTTGGCACCTAACTGTATCAATAAACAAAATAAAAGATATAAGACAAGGAAAATAAAAATAAAATAGAAAACAAGCAACAACTGTAAAAGTCATTAGACGAATTTATTATGCAGCTGATAAGTAGCTCATCAACACAACAATGGGGGTAATGCAAGTAGTAGATAAAGATAAGATATTGATTCTCACTAAATCAAAATGTGTATATCGATTTCCATGTGTTTGTGTAAGCAAATATATTGGGCGTACGGAAAGATGTCTTTCGACTCACGTTGCTGAATACTGCCCCAATCGGCTTTTTAGTGATCATGATGGCATTCCAAGGACCTCAATGGCACAACATTTATTGGATTGTGGTCATACGGTGAGGTTGAGCAAAAGCTTTGTAGTTATTAATAAGCAAGGTAGTAAAAAGTGCTGTTGACTTTGCCGTAACTTGTGAAGTCAAACTAAAGAAGCCGAATCTCTGTATAAAAAAGGAGACACTAGTTATCTTAAATCTGCCTTGGTCGCATACTTTTATTTTACCTTTATAGTTTTACCTCCCTTCCCTCTTTTCTTTACAACCTTCTTAAACTACTGTTATTATTTTTTCTCAAGATTTCTGCAGATCGAAAAATCAAAGTTGAGTATTATTATTAGTGAGTAGTGTTCAAACTATCTTATGATTTTAGATCACAGATATGTTTATTGTTGTATGATTGACATATGTTAGACTCATTTATTGGTTTTCAGAAAGGTTCCTTGTTGTCACAGTGTCCATGTGTTTGAAAGTATTTAACTTTAGAAAATTTATATAAATTACAATGTTTGTAGAGGAATATTCAGCTGACGAGTTCTACTGAAATTCATGAACTTAAATTTATTACGGCAAAGAAATGCTTTCAAAAATAAAAATAATCAATTATGATTACCTTCACTCCTTTTACAATAATAACAACACAAAGTAGTACGACTAGTACATAACCATCGCAATGGATAAAGTAGATAACTCGCCTAAAGCACTTGACTTTCAGTCTGTATGGGTAGATGGCGTCGGTGGCACAGCAGTAAAATTCTCGCCAACAACGCATGTGGTCCGGGATTCGAACCCTGGCCGACGCCACTCCTTTATCTCGCCTACCAGTAATAAGACTGTTAAAGAGGAAAAGTCGGGGATGAGACTAGCAACCTCATCCCGTAAAAATAAACACCACTGCTACTGAAAATTCAAGCCTCTAAGCTTGAAGCACTATGTTCCACTGGGGAAAATAGGTGATGGATTCGCGTCTTGAACCACTTCAGCCTAATTGGGTGGATTAAATGGGTATAATTTCATAAGCTCTTGATCAATAAGTGTCAGGCTTATAGTCTAAAAACCTCATTTAGTTGGTAGTAACTTCAGATAAAATAGGTGAGATTAGGCTAAGACCCCGTGAAAACGAGTGACACTGTAACAGTAGAATACGAAAGACTTAGTAAAGGAATGCTTATTTACAAATCGGTATTCCTATATAGCAAAATTATGTACACCTTATCTTCAAGGCACCATTTGCACAGATCTTTTGTGGTGTGCTACTTCTGCCGTTCCTTTATATTGTGTTTCTTTGTATTCCTTTCACGTCTCCCACGTATCTCCGCAACGCTGTATCATTTGCTTTCTCTGACATCAAATGTATCTCCTCTCTGCTTGGTGTTTTTATGGTCATGAACATCTCTTTATATACTACTGATAAATATTATCAGTAGGGAACGTCACAACATCAGAGCTAATAAAACTTCAAAGCTCAGGCTCGAAGCACTATGGTTCCACTTGATTTACAAAGGAATAGAATAAAAATACTAAAAAATGTTATCATGCTTATTTAACTTTCGATTATGTCATTCACTCAGTAATCCACTAATCATTTATATTACTCACCTGACCTTTGAAGAAAATAATTATTAATGCATAGAAATATATTATATTCTTGATAGTAGTTGATGAATTTTTATCATTCTCAGAAACTGTTGATGACAAATAATTCATCTTTGTTGATTTCTCGACTCCAATTAAATTAGATGGATATGCAGATAAATCTTGAACAAGTGATGTTAACAAGATTGTATCTGTTGTTGTCGCCGCCGTTGTTGTTAGTGTGGCTGATTCTGTTATTGTTTGGGACATGCTGCGATTCCAAAAACTTGTCAACTGATCCTGTAAAGAAAAAAAGATTGAAAACCATGTATTTAGACATAATAAAAAGACAGGTATTTCTAGAATATAACATATACAACTCACTTATTGAATTGAATTTTTGATTTTCCCGTCGATTGATTGGACCGAAGTGCTCGGTCTCAGGTTGACATGTCGGCTGGGTTCGAGCCTCAGTGAGAACATCATCACTCACTGAGAAATGCAGGTACATCCAGCTGACGAGTCCCAAATAGGACGAAATGCGCATCCTGGATTCCACTGCTAGCCACCATCCACCAATTGTATATACAACTCACCTCTATATTTATATTACATAATTAAAACTCAGTTGCTTCAGATAGATTCCTCATTCTATACACTTATATCTTGGCCGAGTTAAAGTACAGCGGCCAAAAAGTGCGAACACCCCAGTGACCTTGAACGCCTACTAGTTGTTCCATAACGGGGCTTCACCATTATTATGGCGACAATGTGAATGCCATTCACGAATTAAGGCGTATATTTCAGCTCTAAACGTTTTTACGCACTATTTGGGCAATGTGTTCGGGTTAGGATTAGGGTTACAATTAGGATTGGTATTATTTTATTTTAATTAGTTTTATTATCCACATTTTCCTATTCAGTGGTCGTTGATCCTCTTACTGGGGATCATAGTAATTCGATTGAGGGCTTTTCGGGAAGACTGCAGGACAGTGTAAGAGTGGTAAACGAGTCACAAGAAAAGCTCATCTTCAGTTACCTCGGTGAATACTTAAAAACTGATACTCCTCGTTATAACTGGGAGCTATTTCGAAGTCATGCCAGAGAAAAATATCCTGTTTCATGTGTCTTATCATCATACTTTATATTTCATTTGTAAATAAACTTCATTTTTACGCAGAAACCATTGTATTTCCTGATGGGTTGGCCCAGTAGTAATAGTAGTTAGTACATGCGAGCGAGATTTAAGCGATCTAAACACCTAACAGCCACTTCACTCATTTAGATAAGAGCTACTTGTCACCAATGACTCAGCTCAAAGAGCTGAATATCAGTTTGCTCAAACCACCTGTTTTGCAGCTGGTGAGTGATATACAGCTGCTAATCATCTCAATCAGTCAGTAGTACGTAATTCTATGCATTTAAAACTATTATTATTATTATTATTGTTAGAAAAACAAGACAGACGCATGAAATCTGTATGTTACTTTAGAATGTAGTCAGACAACTTACTTTCAGCCAATTAGTATAATATTTTTTAGCAGCATTTTCACGTCCAATACGATATAATAAATTTAGTAAATGATTCGTTTTCCTTAAACATTTACGATAATCATTCAATGGTTGTACAGATGTCAATGTCTTTGTCGTGGCTGTTGGCAGTAATGTCAGCGATGGTAGTGACGTATAATAATCACTTCCATGGTCGTTGTTTTCGTCATCACCGCCTCCATTATTCATCATCATATGTATATTTTGCATTATTATTGAATTCAATTCATCCAAGGATTGAATTAATTGTGGTGCAATTAAACTTTCTAAATTGTTTTTATATTTGTCAACAGCTTTGACACGTTCTTCATAGTCGTTCACATAGATCAATGAAATCTAAAGAAGACAAACAAAGAAATAAGAAGAATTTCATTTCACATTAGCATACACATACATAGATGTAGAGTTCTAGTGAGAAGTCGTAACCCAAAGAGTCGACCAATTCAAGTAAAGGGACAGTTATTTATCGATGACATTGGCTGATGGTTCCAATAGTCAGTTATTAGTGAAGATTCGATTAAAACCAAACCCCTACAAGGCAACAATTGAAAATTAATCTACGTTGGATACTCATCCAATGTGAGTGGGGTCATGGATACATACTGTTGAAAGGTTCCAGCCCAGGAGGAAACACGTGTCCAGTGGTCATTAGTTTTCGGTGATTCTCTCTCTCTCTCTCTCTCTCTCTAAGTGATTTCAGTTCATGAACTAAGGTTAAACCCAGCAAATCTTTGCAGAACAACACTTGAAAACATAATATTTGATTGAAATTAACATAAAAAATTCATTAGTAAACACTTAAACATTTTCTTATTACAACAGACAAACTTTTTGACAAAGAAAGTGAGATATCTAATCGGTACACGGGTCAGTCAGAGTTAAGTATGCATTAAGTTTGACTGTAAGTTAGTATAGCTAGCGATCAATAAATTTCGTACTCTTTAAAACTCCTGCTACCTTGAACCAGAGCCATATAAGGCTTCAAAGCTTTCGAAGTTTCAGTAGTGATGGTATTGTCTTTGACGAGGTGAAGTGTTGCGAGCCTAAAATTCAATCTTCCTTCTTTTCCACATTTACTATTAGCTACACGAGGCCTAGTAGTGAGCTGGTGGCTGGGAATCGAAACCGTACTGTGTGTATAGTTGGCGAGCATTCTAGCATTCGTTCAAGTAAAACTAGAAAATCGAAAATGTGAAATAAGACATCTTTGATTTCGGACAGAAGGTTTACAGGGAAGGAAAGTGAACTGCTGTCTGGTAAGAAGGTTATCTGTCAAGTTCCAAAAGAAAGATCATTTAAGTCTATGCAAAGACTGGCATTGAATCGATCTCGTGTGCATACAAAGCAAAATATTAAACAGTAACATGTTTAGATGCAAAATCACATGCCCAGCAGGCTGAATTCAGGAAAAACAAGCCACAGTAGAATCAAATAGCAACATTACGCGTCATCATCATCGAAAACAGCTGAAAATGGTAGTCAACTCTTCGCCTCTGTTTCATTAACTGAGAAGGTCTCTCGATAGCGATGATTGGGAAGCAATTTGGTAGCTCCTTTAAACACTATGAAGTGAACTGCTGTGATTATTTATAAACCTCATTCAACAACTAGGTGCTAAGCCACAAGTCGAGTGATTTACAACAGGAAACTCATGGAAGTTTTTCAAATGGATACAGGAGTAAAATACAACTGCCTACTATCACCTATCATTGTGGCGAACTAAGTCATGAGTGAGAAGATAGGCATATGTTGGACTCACGAAATGATATAAGATCTGAACTCCGCGGACAATTTACGTTTAGTGTTACATTACCCCAAAGATGTAGAAGCGAAAACTAACAAGTTGGTGGAAGAAACGGAGCAAACAGAATTTCCAGTAGGTATGGAGAAGATAGACACGATGAACATATTCGCAGAACAACAAGCATCAATCACCGTGAATGGAGGGAAATCTAAAGGAAGTCATCTCCTTCCCTGACCTGACTGTGCATCATCGTTTTAACTACAGGTGGTAGAGACGAGGAGGCCAAAGGCAGGATCAGAAATGCTAAACACCCCTTTATTACTCTGAAATCAATGTCAAGATCTACAGCTTTCAGCATTAAAAATACAATCAGAATTTTCAACACTAATGCCAGTTCAGCATTTAAATATGATTCACAGACTTGGTTCGTCACAAAAAGCATGTCCAACAAGTTGCTGAAAACTTTCTTCAACACGTGTTTTCACTTGATCAGATGATCAGCGAGAAATTATCGGAAACGTGGAACTCCAACATGTAGAGAACAAGCCAAGAACCACTTTACCAACAAACATGCAGAAAGAAATAAAGATGGGTTGGCCTTCCAGTGGAACTCATATGGGAAACAAGTAAGGCATGGGTCCGACGGTAATATGTGGTTGTTTATGTGAAGAGGACATGAAACCCTGTGGTCATTCGGCAATCCAACTTAAAGTGATACCAGAAAATCAGGTGGAATGGAGATATGCTCCTGAAGTAAAGTTCCGCTAGAAACCCAACAGATGAATAACAATAATAATAACAACTTATATTTTCATTTAAACAGAAAAAACAATCTCATACATGACTCATGAACAACAACGTCTGATAGTGTGCAATCTATAGATGAAGAATTTGAATGTAAATATTATCAGTCCGCTCAAGTGGATAGCCATAAACTGGGTGAGACAATTTGAAAGCTTAAGACAGAGGAAACATAAACAATACCAGAGAATCCCAAGAGACATGCTGCTCAAATGAAGTTATAATTCATTATTATTATTCACAATGAGTTCCAAGTTAAACATATGGCTTCAAAACCACATCTTCATCTCATCCTGTCCACCGTAGTATTCTTAAGGCGGTTCCATAAATGCTTATACGCTTGCTTTCCTCCCCACAAGATATTTTTCATGTAAGCCTCGTACCCAAGCACAACTCGTTTCCCATTAGGGTTCCACTCGAAGTCCTGGTACGTGATGTCACTGAATGGTCTCTTTAGCGTTGTATATACTTACTACAGTAGATTTCCACATTGATTTCACAGTAATCCAGGTTTGTCTTGTCTCCCCAATCCTAATTTCCGCATCTTCATCTGTCCTGTCTGTCTGCAGTTCAGACGATCCTTTCTCTCTAGTCAGGTAAGTGAAAGTCGTAACTTTCTTTGAATATCTCCCGTTGATACTAATTGATGCTTCTTCTTCTTCTTCATCTACATCTTCACCTTCTTCCTTACGTGTCTTCATAACCTCTGTCTTCTCTGTGTTCAGTTGAATTTATGCCTTCACTACTTGTCTCTCCTGACAACTTGTTGATTTTCATCTGTAGATCTTTGAGCTTGTGTGACACTAAACATAAATGGTTAGCGAATTCCGGATCTTTTAGTTTTTCCATCGGCTTATCGTACACCCATCTTTTCGCGCCTCATAGTCTGTGGTATAATCTAGTACACCACGATCAGAAATATCATAGTTGATAGTAGGTGCACTTGTCTTACTTCTGTCTTCACTTCAAAGGCTTCTATGAGTTTTCCGTTGTGAATCGGTTGGCATGCTGCATCATCATATATCAGTTGAATGAAGTTTTAAAATTTTCGCAGCGGTGCACTGCATAGTGTTGAAGCACTTTCCGAACGACTTCATGGTCGACGCTAATGAGCACATTTTTTCAAGTCGATGAAGTTTGTGGTGGAGATTCGACAGTCAATCTATACTTTGTTCAAGAGTATGTACAGCATATTAAAACTATCAAATGACTTGAGAAACACTTCTTGGATGAAAGGAAAAGAGAAATGTTTTCATGCATTATCAGATATCAAAATGGGAGTTTGTTCTTGAATCCAATACTCTATCAAATTAAAATGTACCATAAAAAACGTTAGCGTTCATCATGAGCACTTTCTATCAAATAAAGAAAAATTAACTTACTAGACACTGATCCATAGATTCAATAGTGGAACAAAGCTGAGGAATGTAAAAAATATATTAATGATAATAAATACTATACATAGAAAGTACTATGTATAGTAAATACAATATATAGTAAATTTTCAATGTAAAAATTATTTTTTTTTTGATTACAGCTTGATTCCACACCGTATTTTTGGTACAAGTGTGGGATTTTCAGCGTGGATATCGGTAGCCCAAAATTTGCAGGCCGACCATAGATATCAGGTGTGCGTCGGCGTGGGCTCGAACTCCGGACCATGTGCATGGTCGGCGAGAGTCCTAACCACTGTGCCACCGACTACCAAAATTTCCTCTTTACCAGCATTATTTCTGGCTTAGCGAGGTGAAGGAGTGCGCCGGCCGGGTATCGAACTTCAGACCATGTACATGATCGGCGAGCGTCCTAACCGCTATACCACCGACGCATTACGACTTGTAGCTATAATTAGTTAGAACTCAGTAGCGTAAATCAGCTGCCTCCACATACACCAGCCAAGAAACCACGCATATTTGGTATATGTGTGGGAGGGGGGCGGGGTGAAGTTGGTTGGCGATAAATGCTTCACAGTTGCCCAGTCAGCAGTAGAGATGAAGTGTGACACGAATTCGTAATCCAATGACTGAAGCCAGCAAACTACATTTAATTATTAGTTTAACTACATCATTTTCATATAGTGAGGCACAGACAAAAAAACTTACCTCAATCAACTCTAACCTAAGTGACTCAGAAGTAGCATTTAACTCTTAGAAACTATGAGACTCACAATCAAGTATGCGAAGATTGTATCACATGGTGGAGTAGTACTCTGATAGACATCGACAAATAAAAAATTGATTTAGAAACACGTAGGAAGCTTGTGCAATGACATACACTGCATCTGTTGTGTTAAATTGTCCTCTAAAACTGACTTAGACAGACAGGGTTCGAAAGCATAGTCTAGTGGTTAGTCGACGATGTCTCAGATTAAAAGCTTGCACCTTATTATTAACTGAAGGATTGATTTTTCTTCAGACTCAAAATCATCAACAGAGCAAATGAGTCATTAGGAATGAAGGGATGAACAAACGGCACATACAGTTGAATTTATGCAGAATTATGCACTAAATGTATAACATAGTTGAAATTTCGCGATGTTAGTTTGCAGGGATTTGACTAATTTCAAGTTTGACTATGAAATGACTTCAGTTAGACAACAAATGAAGGCCTACAGGTAGTACTGGACAGTTATTTCGTCCTAGTATTTGAGACTACAACAATACGCATCCATAACCCCCTCCCACGGGGTAATCGAACCCAGGACATTCAGATGACAAGGCGAGCTCAGTGATAATTCAGTCACTGCGACAGAAATCAATGCCCCATGAATTCTATCTTCTACCGATTCGTGGTATAGCGCAACCAACGGCTAGTGTCGTTGGTGAGTATTTGTCTCCAGGCCCAACTTGGTGGATCGTACTTATTACGACTTCCTATTATTTTGCTTTATTTTTATTATAGCTTGATTCCACACCGTATTTTTGGTACAAGTAAGGAATTTTCATCATGTGATATCGGTAGCCCAAATTTCGCAGGCCAACCATACATACCGGGTGTGCGTCAGCATGGGCTCGAACCGCGGACCATGTGCATGATCGGCGAGAGTACTAACCACTGTTCCACCGACGCCTAGAATTATTACAGTATGAAATCACCTGAAGTTTTAGTGAGAAGTCGTGACCTGGGGTGTCTATCGAGTAACACAGCTTAAGTGATTTCAGTACACCTCTTCATTCCTTGCCTTCAGAGTTTAGTACAAGGCTAGAGACCTTAAGCTTTGAAATTTCAGTAGCGATGATGTCACTTTTTTATAATATGTGGTGAAGTTGAACTCACACGCCCAACCTTCCATCTTTTCCAGTCTTATTATAGGCTGGGCGTGGTTTAAGAGTTAAATTAGGGCCTGGCGCACGTCTGATTAGCATTCTACTATCAACAGATATATAATGTACAAAAGCTTTACAAGTAATCAGTTGAAAGGTATGATACAAAATCAGTCAGCATGTATAAACAAGTTAAATAATACCTGTCATTTGGTTAGTAGTGTGGCTAGTAGTAGAACCCAAGAGGCACGCTTCGTCAAATTTTAGAGTCATCAGCAGCATATATTCCCATATGCATCCTCACTGGGTGATCGTTTTCCCACTGACAGTCAGATAAAGTACACCCAAGAGTCCGTAATAGTACCGAACTAGGCGACCTGGATTCCACTACTAGTCATCATCAACCAAATAACACAATTTTCAAGTATTGGTTTTGTAGGGATTTTTGTTTGATGGCGAAATCCTCCATACAAAATAACACAATGTTAATCATCGTTAAAGCTTCCATACCAGGAACCGATATGTTAACACAGACAGATCATTTCCCTCCAATTAAAAAAAAAACCAGTCGACGGGAAATATAAATATCTCTTTAAGAAAACGATTATATACCTGGTCCAAGTCTTCTGTTTCAAATAACTCGTTGATACATTGAATTAAATTAATCCAACGATCTGTTTCACGTAAGGCATCTGCAGCTGACTGAGCATTTCTTCGTGTTCTATCCAATTCAACAAGTGAAGTAACAATACTTTGACTATTATTATCCATCTAGACGTATATAGTTAAAATCCATGAGAAGGAATGATTATTTCAAGTTCAAACGGATAAGCACATTGTACAAAAAGATAAAAGCGTACTGTGAACTACTAAATACGAACAGTTAAGAGACACTTATTATTACTACTACTATTCCTTTGGGTTTTAAGTGGAACGCTGGGCTTCAACATGATATTTCTACTTCACTCTGTTTGTTGCAGTCATTTTTCACTGGTTTCACAATTGTCCATAAGCTTTTCTTTCCTTCCTCAGCCTACATCTAATCCATTCCCATTCCATTTGCACGTGTCTTGTCAAAGCTACAGAATCTCGCTTGATTTGTTGCTTGCCACGGTTCTTTGTAGCTTTCGCCAGCTGTCTCTTTTGGAATACTGAGAGAAAGTATTAGGGGTCAACAGAAGTTCACGACAGCCTGTTGGAAATGTTCTTCGTGATACACGCTACAAGTTTCTGAACAATATACAAGCGTTGATAGACTTGACATTACGGTTGAATATCCATACCGCATTGTACATGCTTACAACAATAGACTTCCACATTGATTTCACAGTAATCCAGGTTTGTCTTGTCTCCCCAATCCTAATTTCCGCATCTTCATCTGTCCTGTCTGTCTGCAGTTCAGACGATCCTTTCTCTCTAGTCAGGTAAGTGAAAGTCGTAACTTTCTTTGAATATCTCCCGTTGATACTAATTGATGCTTCTTCTTCTTCTTCATCTACATCTTCACCTTCTTCCTTACGTGTCTTCATAACCTCTGTCTTCTCTGTGTTCAGTTGAATTTATGCCTTCACTACTTGTCTCTCCTGACAACTTGTTGATTTTCATCTGTAGATCTTTGAGCTTGTGTGACACTAAACATAAATGGTTAGCGAATTCCGGATCTTTTAGTTTTTCCATCGGCTTATCGTAAAAGGGTTTTGTCTTTCGTCGTTTAGTTTCTCAGTTCTTGTCAATTAAAGCATATATGGGCTGTGATATCAACAGATGCTATAACCTCATTCTTATTTGATTTAATGCTTTCAACCATCTCCAGAAAGCCAGTGGAGGATACGACAGAGTGAATGCATGACTCTGGCAGATCCTTCGGTTTCCTATGGACTTCGTTTTTGGTTAAATAGTTATATTGCAAGTGAAAAAAAAGGTCGAAGGATTTTGGTTTATGTATTCCAGGTCTACTCTATAGAAACTAGGTCCACTTGAATTCATTTTGTATTGAAATTGTAGGGGGAAAAAACCTTTCTCTCTCTCACGAAGACATCGATTGGGCTGTAAGTTAGTGAAAACATATGAAAATGGGCTGAGAAACCCCCAGGACAGTTTTGGGTTAAAAGTGAGTATACGACAAATGGCAAGGTGATTTCGCGTAATATAAATAAAATTAAAAACATAAGAAAAGTAAACAGGAAGTTTGGGTAATAATGATTTCCTTGTGAAAACAGACTGTTTATGATGGCGTTGGATTGAATTTTCAGATTGCTAATACATCAAATTCGCCTAGGTGTTTTTACCTCATTCGCTTTGAGCGATTTCTACCAGATTTTTTGTAAGACTTTCAAAGATTTCTCAAATGAAACTCAGTGCTGATCTGTTATAAAAATATAGACATATTTCCATTCTCAGCTTTTACAAGCACATGTATAGTACAGTTAGTGCACCCCAGTTCCACGGGAGCAACTGAAGTGACATATTCATGATGGTGTAGCCCAGTGCAACAGCTTGTCTTCAATATACTCGCCAAATAGTTTCTTGAAAGGCAGAGTTATTCATAGGCTGTCAGAAAAGTATGTCTTACTGAGAGATTTTTGCTTCAGTATCAATTTTAACTTCGAGATTCGTGGAAGAAAAATTCCTTTTAGGAGTATTCTGGGACGATTCAGCAGTTTTCTCTGGTTTCAGCTTCATATCTATAAATCTGGTCATGAAACACGTTACCCTCTAAGATTCTTCGGAGATTGTACAGCTCTCCAACAACAGATTTTTCCAGAATTCTGAGTAGAGTGAATGAATGTGATTGTGTTTTCTCATCACCTCACTACACAGATTGTCTTTATTTGATGAGTCTAGTTAAGGTGCTTTATATTTCATTGCCCAATGTAGCATTTGAGTAGGATTCATCTTGAGCACCCTTGAATCAGATGATTATATATATTTATATATTGGTCGGGGGTGGGTGCCTTGCGCTGCGGGTTGGCCACCCCTCCGTACACCTCTTGAAATGCTCCCATGTGACCGGGTGTTTTACATAGCCTCTCCTGAGGAAGTCCTACTCACTGCCTTCACGTGGCGGAGGTGTTTTCACCGAAGTGAGAGGGCCAAAGCGGATGCCCGGCGCTCTCCACCGGGTTGGCTGTCCATTGGATGACAGTCTAGGGGAGATGGCTAAACCCTGATCCCAAACCTCCAACGACTGGCGTATGAAGCTCACCGGAGCTCACCGGCAGACGTATGGACAAAGGGCTTGTTGGATGTCCTGGATGTCTGGCCCCATTCAAAAAGGCGTATGAACCGAACTCCGGTCACCGGCTGCCAATGGATAGTGGACTCCTTACTCCACTCCTACTGCCTTGTAGGTCACACTTGGCTGTGTAAAGGCTAGAGCTGCACTCTCAAACAAAAGGCCGAGCGATGCTGGGGACATCACTCGTACCAAATTCCCAAGAAACTTCATGAACTCGCTGAAAACATGGCTTGGTACAGTCAAGGCTGATATGGAGTGCCTGGGGCTACAAACCGTCTACAGACTCCGTCTGTGGAACAAGAATTGGATAACCCTGTCGCAAAACCTTGCATCAGATCGCCGCGCCTGGGCAGCGATGATTCGAGATGTTCATGAAGCCGGCTCATCCTCCCATAGGAGATAGCCGAAGTAAAGTAAAGTAAGTTGATATTACTCATACAATTTAAGTATATTTAGATAGATTGCGGTCCTTTCTATCAAGATATACACATGAAAAAAAAACCAAATCTACAATAAAGAGTAGCCATTAGTATATACAAGAACAGCAACAACAACAGCAACATACGTGTTTTACTCACTTGAAGATTATCATGTTGTAGTGATTTCAAATCGGAATCCAATATTGTTGCATCGGTTTTGACTGATTCCATTTCACGTAGAACACTAAGCATTACGTAATAATAATAATATTAATAATAATAATAATAGAGCAATAACAAGAATAATGACAATGAAAAGATGTGAAATAGGTCACAGTTTGCTCAGTTTTAGAGTTAAACCTAATCAGCAACTATCATAAACGAAATAGAATTGGACAGTTGATATTCGATAGAACAAGCGGTGTAGCATTTATGTTGTCAAATACCACCAGTGTAGAACACCATCTTAACTTCGTATACATCATTTAGAAGATAAGAAGGGATCTAGGATATGGTTTTCGTCAACTGTCACACAGACTCGAAAACTTGCACGCGAAAACCACCAGATTGGCTGAAGGGGCTGGCAGCGAAGATAGGACTACAGGTGAACATAGAGAAGACAGAGGTGATGAAGATAACCAAGCAACAGCGACAACAAAAAACATCAACCATTTTTAACAGGAGAAATTTGAAAAAAGGTCACTTCCTTCACTTATGCGGGAAACATTATCTCAACCGAAGAGGAGACGGATGAAGATGTCAAAGCTAGCCAGAATCGGAATGGCAAGATATACCTTCATCAATGTGAAACCGATTTGGAAATCTGCACTCACTCAGCATAAAAAAAAACAACATTTCGGATACTAGTAACTAGAGTTCAATCAAAGAATCCACTACAGTCTCACAGGAGGTCAATCACGAGTCCAAATAGCTCAGTGGAAACGTCTCTGACTGCAGCATTGGGTGACACGGGTTCGAATCTCAGAAAGGACATGAGTTCCTCCAAGGTTGTAGATACGCCTTGCTGACTGATGAGTGCCAACTAGCATGAAACCTAGGTCCAAGGCTTCCTGTCGATTGCTTCCAACTACCTAATAACATTTCAGATTTTCAACACCAATATGAAGTCAGTTCTATTGTATGGGTCAGGAACTTGCAGCTGCGCATTAGGAAAAGCGATTCGAACAAACAAGAAAAACAAGGTATTCTTAATATAGAATGGCTGGCATTATTTGCAAACAATAAAAAGTTCCTTCGGTGCATTTTGGGTATTTCAATCATAAACATCAAATTCACTATCATCAATCACGTTTTATGTTCAACAGTATATTGGTGTAAGCGCAATATTGCTTGAAATTAAGTCACGCGTAGATAAAGGCTATCCCGGTCCAGAACAAACACGAAGCCGGTCACTGTTTCTACGGTACTATTAATAAACAAATCAATAATTATATATACAACAAACCTTAACGGTTTCAAGAGTACAAAGCACAACGCTTAACAGAAAGCAAGGTACCGCTATCAGAGCGGAATAACGTTAAAGCCAAAATTGCGAACTAGCCGGAACCAGACACGACCGTTCAGGTAAGCAGTCAGTAGAAGAATGAACCCAAGTAAGGCATGGCATAAAACAGAGAGCGTTTAAGAGAGATAGACCGAGCATAGGCACAAAGATAGAATTTAATTGGCTACTTAACCAGGTAGGAAAATACAGATGAAAATCAATAAATAAGATTAACTCGACAGAATAGTACAAAGTTAGACATGGGTCAGCAAAAATAACAGTTCACAAAATACTCTGATTGGGCCATGAGTTCAACTGTCTGACTAAACGGATCGAGGTAAAAACACATACACACAGTTCATTAAACAAGCAGGGATAGACACGTTAGGTATGGATAATTTGGTTGCAACAACGCTAGGCTGATCCGGGACAGGTTGACTTGATTCAAGGATGGGAATAGAATTGATCTTACAATCGGTATTATCTATGGGGTTAACTGGCTTCAAGCATTTATATGTATTATAATATGAACAGTTTTACTTTCTAAATGGAGTTGATTTCAACCTCGCCAGATTACTAGCTTGCTAGTTTTCTAGCCAGTCCCAAGCCCGGATAAAGAGGGAGGGTTGGGGCGTGGTACTAGCAACTCCACCCCCGTAAAACAACCAAATCGCTACAGAAACTTCAACGAATAAATATATTAAAAATTCTAAAAACATAAGCAAATGCCTTACTTTTCGCTGGAATCGGAGAAGTGAAATGACGCAGGCTGGTGAAAGCCTTCGGGAAGCCAGTCAGCCGATGTGCCTTCTTTCGATGAAAGCAAAAGTAAGGATGGGTATCTGGAATGTTCGTACAATGTACGAAACTGGGAAGGCTGCCCAGATAGCAGCTGAAATGAGAAGGCACAGAATAGAAGTGTTGGGAATCTTCGAAAGCAGATGGAACGGAACTGGAAGGTGCCAACTACCAACTGGAGAGACAATAATCTATTCCGGTCACCTAGGGGACAGTCACGAGCAAATCGAGGGAGTGGTTATCATGATGTCACCAACAGCAGCCAAAGCTCTCATGCAGTGGGAACCAATCTCCTCCAGGATAATGACAGCCAGGTTCAACTCAAAAGGAAGGAAAGTTACAGTCATTCAATGCTATGCGCCTACAAACGTCTCAGAACAAGAGAAGAAGGAGGCGTTCTACAGACAACTACAAGCAATAATGGACAACGTCCCAAATGGCGATATCAAAATCCTGATGGGCGACATGAATGCGAAACTGGGAGGAGACAACACAGGAAGAGAACTCACGATGGCTGAACGACAATGGTGAACTCTTCTCAGACTTCTGCGCCTTCAATGATTTGGTGATTGGTGGCAGCGTTTTCAAACACAAGGATATACACAAGACGACATGGATTTCACCAGATGGAAACACCAAAGACCAAATAGACTTCATCTCAATTTCAAGAAAGTGGAGACGGAGCCTACTGGACACAAGGTCGAGGAGAGGAGCAGATGTGGGTTCAGACCACTATCTAGTACAAGGGACTTTCAAGGTGAAACTAAAAGCCTCGAGGATAGCTGGAAATAGGCCACAATGCAAGTTCAACACTCAATTACTGAAGGACACAACCACAAAAGACACCTTCACTGCAACTGTCAGAGCAAAGCAGGAAACACTACGCGACATCACTGAAGAATCATGCGTGGAAGAACATTGGAAGTCTCTGAAGGCGATTCTCAACGAAACGTGTTCAACGGTTTTCGGAAGAAAGAAGAGACAAGACAAGGAATGGCTCTCAACGGACACTTGGAAGCTAATAGAGGAGAGGAGAATGGTGAAAGAGAAAATGATTCAATGCAAGGACGGACAAGAGAAGGAGACGCTGAGCTCAACTTACACAGCACTGGACAAAGAAGTGAAGAAGAGTGCTAGGAAGGACAAAAGATAATTCTACGACAACCTGGCCACTGAAGCTGAAAAGGCAGCAGGCAAAAGGGACCTGAGGACACTATATCAGATAACCAAATCTCTATCCGGGAAGAGATCAACACAAGCGAAACCTATAAAAGACAGCCAAGGGAACCCAATCACCAAGGAAGAAAAACAGATTAAACAATGGGTGGATCACTTCAAAGGACTCTTGAACCGACCACCACCTGCAACCCGTCCAGAAATACCAACAACAGCGCGCACACAACTGCAAGTTGACACCAATCCTCCAACGAAAGCTGAAGCCTTGAATGCAATCAAGCTTCTGAAAGCTGGGAAAGCAGTTGAACCAGACGGAATACCCCCTGAAGCACTGAAAGCGGACTCTGAGACGACAGCAAATATGCTGACTCCATTATTGCAAAAGGTCTGGAAGGAGGGAGAGGTGCCTACTGACTGGAGGAAAGGTTACCTCGTGAAACTACCAAAGAAGGGAAACTTACGCCCCACTCTGCAAGAACTGGCGAGGAATCATGCCCCTGTAGACGCCAAGCAAAATCCTGAGTCGAATCATCCTGGAGAGATTAAAGGACGCACTGGAGACAGAACTCCGACCAGAACAAGCTGGATTCAGGAAAGGCAAATCATGTACTGACCAAATTGCAACTCTACGCATCATCATCACAGAACAAAGCATGGAATGGCAATCAAACCTCTACCTCAACTTTATAGAGTTTGAGAAGGGCTTCGACAGCGTTGATCGGGAAGTAACTTGGAAATTACTCGAGTACTACGGCGTACCCCAAATATTCATCAACCTTATTCAACAGCTGTACGACAACGGAACATGTCAAGTGATCCACAACGAAAAACTCAGCGAGGCGTTTGGAGTAAATACAGGAGCCACACAAGAGTGCTTGCTTATTATCACCAATGATATTCTTAATTGTGGTGGACTGGATTATGCGTCAGACAGCGGGAAACGAGCAGACAGGAATATCCTGGACCGACGTGAAGTCAGTCAGCTCTTCTATACAGATCAGAAACTTGGAGGGTCACAAAGAATATTTCCAACAGCCTGTTGCAGACCTTTATCATCAACAACTGTCTTCGCTCTATACTGAAGATCAAATGGTCGGAAACAATCACCAACAAGAAACCATGGGAACAAACAAAAGAGGAACCATTCGCCAACCAACAAATATGCAGGAGAAAGTGGAGATGGATTGGACACTCGCTAAGGAGGCCGCTGGGTGACATCGCGCGAGCGTCAGGCCATTGCTCGAGTGGAACCAGGCCGAAAGGGAAACGACGAGTGGGACGTCAGTGCATGGGTGACATGGAGGAGGTCGTGTGAAGAGGAGTTGAAACAGTACGGACTAACATGGATGCATGTGAAAAGCACAGCAGAAGACAGAAGCAACTGGAGACGTGCAGTTGAAGCTGTATGTTCCACTAGGAACCCAAGGGAGCAATAATAAATAATAATGATATAAATGGAGTTGATTTCACATTATTTTTTTTTATCGAAAAGGAATATCTCACTTACCGTGGAACAAAAGAAATCGCCTCTTGACATGCATGATCCAATGTTTGCATAACATCCTTGGGTGAGATAAAATAATAGAGAAACACAAATAAACCATTAACAATACTGAGGTAGTTTTCATCAGAACAGAACATGAATAAGGATTTAATACAAAATTATTCTACGAGTTAAGAAAAAATAAAAAAACAAAAGCTTAAGGCTATGGCAGTAAAATGGTTCGCAGTTTTACTGTGGATAGCAGCTGTAGCCGAGAGCACTTAGAACTTGGTCTTACTTTATACGAAATAACCTCGTTGACTTAGAATATGCAGATGATGCTGTCCTATCTTCTACGTGAAGACGCCGACAAAATGAAGAGTCTTCTGAATGTCTGGCATGTAATTCGTTCCTGCCGTCCAATGTATGATGATGATGCTACTTGACTGGACTACACTGTCTGTCTCTTTTCGACATAGAACTTTGCACATATGTGCGGCAGTTCAAGTCGCCACACTCCATGTAGCACACAAAGCAAGAGAAGAAAGTACAAGAAATGCATAATAGAGACAGTAAGCAGAGGTGTGAGACAAATAGTAATAACGAAGAACGATATAGTTTCATTGGTAATCATAAGTAACAAGGAGTGGATGCATCTGTGGCAGCCATTGAGAACGATTTTGAGCAATGTCACCATTTGTTTCCAACCATTTGTTTTTACCATCCCGAGGACCCCAACCAGGAAGCCAGTTTACACCTTCCTACGTGGCTTAGACTAACTGTTGTAGATTTCGTTAACTGGTGCCATGTTTTTGTTTGACCTCCGCTAGCTCTTTTCTAGCCTGGCCCTATATTCGCTAACATTGCTCGTCGAGGAAGGCGATGACTTGGCATACGTAACACTTGTCCTAACCATCTCAGTCTATGTAACTTCACAACCTCGTCAATTGATTTCCCCTCCTTACCTAGCAATCGACGCCTAACCTCAATATTGCTCACCTTATTTGATATATATATCCATATAAATTGTGTGTTTGTTTGACAGTCTGATATATTTTGCTATGTATATATGGATCGATATTCCATTATAATTAGCCAATCATGCTAAGACTGCCTATTGATTTGTTCATTTTGAATATTCGCTCTATCACTTGTGTTCACACACTTGTTCGGACATTCATATATATTTTGCTCTCACACACTTGTGTGACATATTGATTCTCCTGGTGTTTGGAAAATAGAATTATCATCGCAAACCTAGTGGTCTTCTGATTTCCGTCTTTCTTGCGTCAGGACTACTAAATTCTCGACCAGTACATAACAATAATTTGGCGACGAATACATAATATTATTATGCCACTTCACACGGGCACCTTTGATCAAAGACAGCTAGTCTTTCCATGTCTTCCACTCTCAATGGCCAGGTCTAACAGCCATAAAGGACGATGGAGTGGACTGATGAGCAGTACACCCGCCCTTCGGTCGATAGTCGAACATCTCGTCTACGCCAGAGACGGCGTAAACTGGCAAATGCGAAACGAGCTCCCTGTATTCGTGCTGAGATTTCGTCAGAGATCAACCCATTGGCACTGGCTGATGGTACTTCCCAAATAAGTGAAGCGGTCAACGTGCTCTACCACTTCACTTCCTATTTCTAATCTAGGAGTCGGTGTAGTCCAGTCCTGTAACATCATCTTGCATATGGCTGGAGCGAATCGCATGCCAAACATTCGTAGATTGCAGCTCAAGGTGTTCAGAAGACCGTATCCGCATTTTGTCAACGTCCTCGCCTAGAAGGACTATATCGTCTGCATATTCTATGTCAACGAGATTATTCCCCGGTAGCAAGTCAATCTCTGAGTCGCTGAAGTCAGTTAGGGTTAAGTTCATTAGTACATCTATGATGAAGTTGAATAGAAAAGGAGATAATGGGCATCCTTGACGGACACCACTAGCCGTCACCACTTTAGATGACAACTCGCCGTAAGCCCTCACCTGGCTGTATGAGCCTTGATCAGTGCAATGTATTTTCTAGGAATTCCCTTTACAGCCAAGCATCTCCAGAGAACTTCTCGATCGACAGAGTCGAATGCTGCCTTTAGGTCAAGAAATATAATAACTGTTGGACGCCGGTAGGAATGCCTATGTTCTAGAATTTGTTGGAGGGTGATGATATGATCAATACACCCTCTTCCTGGTCTAAAGCCTTCCTGGCTCTCTCCTGTTTGTGCCTCCCGAGCACCACTCAGTCTACGCATGATTATTGAGCCTAAGACTTTAGATACTATATTAGTCAAGCTAATCCCTCTGTGATTATCACAGGAAGACTTGTCTCCTCTCTTGTATATGGGGATAATCAGTGACTCACACCAACCCGATGGGACTTCTTCTGATTCCCAGACGCTGCTTAGAACCTTAGTTAATGCATACAGTAAACTGTCTCCACCGTACTTAAATACCTCTGGAGTCATTCCATCAGGTCCCGTTGCTTTGCCTTGTTTCAGATTGGTGACAGCTTTAGTAACCTCAGTTAAGGAAGGGGAGCCTGTGTCTATATCCCATTCAGGGAGATGTTGGATGTTCGGGAGGTTGAGCGTGGTTGTGGACCAATTAAACTGCTCCTCATAGTGCGCTTTCCAGCGTTCCAGTCGTCCATCCTGTGCGTCGGTGGCACAGTGGTTAGGACTTTCGCCGACCATGCACATGGTCCAGATTTCGATCCTCTGTCGACGCACACCTGATATCTATGGTCGGCCTGCTAAATTTGGGCTACCAATATCACATGCTGAAAATTCCATACCTGCACCAAAAAATATGGTGTGGATTCAAGCTGAAATCAAAATAAAATAAATAAAAATAAAAGCTAATTATGGTGCCATTTTTCTCCGAGATTGTTTCACTTATGATTTGTCTTCTCCCACCCGTTTCCCTGATGAGTCGAAAGAGTTGCCTAGTGTTGCCTATCGCCGAAGCTTTTTCCATCTCTTCCGCCTTTGTCACCCACCACTCTTCACGGTCCTTGCGGAGAATTTTCGTAAGTTTCCTTTTGAGCAGCTTTCGCTCCTCATTGAATTCGGAGCTCGCTGGAATAAGTCTTCTAGCATCTATCAGTTCGGATGAGGCGGTAGAGATCCAATGGTTTTTACTCACCTTTGGATTTACCTTAGCCACAGATTTTACAGCTGTATCTATAGCTGACTGAATATTCATCCAAGCTTCTTCAGGGTGAGCACAGCTTTCGAACACAGATATGTGTTTAGCTAGTTCTTCCTTAAATAGGGATTTAGTTTCCTAATCGAGCTGGGGACGTGATGGGTTTGCCGCCAGCCGTTTCCTACGTCCGTTCAGTCGTAAGCACACCCGAGCGCGGACCAGTGCGTGGTCGGTATCTACACACGTGTTCCAGAAGGAGCGACAATCTCCTACCGACCCACGCCAACGATAGCTTATTGCTATGTGGTCTATTTGTGTCCAGCGTTGGTTTGATGAAGGGGTTTGCTAGCAGTGTCTTTTTTACTCTAGTACTCAAACCTATCCCTACACCGGCTAATCCTCGTGAACTAGCTGCGGTATCTCCTGACACCCTCAAGGTGAATTTTGAAGATTCATCCTGTTGGCCAGGTAGATTTAGGTGAATAACCACACTTGGGTTTTGTACGCGTTTTTCTGAAACACAACATACATCAATGGCTCGGGATGCCAGGGTCTTGGCTAGTGATGCTTGTTGTCCTATTCGGCAAAGTGTCCTAACATTAAATGCTCCTATATGAAATTGGTGGGGTGGCTTTAGGAGACTATCGGTGGTGGTTTTTTGGCTTCCGTCGTTATAGGTAGACACAGAGTGGAGAGGAAGTGAAGAGCTATCAAGCAGAGGAGTTGCATCAGTGGAAGGAAGGCAAGATGATAGAGATGAAGAAGAAAAAGATGAGCGAGTAATAGAGAGGTTTCGTTTGCATTTCGGATTGTGAGGGCGATTGTTACTTCCCGGCTGTCCACACCGTGGAAGTTGGTTGCGTGACCGCAGAGTCTAGGGGACAACTGCTTGAGGCCGGTCACACACGGCCTGCTTTTGTTTGTTCGTTATTGTTTGGTGTGTCTCAGTAGCATATTTATCACTCCTGCCCTGTGACACGGCAGCAGGAAGCGCGGTCTTTGTTAATCCGGGCCCCGACCGATCCAGCATGATATTTTGTGAGTCTGTATGTGTCATAGTGTTGGACTGGGTAGCTGCTTTTTGTCTAAACGCTTTCCAAACAACCTTTTTGGCATGGTAGGACCTCAAGAAACATAAGTCTCAGTCAGTGTAGCTTGATTAGGTCATTGCGGTGTTCAAGCCCGACCACCACGTTAAGGTAGCAGCTTTCGGTCGGGATTGGAATACATTGACTGACTTCTAGCTTAAAGATAGGCTAGAGTGAAGTGGTTGAGTGCGTTCACCACTTCACTTATTTGGGAAGTTGCATCAGCCAGTTCCAACGCGGTGATCGCTGACGAAATCACAGCACGGATATGGAAGGCTTGTTTGGCTTAGTGGACAAGATATCCGGCTGTCGACCAAAGGAAGCAAGTACTGCTAGGCAGTTCGCTCCGTACTCCTTTATGGCTGTGAGCAAGACATGGTCACCAAGAGTGGAAAAATGAAACACCTGGCTAGCTGTCTTTGATCATGGGTGTCTGCGTTCTATCTCATGTATGTGCTAAGTAGTAAAGAAACTAGCGAGCTAGTAATCTAGGCGAGGTTAAGTAGTATAATAGGGTGAGTAATATTGAGGTTAGGCCTCAGTCGAGTGCCAGGTAAGGAGGAGGGGAAATCAATCAACGAGGTTATGGAGCAGTTGCATCGATTGAGATGGTAAGGATACGTGTCACGCATACCTACCCTACCTATCGCTTTTCCTCGTTGACCGACGGGCAATCTTAGCTGAGTGATATAGAATCAGGTTGGAAAACAGCTAGTGGTGGTCAAACAAAAACATGGTTTCATCAGTCAATGAAATCCACAACAGTTTGTTTAAGCCAACCATGTAGGGAGGTGTAGATTAGCTTCTTGGTTAGGGTCCTCGGGAAGTTAAGAACCAACGACTTGAGACAGTTGGTCACATTGCTCAGAATTATCCTCCATGATGGCTCAGATGCATTGTCAAATATAATAAAACTCTACTGTCCCTCCACATTACTTTTCTTTTTCCCTCACACATACTTCGATTTATTATCTGACTTGCTTTGTGTGCCACATGGAAGGAGTGTGCCAATTCGAACTGCTGCACATCGGTGGAAAGTTCTATGTTGAAACTGACCAGTCAGTCTCACCTTATATCACTCTGAAAGATTTTCTGTCTAGATGTATGCGAAAAAGTCAAACAAACCAATAAATCGATTTTCAGGGACCTTGTTCTTACAAATTATTCCATATCAGTATAAAAAGTAAAACCAAGTCGTAGAAGTTTCTGGTTAGATCTTCTGTGTTCCACAATAGAAGACGTTGGCATGCGCAAGGAAAATCCTTAACTGTGAAGTAGTGACATTCAAATAAAGTATCGAAGTATGCATATATTATGAATTATCATTTACTGATGTAGAATCCTTATTTAGACATAATGCGGAGGGGCTGGTCATCAAATCTTATAGCAGATCGAAGGTGAAACATATTAAGTAATACACAGTGGAATTATTCATGACAGATGTCACACTACCATACTTTATTTTTCTTATGTTTTTAGTTAAATTACTAATATCCTTGTTCTGTTTTTACTCTGTTTCTTATCCTTTTCAAAAATCAGATGATGATTATAAGCCAAAGCAAAAACACGCACACATCGGGATAAACAAACGGTGAGATCTGTGACAGCACGCAAAAGAAGCAAAGTTCAAGCAAAATTGTCATTTAACAGTCCGCTAACTAATAGATATCGACCACAAAATTGACATCCACAAAAAAGGTACGTAAAGATTAGCTGGTTTCTGTAAAATTTCATGCCAAGAGTTTGTGGAAACTATTACAATTATTTACCTTTAGAACACTAAATCCGAGGATAAAATCTTATTGACAGATAATACCTACAATTAACTATTTGGATTTGTGAAATTTTTAAACATAAACACATATATAATTGTATATATTGTTGGATTTATATGTTCAAGTTGTTCCAAGACAGTGAGATTTATGGTCGAGATATCATTTCAGCTAACTGTGCGGAACTATATTGCATGTTGTTGTATTGTATTGTTGTTGTCGCTTTTTGCCCTTTTTGCTGTGAACTGTTTTCCATTTGCTGATGTTGTTCTGAATGTTTTGTCCGTTATTTTCCGATTTTGAGGGGAGTAACCCAAAAGGTCGCTTCTCTCTAAACTTTCTCAGGCGTGAGGCTAGCAACCCCACCCTGTAAACAAAGTTGCTACAGAAACTTCAGCACGATGAACCTCTTTGCACCAAAAGAAAAAGTCTGTGTGGGAACATGGAACGTCCGAACTATGTACGAGACAGGGAAAGCTGCCCAGATCGCCAACGAGATGAAAAGATACGGAATCCAAGTGCTGGGAATATGTGAAAGCAGATGGAATGGGAGTGGACTCACCAAATTGTCAACGGGTGAGTCAGTGATCTACTCCGGTCACCCAGAAGATAACCACACGCACACCGAGGGCGTGGCTATCATGATGTCACCAACGGCAACGAAAGCCCTGATGCAATGGGAGGCGATCTCGTCCAGGATAATGACCGCCAGATTCAACTCCAAAGGAAGGAAAGTGTCAATCATACAATGTTATGCACCCACAAACAACGCAGACCTCGAAAAGAAAGAAAAATTCTACAGACAACTACAGGCAACAATGGACAATACTCCAGCTGGCGACATGAAAATACTAATGGGAGACATGAACGCCAAACTGGGACCAGACAACACAGGAAGGGAACTCATCATGGGTAGAGAAGCTCTCGGAAAAATGAATGAAAATGGAGAACTCTTCGCCGACTTCTGCGCCTTCAACGAACTAGTGATTGGTGGCAGTGTATACAAGCACAAAGATATCCACAAGGCTACATGGGTGTCACCAGACGGGCAAACCAAAAACCAAATCGACTTCATCTCAATCTCAAGGAAGTGGAGGCGCAGCCTACTGGACACAAAAGCAAGAAGAGGAGCAGACGTTGGCCCTATCTCGTACAAGGGACAATCCAAATCAAATTAAAAGCTTTCAGGGAATCAGGAGCTGCAGATAGACCACAAGCCAAGTTCAACACTCAAAAGCTGAAGGACCAGGCTACAAAGGACATCTTCATTGCAAGCATAAAGGACAAAGCCGAGACACAAATCAACACCAGCGAAAAGGTCAGCGTCGAAAAGCACTGGAACAACTTGAAAACGGTGTGGAGTCAAACCTGCATGGAAGTTCTAGGCAGAAAGAAGAGACAGGACAAACAGTGGCTCACTACGGACACTTGGAAACTAATAGAAGAGAGAAGGACAGTGAAACAAAAGATTATCCAGTGCACTGACGAGCAACAAAAACAGGAGCTGAATGCAAGCTACAATACACTGAACAAAAGAGTGAAGAAGAGTGCCAGGGAAGACAAAAGAAAATATTATGAAACCATGGCAAACGAAGCAGAACAAGCTGCAGGCAAAGGAGACCTCGCCACACTCTACCAAACAACTAGGAACCTATCGGGCAAAAGTTCGACACAGATTAAGCCAATAAAGGACGACAATGGAAAGTCAATCACCAAAGAGGTGGAACAGAGAAAGCACTGGGCTGAACACTTCAAAAGACTTCTAAATCGTCCGCCACCTACAACACGCCCAACAATACCAACAACGGAAGCAGAACTACCAGTGAACACTGACCCCCCGACGAAATCAGAAGTCCTGAATGCAATCAAGATGCTAAAAGCTGGAAAAGCACCAGGACCAGATGGAATCCCAGCAGAAGCTTTGAAAATAGACCCAGAGACAACAGCGGACTTGATGACGCCACTGCTGGAGAAGGTGTGGAAAGAGGGCAAAGTACCCGAGGATTGGAAGAACGGATACTTATTCAAACTTCCAAAGAAAGGAGACTTAAGTCAATGTAAAAACTGGCGTGGAATTATGCTTCTGTCCATTCCAAGCAAAATACTAAGTCGCATCATCCTGGAGAGAATCAAACAAGCCCTAGATGAAAAACTTCGTCCGGAACAGGCCGGATTCAGGAGAAACAAATCATGTATTGATCAAATCGCCACTCTACGGATCATCATTGAACAAAGCTTGGAATGGCAGTCACCTCTCTATCTCAACTTCATCGACTTTGAAAAGGCCTTCGACAGCGTCGATCGAGAGGTCATTTGGCAACTACTTCGCTACTACGGGGTCCCATCGACAATTATACATCTCATCCAACAGTTATACGACAATGCTGCATGCCAAGTAATCCACAACGGGAAACTTACGGAAGCCTTCGAAGTGAGGACGGGAGTGAGGCAAGGCTGTCTACTATCACCAATGATCTTCCTGATTGCAGTAGATTGGATAATGCGACAGACAACGGCAACCAACGAGGGAACAGGCATAAAATGGACTCACACAAAAGACTTGGAGGATCTGGACTTCGCCGATGATATATGTCTGATTTCCCACAAACTGGAAGATATGCAAGTGAAAAGCAACAAGTTGGCAGAAGAAGCATCAAAGATAGGACTTCAAGCGAACATAGATAAAACAGAGGTGATGAAGATTCCTAGCCAACATCAACAGCAACAACAGACAACAATCAGCATAAATGGGAGGAACCTGAAAGAAACAACCTCCTTCACCTACCTGGGAAGCATCGTTTCAACTACAGGCGGAACTGACGAAGATACCAAAGCCAGAATCGGAAAAGCAAGACAAGCTTTCATTACTCTCAAATCTGTGTGGAGGTCAACAGCACTCACCATCAAAAATAAGATCCGGATTTTCAACTCCAATGTAAAGTCAGTGCTACTATACGGATCAGAGACTTGGCGAGTCATAAAGAGCATCTCAAACAAACTTCAGACCTTCATTAACAGCTGTCTTCGCTCAATACTCAAGATCAGATGGCCAGAAAAGATCAACAACAGCGATCTCTGGCAGTGAGCGAACCAATCAGGAACCGATTGTGAAACAAATAGGCAGGAAGAAATGGAGATGGATTGGCCATACTCTGAGGAAACCATCAAGTGACATCACTAGACAAGCCCTCGAGTGGAACCCGAAAGAGAGGCGGCGAGTTGGTCGTCAGTGCAAGGGTGACTTGGAGGAGGTCATGCGAGGAGGAGATGAAAGCATGTGGACAGACCTGGAGCGGGGTGAAAAAGTTGTCATAAAACAGAAGGCAATGGAGGTGTGCAGCTGAAGCCCTATGTTCCTGTAGGAACTAAAGGATACAATAATAATAATAATATATATTTACCTTCATTTGATTTTGAAGTTGTAAAACCAGATCAGATACTTTTTGCTGCAAAAAGGTGAAGAGGAAAACGTTTACGAAAAGATGAGAAAATAACGGAAGTGTAAAACAAAACATAATCTGTAACTGATTTATAGCGATTTATAATATGGAGGCCAAATAAGATTTGCGCATAAAAACAATACATGCATCTCCATGATTATGAAGTTTACTCAACACGCGGTAAATTAGAGTACACAAACATGGCTGTGATACTCTTCCCTAATCGAATCATACTAAACTCAAGGAAAAGACAGAAGATCTAAATGTTTAACATCTGACACTTTAGAAGAAGAAGAAGCTACAACACTATCCGTCAGAGCTTTTATAAGCTTCGCAAGCTTGTAGTGTCGCACTGAAATCATTTATTTCCATGGCTGATCACAGGAAACATAAGCAACAAAGAATATTATGGTGTGCAGGCAGTGAACCAACCAAGAGCTTACTTCTAACCAACAGAGATGCAGGTGAATTAGATATACACTGAGGTTGGTATCATACGTCAGGCACTGGGGAGTGGAACCTGGATAGAAAGTGATGAGTTTGGTGTATGTCCCCTAGTGTGACATGGAGGAGATCATGGGAGTTGGGAATGAAAGCTTATGGACAGTCGCGGATATAGCTGAAAGACAACCTAGTCAATGAAGACTCACTATTTAAAATATACTATTACGCGTTTTCCGAAGTAGGCTATTAGAACTCAGCTACTCAAAGTAGGACATCCAAATACCGCAAACTATGAACCATAATATTTTTCTGATACAGTTACAATTTCCTAAGCTAAAGTGTAGGTGAGGGTGGGATACAAACTCGAAAGCGATTGGTTCAGCCAGTGAGTCTAAATATCCGAAAGTATTTTACATAGTATATCCGTTAAAAGGTAAAACAATATTTTGGAATACATCCCAACAAAAATAATACGCACGGAATTTTGGGACTAGACTAAAAACTAAACTTTTATTTCTTTATGGTAATCACTCGATAAAACTTCAATATTTCCTCTTACTCATTCTATTCCTTTGCATTCCAAGTGAAACATAGGGCTTCAAGCTTTAACTTTGAAGTTTCAGTAGCAGTGGATTTATTTTTACGGAGCGAGATTGCTAGTCTAACCTAACGCAACGTCCTACTTCACACAGATTATAACTGGCTATGAGAGGTTTAAAAGTGCTGCTGCCGGGGATTGAACCCTGGACTACGTGTGACGAGCATTCTATCACGGCACCACCGACGCAGTACGTATGGTTAATTTCGACCACGTAATTAAAAACTTCTTGTCTCAGTAGTTCAATGCTAGGTAGAATAAACACTAACCAAGCACAGAGTCTTCATTCAATTCCCTGATGAGGAACCTCCAAACCTGGTAGACAGGAAAATGAAGTTTGTAGCATTACTACGTAAAAATAAAACCACAGCTAATAAAGCTACAAAGACCTAAAGCTTGAAGAGCCCCGTGTTACAAAACTCTTAAGTAACCCGTCCCTACAAACATGTCAGTTATCACCTTACTGCGAAGAATGAATTAATTTTATTTCTTTGCACTATGAGAAAATTAGCCACATTACTTGCCTGAAGTGGGTATTAATATTAAAACTGGTTATCTAAGCTTCATTCGATGCAAAAGGAATTGAAAACCATGTGAATTAGTGGTTTGAAGCTTCATACTTAGACCAAACAACCAGAGCTGCGCTCTAGATAGAATAGAATTCAGTACACGAACTACGATAAATTAGCAGAAAAGATACTTATTCGTTATTAGTATTATTACTCTTCCTAACGGGCTACGTATTAAAATTCGACGAAATTAACCTTACGACACCCAACCGTGGCGAATGAAACAATCAACTTGAAACGCTCAGTTCGACCCAGACTGTTAAGTCACGGAAACTGCACTCTATTCATGAAAAAAGTATTCAGTAAAGGGTAATAGTATTAAGTAGGATATCTGGTTAGTTTTAGGGAAGGTCAAAAAAGATTAAGGTTAGTTTCAGGGTAGAGACGCTCAGAAATATCTGTTAAGAAGAACAAAGCATGTTACTCAATTTTTTGCACACTTTTCAATCAACTAATTTTTGTAAACTGCACTATGTGTGTGTGTGTGTGTTATAAGCTTATTGAATTCCTAAACTGTGATATTTAAGTTAGATAATATTATTATTTATTATTATATATTATTATTATATTATATTATGACACATAAAAATATTGAAAGCGAGTTTCATTTTCATAATAACAATAACTGAAAGAGGAATTTCAACCGTGAATTGGATTGGATTTCAGCTAAACCAGAAAAATAAGAATCAATCGAAGCTAGACATACGCGATCCATAGGCGAATGTATACATCAGTTATATTGACAGGTTTATACTATTATATATTAGAAAACAAAACTTTTACTTGTAATGAAAAAACGGAGTAGTTAAAAAATATGTGTTGGATTCTTGCCAAAAAAAACACAACTGAATTTAATACATGAGTTTGTAGGTGGTAGCGTGAGTGGAGTTGGAAGGGGTTGAGTTGATTTAGATGGTAACAGACTCATTTCATGACTCGTCGATTTCAGGACCAAATAATCATTCAGCGGTTCTTGTTAGTATGCAGTAATGTTGTTAAGAACACAAGAGATTCTTTTCAACAAGTTTATTATCAAGCTGTGCAGTCGTACACATGGAAATTATTTAAAATAATCCCAGTGTGAAGTTGTTGGTAATTCTGTGTATCTGGGTAGTTAAATGAGTGTTGGTGAAAGCGTGACGGATGAGATCTGTAACCGTATCATGAAGACTAGGGTGTCATACGTCAGTGTGGGCCATCTCTGGCATTGTCGAGTCGTTAGTCTGGCTGTCAAAGGTCTGGTTCACAATGCTTCGGTGAAGACAGTCATGCTCTACACCTGTGAAACCTGCCCTCTCCGAGCTGAGGATGTGCGGTGGCAACTATGCGTATTCGATCATCTCTGTCTCCGTAGAATTACTTGCATCACATGATATCGTCATGTGGGTACTTCTGAGGTCGGCCATCGAGTGTCATCCGGCTTTGGTAGTTTGAACATGTGCTGCAAAAGCCATCCGAATGGCTTCCTCACCAGTCTCTGTTCACCAGTTCTGAGACAGGATGGGAAAAGTGGAGAGGTGGTCAGCCCATCACGTGGCGTCGTCGCATGAAGGATATTTGTGTCAGCTCAGTATCGGTGGGTACATCACAACTTCTTGGTTGAGGCCAGAGAAATAGCTCGAAACGCTATCAGATATGACAAAGAATCTCTATCAATGGAAAATATGGTGTGATATACATCTTTATCCCCTTCCCGAAAATATCATGAAGTAGCGAATGTTGGATGTTCTTGAGAAATACGCTTTCTGGATGACATCCGTCATTCATTCTCTCCCGCACTTTTATATATATTTACATTTCATTATTGTTGTGTGGGGCACATGTCTTGGTGTCCCTGTTGTACCAGGTTATGAGTTTAAAATGGAATTAATTATATAGTCTAACTGCTTCTAGTATTCCACCTTGCGATTGAGCGATTCCGTGTTAAGGAGAACCCACCATGTCGAAAATCGCACGGGGGGGGGGTGAATCCTGTTTTGTGAAATTTCGGTAATGCATACAAATGTGGTATTATGCAGCCGACTGGACGGATGAGTTGATGCAAATCTGACAAGATCGTGGATTAATTTTTCCTCATGCATTTATTCCCCTTGATGGGTTTTCAAATAGATGTGACTTGTTGGTTTCACCAACGGGTACGGTGAACTTCATTTGATCGAAAAGAATCACTGAGATTTTTTCGATATAGTGATGGTGATTCATCACGACAACACACTTCCACCTTTATCAAGGACTATTCTATGGATTACATTTTGTTTTTGCCACTTGACACTTGATTTTTAACTATGATAATAACCACAAAAATTAAATATACACTTCATATTATTATCATTTTGTGTACTGACACCTTCTGTTTAAATCTACTCACAGGATGTAATATCCTAAAAATTATATATATATATATATATATATATATATATATATATATATATATATATACGACTGTTCAATCTGATAAGAGCCTGAAAAGAGTCTATTCGCTATAATTTTTGGTCTCAACATTATTGCAATGGGAATTATTAAATTAATTTTAAGTTCTGTTTCTTGTTTGCCAGTCTTTCATTGAAGAATATCAATTTTCATAAAAATGATTACTGAATAAAGAATATACTTTTCGATAACTTCATCATCAGGTTCTACAGTTAATGCCTACATTGACCTGCCTATGCGCTTTTCCTAGGAAAATTGCTCTTTATACTACCATCTCGTTTTTTTGTAAGGACATCTAGGAAGGAAATTCTATTTTAGGATTCGTCTTCGCTAGTAAATTTCATAGCAGAATATACTTTATTCAACTCAGTTATTATTGTGTTCCTATCCGAATCAGTATCACGAAGAATAAAGGTGTCATCCATACACCGGTAATAAAAATGAGGATTTTCTGATGAGCTTCTTCAAAGGTTCATTTTCTAGTTTATTGAGAAAAAATATGGAAAAATGGGACCCAGTGGGGAGACCATCACCAACCCCGTCAATTAGTCTGCTAAGTGTGCCATCAAATTTGAAATTTACATTCATGGTAATCCTTACTTACAGTTCTTTTAGGATTTCCGTTGGGATGCTAATATTCATCAACTGGTTATACACTTGTTCACTTATGAAGTCAACCGTTTCTACTAGAGGTACATTTGTGAATAAAGATGTTATGTCCTTGATATTAATATCTCTGATTTTGTCTACTAATTCAAATACATCTTTAACACTGTTTCCCTATCCGCTCATGCAAAGATTTGAGAATACTTACTAATTATCTAACTAGAGCATGGTAGGACGAATTTCGCATATCGAAAATTGGTCTTAACGGTACCCTCGGTTTACGCACTTTAGATAGGCCATACAATCTTGGCGTGTACGTGCCAATTGACCTGAGTCCTGCATATAAACTTTAAGGAAATACCTTTTCCTCACTTAGTTTCTTCATATGCCTGGTTAATTTGTTCTCTATTTTGTTACTGAAATCTTTCATCTTCTCACGTCTTCGAAACTTCTGTGTGTCCTTTAATATATCATTCATCTTTTTAATATAGTCATTTCTATAAAGGAGGGCTACTCCTGATCCTTTATCAGATTTCGCGATTATCAATTTTTTGTCATTCATCAGTTTCTTTAGTTCTTCTCTTTGCTACTTTGTCAAGGAATTTTTACTGCCGTATTTGATGTTTTTGTACTGATAACAACAATCCACTAGAGTGGATCTGAAGCGTTCTATTTTCAGAGTGGATGATGGAACTAAATCCCTTGTTTGACTGAATAAGTTTTCAAATTTAATATCAGTGTCTAAGAGATTGACTCGTTTCCATCTGCCGCAAACTCTAAATTCAAGAGAAAGTACTTCGAGTTGCACCTTATTTAATTCAACTCTACTATAAATGTGGACGTAGTTTTTAGGATCTGCCTCTGGTTTGCTTTCAAGTCCTTTCATATGCTCTATCTGCCTCTTGTATGTTCTTCACATCCACTAACTTCAGTAACGTATTCCATAAAAGGCATTCTAAGATCTTCTAGCAGTTCATCTACTGCATATTACCCACGGACGATATTCATTTCATTCTCTTGAATATTTCTGGATAAAGAGCCTGTCTGGTTTAAAGCATATCCCTTCAGCATCTCCTTACTGGGATGAACTCTGCTTCGACGTAGAGACTTGTAATAAACTTAAGGATACTGATTTGATTCGATGTAATTTTTACTGAAGTCAAACGTAGTCTTTATATCATGGAGATTAGCGTTATATTCAGGTACTCATTGAGTGCCTTCAGTTTGTAGCAAACTATATCTTCAGAAAGTATTTCTGGTATTTCATAAAATCAAAATTCAAAGAAGTAAATGAACAGACTCCATCAAAGACAAAAACATTTTCGGATACAGTATCATTTATTTAGTATAATGACGTTCCAAAGACAATTTATTGTTGTTCATAATTTTCTCAAGGTACTCTCTCTCTCTCTCATACACACACACTACTTTCAAGCTTTATTTGTTTAGAAAGTCCAAAGAAAGCTCACAACTAAAAGGGGGAAAAACCAGTCGGATGACACTTTTAATTATAACCTAAGTAAGAAGAGATTTGAGGTATTTACAGTTGTTTTTTTTACCAGATAAGGGAAGGATATCTGAAAGCCTACACAGGATTCTTAATACAGCAAGATTTAGAGTGCCATTTAAACCTTCAAACCCATTCCAGATCAAAATCTGGAGGCCAAGATATCCAAATAAATAAAATAATTTAAGCTACAAAATACCTCACAATGACTGTGACGTCAATTGAGCATGGGGTAGAGTAGACCAGTAGGTCGGGGTCGGTTAGTTTATCGAAAGTTAATGAGGTGTACAATGATTGACCCCCGGGAAGATGAAAAGTTTATTGAAGAAACGAGCAATTGCATGGCGCACACACACCGACACAATCACAAAATAGGGTGGGATAAAACTACACTTCTAAAAAGTAATATAAGTAGGTGATTAGAGAAGTTGATTGTTGTTGTTCATCGCATCTACACCTTACATTTTATTTATTTATTTAAACGCATAAAAACTTGGTACAATATGGCACCAAGAAGGATGCGCCACACAATAATAATAAAACAACATAGATCAAAAGAAAGAAAAAAAGAAAGAAGAGAAAAAATGTTTAAATATAAGTAGAGAACGGATAAAGAACTTCATCTGCAAGGAAAGCAGTCATGCATAACAAGTTCAAACAGTATTCGGTAACTATCATCGGGAAGGGAAGAAAGAAGGAAATTGCAACACGTGTAATAGCACGTGATAAGTTTTATTGATTGTTTGTTGCTTCATTCAATTCATTGTGTGAGGACTGAGATACTGCCCGGGCGCCCAGACCGAAGCATGTGGTTTTATTAAGGGACCGACCCCCCCCCGCGCCTTTGACTTGGAGTCTAAACCGCAAGGCAGCGGAGCAGCGTCAGGAGCTGCATCCCCATGGTTCCCGGTGACCCATATAGGTTCATACGCCATTTGATCCGATTGGATACTGGAGCCCATGTACCCCATGGTAACTGCTTTTAGTTTAACCGCTATCCAAACAACCTTCCTGACATGATAGGACCTGCTGGGACAGAGTCCCAGTCAGTTTAGCATGTTGGGTCATTACGGTATTCAAGCCCGACCACCACGACAAGGTAGCAGTTATCAGCCGGGCTAAACCTTACAAGCAATCGGAATAGCACAACACCCATATAAAAGAGATATGGGAAAATATTACTATCAGTGGAATCAAAGGATAAGAAGTAGTGGAATTATTTGGACAAGGTTTGAAATGATTGCAAGCGACACATTGTGCTGGGAACTTCACTAAACAAACAATAATGTATCACTATGTGTGGTCTTATGAAAATAAAATTATTCTATTGCTCAAATTCCATTTCTCGATTACAATGAACAGACTTACATCCAGGTAATTCGGATCAGAGGCATAAGGTTTCAACGCTTCATTAATCCATTGAACATGATTGAAATCTGACTTGGCAAAACATGTGAGATCCTAGAAACAGGAAGAAAACAACAACAATAAAGAAAAACACCGAAAATATAAACAACAAAAAGTAGGATGAAAGCAAGTTCTTCTGTCTATCTGTATAATAACCACAGAAGTAAAACACCAGAAAAAAGATAAGGATCACAAAAATTATTTGGATTAAGGTTAATTTGCATCTCCTATTGGTTGATTAATTGATTATGCTGCATAGAATTGCACATTCTCTGTTTACATGTTGCCTCTTAATACGCACGTCTCAAAATGAAGATATTTTGGATGATGTCGATTAGTAGTTAAGTCCAGGATGTACATCTCACAGGTGACACAGGTCATTTATTTGTAAGATTTGATGGTGTGAAAGATTCCCATATTATGAATTAAAAGTCAATCTGAACGAAGAATATTCTTTTCAATAATTTCTCCGCTTCAGGTTCTTACAATTATAAAATAGAATATTTATTGTCGTTACAATAAAGGCCAGTTGTGCAGCGGGTACATTTTAACGTAGAATAACAGATCAATCATGGGGTGTCAAAATAAATACTCGTGTTTGTGTGACAAACGTACTAGGCTGAAATCGATTACAAAATCTTTCGGTGAAATGAGAGACAGTGATGGTGATTAATCATAATAGATTTGTAGAGTGTGGGGTAGGAAAATTGACAAATCAGTTCAAGGTTATAAAAGGTGTCAGGTGAGTGGCTAGTACAAAGTGGTCTGTGTTAAACAGACATAACTAATCTGTTATTCTACGTTAAAATGTATCCACCGCACAATTGGCCTTTATTGTAACAACAACAAATATTATATTTTATAACTGTAAGGACCTGAAGAGCAATTATTGAAAAGAATATTCTTCATTCAGATTGACTTTTAATTCATTTATTTGTAACTTGGTGAGTGGTTGAACGGCCAAAGGACTGATGTCGTAACTTCAAGGTGTTGGGTTAATTCGATGATTTGGTCATGGATACACAGTGCTGAAGAGTCACAAACCATATAGAAACAGCTATCCCGCTGTTCCATTGGTTTTCAATGGTTCCCTAACCAATATTAGTCGATATAAGGCGAAGTTTGCATTGAAATATTTTATTATTTACAGTAAGCAACTATCTCATTTCATTTTAAATATAACTGTGATATTTAGGTATGCTTAAGTTCAGAAGAAGAGTATGCCAGAGAAGTATTTTCAACATAAAAACACCAAAGCATATTATTGTGAACAGTTATTGAATTAATCGATCGGATCTATATTTCAGCTATCGAAGAATATTCATGCACATAACAGCAAAGTTTCAAGTTTGAATCCCACTGCAGTTACTTTAGCCTGTCTGGCCAAGCGGGTTGCAGTATCGTCAGCCCTTACACTAGAATGTATACATATACGTGGGATTCCACAGAATATAAAGGAACAGATTATTTTATTCGTATTCAATAGCAATCAATTTTGTGACTACAGTGTGAAAACACAACTGTCGTATTTTTTTCTCCCACCATAAAAACTAATCTTTCTCGTAATACGTCAATTAACTTATCTGGGTTTCTGCACAAGAATTATTTACAAAAATTGTGCAATTGTAAGATCTCAAAATACCTAACCAGATTGAAAAGGGGAGACCGTTCGTACTGTGTCATCATAGGGCGCAAGGGGAGAACTGCTTTCGAGCCGGTCACACGGAGAGTGTTCTAAATGATTTTTAAGAATAGTGATCGTATGAGAACCTAATCATTGGCTTGGGATCACAACAAAGTATATCGAGATGAACAATATTTTAAGTCATCGCCCTTCCCAAGAGTCAAAAACAAACATAGACTGCATATCCGTAACTACATTTCATCGAACTGCTGATATTTACGCAAACTTTTTGAGATAGTTAATAACTGCAGTAGTATTCTTTCCTTCTTGTGTAGTCTGTTGGATCATTGCAGTAGGCAATCTCAGCTAACAAATTAGGGTGACAAATATCAAACAGAATTTCAGACTACACATGTACAAAAATCTACCAGGGCACTATGTGAGCTACATGAGTTTAGGCTGATCATATGCTCTTAAGGGTGGCCACTATGGCAGATATTTTGCTGAGGACCATACAGCGCCAATTACCATCAACAGGAGGGATTTCAAAGAGGTTACTTCATTCACTTGTCTAGGGAGCATTCTCTCAACTACAGGAGGAACGGGCGAGGATGTCAAATCGAGCGACAATCGGGAAGGCAGGCGAGAAACACATTCATCATCAACCTGAAATCAATCTGGAAATCTTCGTCACTCACCATCAACAATAAAATCTAGTCGGATTTTCAATACAAACGTCAAGTCAGTCAGCTCTTCTATAAAGATCAGAAACTTGGAGGGTCACAAAGAATATTTCCAACAGCCTGTTGCAGACCTTTATCATCAACAACTGTCTTCGCTCTATACTGAAGATCAAATGGTCGGAAACAATCACCAACAAGAAACCATGGAACAAACAAAAAAGGAACCATTCACCAACCAACAAATATGCAGAAGAAAGTGAAGGTGGATTGGACACTCGCTAAGGAGGCCGCTGGGTGACATCGCGCGCACGTCAGGCCATTCTCGAGTGGAACCAGGCCGATAGGGAAACGACGAGTGGGACGTCAGTGCAAGGGTGACATGGAGGAGATCGTGTGAAGAGGAGTTGAAACAGTATGGACTAACATGGATGCATGTGAAAAGCACAGCAGAAGACAGAAGCAACTGGAGACGTGCAGTTGAAGCTGTATGTTCCACTAGAAACCCAAGGGAACAACAATAATGATAATTCTTCGAGGATAACATAAAGTCAAAGAGGAGCAGACGTTGCCTATCTCGTACAAGGGACAATCCAAATCAAATTAAAAGCTTTCAGGGATACAGGAGCTGCAGACAGACCACAAGCCAAGTTCAACACTCAAAAACTGAAGGACCAGGCTACAAAGGACATCTTCATTGCAAACATAAGGGAAAAAGCCGAGACACAAATCAACACCAGCGAAAAGGTCAGCGTCGAAAAGCACTGGAACAACTTGAAAACGGTGTGGAGTCAAACCTGCATGGAAGTTCTAGGCAGAAAGAAGAGGCAGGACAAACAGTGGCTCACTACGGACACTTGGAAACCAATAGAAGAGAGAAGGATAGTGAAACAAAAGATTATACAGTGCACTGACGAGCAACAAAAACAGGAGCTGAATGCAAGCTACAATACACTGAACAAAAGAGTGAAGAAGAGTGCCAGGGAAGACAAATGAAAATATTATGAAACCATAGAAAACGATGCAGAACAAGCTGCAGGCAAAGGAGACCTCGCCACACTCTACCAAACAACTAGGAAACTATCGGGCAAAAGTTCGACACAGATTAAGCCAATAAAGGACGACAGTGGAAAGTCAATCACCAAAGAGGTGGAACAGAGAAAACACTGGGCTGAACACTTCAAACAACTTCTAAATCGTCCGCCAGCTACAACACGCCCAACAATACCAACAACGGAAGCAGAACTACCAGTGAACATTGACCCCCCGACGAAATCAGAAGTCCTGAATGCAATCAAGATGCTAAAAGCTGGAAAAGCACCAGGACCAGATGGAATCCCAGCAGAAGCTTTGAAAATAGACCCAGAGACAACAGCGGACTTGATGACGCCACTGCTGGAGAAGGTGTGGAAAGAGGGCAGAGTACCCGAGGATTGGAAGAACGGATACTTATTCAAACTTCCAAAGAAAGGAGACTTAAGTCAATGCAAAAACTGGCGTGGAATTATGCTTCTGTCCATTCCAAGCAAAGTACTAAGCCGCATCATCATCATCCTGGAGAGAATCAAACAAGCCCTAGATGAAAAACTTCGACCGAAACAGGCCGGATTCAGGAGAAACAAATCATGTATTGATCAAATCGTCACACCGATCATCGTTGAACAAAGCTTGAAATGGCAGCCAGCTCTCTATCTCAACTTCATCAACTTTGGAAAGGCCTTCGACAGCGTCGATCGAGAGGTCATTTGGCAACTACTTCGCTACTACGGGGTCCCATCGACAATTATACATCTCACTCAACAGTTATACGACAATGCTGCATGCCAAGTAATCCACAACGGGAAACTTACAGAAGCCTTTGAAGTGAGGACGGGAGTGAGACAAGGCTGCCTACTATCACCAATGATCTTCCTGATTGCAGTAGACTGGATAATGCGACAGACAACGGCAACCAACGAGGGAACAGACATAAGATGGAATCACACAAAAGACGTGGAGGATCTGGACTTCGCCGATGATATATGTCTGATTACCCACAAACTGGAAGATATGCAAGTGAAAAGCAACAAGTTGGCAGAAGAAGCATCAAAGATAGGACTTCAAGCGAACATAGATAAAACAGAGGTGATGAAGATTCCTAGCCAACATCAACAGCAACAACAGACAACAATCAGCATAAATGGGAGGAACCTGAACGAAAAAACCTCCGTCACCTACCCATCTGGGAAGCATCGTTTCAACTACAGGCGGAACTGACGAAGATACCAAAGCCAGAATCGGAAAAGCAAGACAAGCTCTCATTACTCTCAAATCTGTGTAGGAGGTCAACAGCACTCACCACCAAAAATAAGATCCGGATTTTCAACTCCAATGTAAAGTCAGTGCTACTATACGGATCAGAGACTTGGCGAGTCATAAAGAGCATCTCAAACAAACTTCAGACCTTCATTAACAGCTGTCTTCGCTCAATACTCAAGATCAGATGGCCAGAAAAGATCAACAACAGCGATCTCTGGCAGTGAGCGAACCAATCAGGAACCGATTGTGAAACAAATATGCAGGAAGAAATGGAGATGGATTGGCTGGCCATACTCTGAGGAAACCATCAAGTGACATCACTAGACAAGCCCTCGAGTGGAACCCGAAAGAGAGGCGGCGAGTTGGTCGTCAGTGCAAGGGTGACTTGGAGGAGGTCATGCGAGGAGGAGATGAAAGCATGTGGACAGACCTGGAGCGGGGTGAAAAAGTTGTCATAAAACAGAAGGCAATGGAGGTGTGCAGCTGAAGCCCTATGTTCCTGTAGGAACTAAAGGATACAATAATAATAATAAATAATAGAGAGAAGTGAATACACACTGTTACACACAACATCAGTTAAGATATAAGTGGTTTCGATTAAATACCAGAACAAAAGAAGGTAAAAAGTTGTTAGAATGAGACTTGAAACCGATTCTCTGAGTTTATTGGTTGGAATTATTCACGTAGTTGTTGGATTATCTAGTTGGAGACTTAAATATATACATGTGATTATCCTTAAGTAGATCAGGCATATTACGCAATGAATCACAAGTACAAAATCTACTTCATACACTGAAAGTCAAGCACCTGAACATTGTTGTAAGCTTCCCATAAACATACAACAAATTTGGCTAACCACCGATTGAGCTAGACAATTTATTTGTACCCTCCTATAACTTTCAATACAATAACATCGCATTGATATTAGCATTGAAGATATTGTCAATAAAGCCAATAAAAACTTTGTAAATAACACAACTACATCCCGACTTCAGCCACTTGAGTAATCGATCTTCGCCATCATTTCTATAAATGTGATTGTTCACTGGCATGCATTCAAGATATGAGCAGATCACATCCCTGATGACGCCTTGATTAAGTTCACCCTACACAAGAGGATAGAATGAATGTATTTTCAACAACCAATTGCAATTTTAGGCATAGTAAGCAATGAGTCAACACCTATTGTGTGTACGAGACTGAACAAACCTTGGAGAGCGGAATACGTTTTGAACCAGTAGCCCGATTGCTTAACTTTCAGAAAGTAGATTTTACACGGAAAATAATGCAAACACACACATACATATATAAGCATCTAGCATTTTTTAAAGGAAAAAAAAATATTTATTTACCACAGCAAGTTTATTTTTATTTTAATTAATACTAACATTATAGCCCTTTTAAAAACCAGTACAACAAGAACCATACTTTAAAACTGTACACAATATAAACGTGATAGTAGAAAATAAGAAAGAGAAAGAAACAGACATGATCAACCCATTAGTAGAAAAGTCAGTTTGTAGTTGCACACACTATAAGTAGGCCTCGCTTCTGTTTCCTTCCTTCTCAGGCATCTACTTATCAAATTCAATCATACAAACTAGCCTAGTAGGTCATAAGTTTGTTTGACTTCAGGATAATCCATTGTCCCGTTAATCTTTAAAGTAATCTCCAATCCACGATTATCGAGTGTTGCACGACGAATTGTTATCTTCCCAGTGACTAAATCACCTAATAGAGAGAAAGAAATGAAGTTAAAAAAAACACGAAAAATAAACAACTTTTACAAGACTTTATAGACTGTGAACGACACAAATCGAATGTGTTAACAAGAAATTGCTATCTTATCGCTGATTACAATGTCAAATACAACAACAACAATAAAACCCAAGGCCTACAATAAGAATCTAAAAGATATGAACTTGGAGGACGATTCATTTGTCACAAATATATAGATTTACTGATAAACAGAAATAAGTTGACTGAATAAGCAGCGGCGTGGTGACAGGATTTCAGTTGAACATAGCAAACAGACGGAGGTGATGAAGATAATCGACAACCAAGAACAACAATAACCAAAAGCACCAACCACTGTCACTACCAACGGGAGAAATTTCAAGGAAGTCATTTTTTTCACTCACCTATCTAGGCAGTGTTATTTCAACTACAAGCACAAGACGGCACAGATGATGATGTCAAAGCCAGATAGCGTCCGAAAAGCAAGACAGACCTCCATCACTCTACAAATCACAAACAAGATTCGGACCTTCAACACCAATGTCAAATCAATCATCACTGCTTCGAGCGCCGAGCCCTAGGATGAAACTCCAATGGGAAGTGACCATTGAGGCGTGAGTTTGAGGGCGGCATAAAGGAGATCGTGCGAGAAGCAGGAGGTGGCGAGGCCTTATGAGTGATCGTTGACCCAGCTAATAAGGACTTTAGGGAATAGGATGAAATGGAGATATGCTGTAGCAGCTCTATGTCCCCCATTTAGAACCCAAGGCTATAATACCAGTAATAATGATATATAACCTAGTAGAATGAGAGTTATTTGAAGCCAATGTGATAACAAAAAATACCACTCCTATCTACCACAAAAAACAACAGCACTATGTAGAAGGTGAAAACAAGAGGGAAGGCTCATCGTTCGCAAGACAGACAGCTAGCTGAATTTTACTATCTGAAAAAACAACAGAACATCTGACTGGGATACTGAATAAGTATGTAGGTTTCAAGTGACCTTAACAACCCCAAAACTCTCTGAAAAGTTTGGAGTTAGCAGCTATTGGAAGCTCCGCCTTCACAAAGAGAGACGACGAAAAACACCATGAGTGAGTGATTTATAACTTCAAAAGACACTAATTTTAAGGACTTATGAAACTGCAAGCCGGCACGGGTGAGGATTTCAAAGCCAGCCAAGTTCGGAAAATCAAGAGAAAATTGATTTTTGTTTTATTGAACGGAAATGCTCAGTCAATGTTGATATGTCGGATTCTAGTACGCAGGCTTGGAAGATGTGTGAAGGTAAACATGTTATTGGATTGATTACGAGTAGCAGTGAAATGCCGACAAATTGCACAGCAGGACTTATCTGCCTTCCCCAGTGACTGATAGTATTTTTTTATTGGGAGTCGAACCCAGCAACGATCGTTTCAAATACTGCATTTCGATAGAATACAAAGTAATAGAGAGAAGAAATAAATAATGTCAACAAAGTTAGTTAGTTAAGTACTGAAAACGAGAGTATTCATGATACGACCAACTTACTTGGCTTAACAAGAATTGGCTTATCTAAGAACAACAGTGTTTGTTTCCAGTGTGTCAAAGGAGCAGTCGGTGATGTTGAAAATTCAACCTAAACAAAGATAAACAAAATTATGTTCGGAAGTAAGCAAGGATTTAACAACTCGGTCAACATATATAAGGTACCCAATATTGAAAGGAGAGATACTAAAACAATGATGCCCGGACGCTCAGACCGAAACAGGTGGTTGTCTTAAGGAGACCACTCCTCCTCTAAAACCTTTGAGTAGCCTGATCCAAAAGGCAGTGGAGCAGCATCAGGAGCTACGTTATTATGAATACGTCATTTGATCGGTTCCTATTGTGGTACCCTTCTACACTGCAGGTTAGGTAGGAGACAGGGTTTTCCAGCTCCAATAAGTAGTTCAGCATAGCCACGAGTCCGGTGGTAAGAGCCAGACTTTTTCATTCACACATTCACTTTTGTGAGAAACACCTGCAGAGTGAATAGGCTTTACCTGGTATATGTTATTGGAAGAAACATTCTGCCAATAAAGTTCTCAGTAATAATAGTCACGTGTTGTGCTAATCTGTAATTCGATTCTGCATGAAGAATAAAGTGTATGTGTTTTATTTCCATTATTTCCAATTCATACATATATTCTTTCCTGAAAAAACTACCTTTCTGTTTATTGTCGCAGCTCCCTAGATCTCTTTCCTTTTTGCCTTTACATATGTGTGCACTGAACTGCTGTACCTTCATTATGCTGCAATGTTCAATTAATGAAAAAGGGAGTTTAGTGTTATTAGCATATAGCTCATATATTGTCTGGAACTAATCATGTTGCACATTCATCTACTACGTCCTCTATACCATTTCCTTCTTTCCAACAACCTTTTGCATTCCTGTGCGAAGCCAGTAAGTGTGCATCTCAGAAGGGCTATGAGTTGAGAAACGTTACGTAATGAATACAGTTTATGAGCATATATGTAAAGCATCCAACCAAGCACTTGCATAATACCACATTTGTATGCATTACCGAAATTTCACAAAACAGGATTAACCCCGCCCCCGTGCGATTTTCGACATGGTAGGTTCTCCTTAACACGGAATCGCTCAATCGCAAGGTGGAATACTAGAAGCAGTTAGACTATATAATTAATTCCATTTTAAACGCATAACCTGGTACAACAACACGGACACCAAGACATGTGCCACACAACAATAATGAAATGTAAATATACATAAAAGTGTGGGAGAGAATGAATGACGGATGTCATCCAGAAAGCGTATTTCTCAAGAACATCCAACATTCGCTACTTCATGATATTTTCGGGAAGGGGATAAAGATGTATATCGCACTATATTTTCCATTGATAGAGATTCTTTGTCATATCTGATAGCGTTTCGAGCTATGTCTCTGGCCTCAACCAAGAAGTTGTGATGTACCCACCGATACTGAGCTGACACAAATATCCTTCATGCGACGACGCCACGTGATGGGCTGACCACCTCTCCACTTTTCCCATCCTGTCTCAGAACTGGTGAACAGAGACTGGTGAGGAAGCCATTCGGATGGCTTTTGCAGCACATGTTCAAACTACCAAAGCCGGATGACACTCGATGGCCGACCTCAGAAGTACCCACATGACGATATCATGTGATGCAAGTAATTCTACGGAGACAGAGATGATCGAATACGCATAGTTGCCACCGCACATCCTCAGCTCGGAGAGGGCAGGTTTCACAGGTGTAGAGCATGACTGTCTTCACCGAAGCATTGTGAACCAGACCTTTGACAGCCAGACTAACGACTCGACAATGCCAGAGATGGCCCACACTGACGTATGACACCCTAGTCTTCATGATACGGTTACAGATCTCATCCGTCACGCTTTCACCAACACTCATTTAACTACCCAGATACACAGAATTACCAACAACTTCACACTGGGATTATTTTAAATAATTTCCATGTGTACGACTGCACAGCTTGATAATAAACTTGTTGAAAAGAATCTCTTGTGTTCTTAACAACATTACTGCATACTAACAAGAACCGCTGAATGATTATTTGGTCCTGAAATCGACGAGTCATGAAATGAGTCTGTTACCATCTAAATCAACTCAACCCCTTCCAACTCCACTCACGCTACCACCTACAAACTCATGTATTAAATTCAGTTGTGTTTTTTTTGGCAAGAATCCAACACATATTTTTTAACTACTCCGTTTTTTCATTACAAGTAAAAGTTTTGTTTTCTAATATATAATAGTATAAACCTGTCAATATAACTGATGTATACATTCGCCTATGGATCGCATATGTCTAGCTTCGATTGATTCTTATTTGTCTGGTTTAGCTGAAATCCAATCCAATTCACGGTTGAAATTCCTCTTTCAGTTATTGTTATTATGAAAATGAAACTCGCTTTCAATATTTTTATGTGTCATAATATAATATAATAATAATATATAATAATAAATAATAATATTATCTAACTTAAATATCACAGTTTAGGAATTCAATAAGCTTATAACACACACACACATAGTGTAGTTTACAAAAATTAGTTGATTGAAAAGTGTGCAAAAAATTGAGTAACATGCTTTGTTCTTCTTAACAGATATTTCTGAGCGTCTCTACCCTGAAACTAACCTTAATCTTTTTTGACCTTCCCTAAAACTAACCAGATATCCTACTTAATACTATTACCCTTTACTGAATACTTTTTTCATGAATAGAGTGCAGTTTCCGTGACTTAACAGTCTGGGTCGAACTGAGCGTTTCAAGTTGATTGTTTCATTCGCCACGGTTGGGTGTCGTAAGGTTAATTTCGTCGAATTTTAATACGTAGCCCGTTAGGAAGAGTAATAATACTAATAACGAATAAGTATCTTTTCTGCTAATTTATCGTAGTTCGTGTACTGAATTCTATTCTATCTAGAGCGCAGCTCTGGTTGTTTGGTCTAAGTATGAAGCTTCAAACCACTGATTCACATGGTTTTCAATTCCTTTTGCATCGAATGAAGCTTAGATAACCAGTTTTAATATTACTACCCACTTCAGGCAAGTAATGTGGCTAATTTTCTCATAGTGCAAAGAAATAAAATTAATTCATTCTTCGCAGTAAGGTGATAACTGACATGTTTGTAGGGACGGGTTACTTAAGAGTTTTGTAACACGGGGCTCTTCAAGCTTTAGGTCTTTGTAGCTTTATTAGCTGTGGTTTTATTTTTACGTAGTAATGCCACAAACTTCATTTTCCTGTCTACCAGGTTTGGAGGTTCCTCATCAGGGAATTGAATGAAGACTCTGTGCTTGGTTAGTGTTTATTCTACCTAGCATTGAACTACTGAGACAAGAAGTTTTTAATTACGTGGTCGAAATTAACCATACGTACTGCGTCGGTGGTGCCGTGATAGAATGCTCGTCACACGTAGTCCAGGGTTCAATCCCCGGCAGCAGCACTTTTAAACTTCTCATAGCCAGTTATAGTCCGTGTGAAGTAGGACGTTGCGTTAGGTTAGACTAGCAATCCCGCTCCGTAAAAATAAATCCACTGCTACTGAAACTTCAAAGTTAAAGCTTGAAGCCCTATGTTTCACTTGGAATGCAAAGGAATAGAATGAGTAAGAGGAAATATTGAAGTTTTATCGAGTGATTACCATAAAGAAATAAAAGTTTAGTTTTTAGTCTAGTCCCAAAATTCTGTGCGTATTATTTTTGTTGGGATGTATTCCAAAATATTGTTTTACCTTTTAACGGATATACTATGTAAAATACTTTCGGATATTTAGACTCACTGGCTGAACCAATCGCTTTCGAGTTTGTATCCCACCCTCACCTACACTTTAGCTTAGGAAATTGTAACTGTATCAGAAAAATATTATGGTTCATAGTTTGCGGTATTTGGATGTCCTACTTTGAGTAGCTGAGTTCTAATAGCCTACTTCGGAAAACGCGTAATAGTATATTTTAAATAGTGAGTCTTCATTGACTAGGTTGTCTTTCAGCTATATCCGCGACTGTCCATAAGCTTTCATTCCCAACTTCCATGATCTCCTCCATGTCACACTAGGGGACATACACCAAACTCATCACTTTCTATCCAGGTTCCACTCCCCAGTGCCTGACATATGATACCAACCTCAGTGTATATCTAATTCACCTGCATCTCTGTTGGTTAGAAGTAAGCTCTTGGTTGGTTCACTGCCTGCACACCATAATATTCTTTGTTGCTTATGTTTCCTGTGATCAGCCATGGAAATAAATGATTTCAGTGCGACACTACAAGCTTGCGAAGCTTATAAAAGCTCTGACGGATAGTGTTGTAGCTTCTTCTTCTTCTTCTAAAGTGTCAGATGTTAAACATTTAGACCTTCTGTCTTTTCCTTGAGTTTAGTATGATTCGATTAGGGAAGAGTATCACAGCCATGTTTGTGTACTCTAATTTACCGCGTGTTGAGTAAACTTCATAATCATGGAGATGCATGTATTGTTTTTATGCGCAAATCTTATTTGGCCTCCATATTATAAATCGCTATAAATCAGTTAGAGATTATGTTTTGTTTTACACTACCGTTATTTTCTCATCTTTTCATAAACGTTTTCCTCTTCACCTTTTTGCAGCAAAAAGTATCTGATCTGGTTTTACAACTTCAAAATCAAATGAAGGTAAATATATATATAATATTATTATTATTGTATCCTTTAGTTCCTACAGGAACATAGGGCTTCAGCTGCACACCTCCATTGCCTTCTGTTTTATGACAACTTTTTCACCCCGCTCCAGGTCTGTCCACATGCTTTCATCTCCTCCTCGCATGACCTCCTCCAAGTCACCCTTGCACTGACGACCAACTCGCCGCCTCTCTTTCGGGTTCCACTCGAGGGCTTGTCTAGTGATGTCACTTGATGGTTTCCTCAGAGTATGGCCAATCCATCTCCATTTCTTCCTGCCTATTTGTTTCACAATCGGTTCCTGATTGGTTCGCTCACTGCCAGAGATCGCTGTTGTTGATCTTTTCTGGCCATCTGATCTTGAGTATTGAGCGAAGACAGCTGTTAATGAAGGTCTGAAGTTTGTTTGAGATGCTCTTTATGACTCGCCAAGTCTCTGATCCGTATAGTAGCACTGACTTTACATTGGAGTTGAAAATCCGGATCTTATTTTTGATGGTGAGTGCTGTTGACCTCCACACAGATTTGAGAGTAATGAAAGCTTGTCTTGCTTTTCCGATTCTGGCTTTGGTATCTTCGTCAGTTCCGCCTGTAGTTGAAACGATGCTTCCCAGGTAGGTGAAGGAGGTTGTTTCTTTCAGGTTCCTCCCATTTATGCTGATTGTTGTCTGTTGTTGCTGTTGATGTTGGCTAGGAATCTTCATCACCTCTGTTTTATCTATGTTCGCTTGAAGTCCTATCTTTGATGCTTCTTCTGCCAACTTGTTGCTTTTCACTTGCATATCTTCCAGTTTGTGGGAAATCAGACATATATCATCGGCGAAATCCAGATCCTCCAAGTCTTTTGTGTGAGTCCATTTTATGCCTGTTCCCTCGTTGGTTGCCGTTGTCTGTCGCATTATCCAATCTACTGCAATCAGGAAGATCATTGGTGATAGTAGACAGCCTTGCCTCACTCCCGTCCTCACTTCGAAGGCTTCCGTAAGTTTCCCGTTGTGGATTACTTGGCATGCAGCATTGTCGTATAACTGTTGGATGAGATGTATAATTGTCGATGGGACCCCGTAGTAGCGAAGTAGTTGCCAAATGACCTCTCGATCGACGCTGTCGAAGGCCTTTTCAAAGTCGATGAAGTTGAGATAGAGAGGTGACTGCCATTCCAAGCTTTGTTCAATGATGATCGGTGTGATGATTTGATCAATACATGATTTGTTTCTCCTGAATCCGGCCTGTTTCGGACGAAGTTTTTCATCTAGGGCTTGTTTGATTCTCTCCAGGATGATGATGCGGCTTAGTACCTTGCTTGGAATGGACAGAAGCATAATTCCACGCCAGTTTTTACATTGACTTAAGTCTCCTTTCTTTGGAAGTTTGAATAAGTATCCGTTCTTCCAATCCTCGGGTACTTTGCCCTCTTTCCACACCTTCTCCAGCAGTGGCGTCATCAAGTCCGCTGTTGTCTCTGGGTCTATTTTCAAAGCTTCTGCTGGGATTCCATCTGGTCCTGGTGCTTTTCCAGCTTTTAGCATCTTGATTGCATTCAGGACTTCTGATTTCGTCGGGGGGTCAATGTTCACTGGTAGTTCTGCTTCCGTTGTTGGTATTGTTGGGCGTGTTGTAGGTGGCGGACGATTTAGAAGTCTTTTGAAGTGTTCAGCCCAGTGCTTTCTCTGTTCCACCTCTTTGGTGATTGACTTTCCATTGTCGTCCTTTATTGGCTTAATCTGTGTCGAACTTTTGCCCGATAGGTTCCTAGTTGTTTGGTAGAGTGTGGCGAGGTCTCCTTTGCCTGCAGCTTGTTCTGCTTCGTTTGCCATGGTTTCATAATATTTTCTTTTGTCTTCCCTGGCACTCTTCTTCACTCTTTTGTTCAGTGTATTGTAGCTTGCATTCAGCTCCTGTTTTTGTTGCTCGTCAGTGCACTGGATAATCTTTTGTTTCACTGTCCTTCTCTCTTCTATTAGTTTCCAAGTGTCCGTAGTGAGCCACTGTTTGTCCTGTCTCTTCTTTCTGCCTAGAACTTCCATGCAGGTTTGACTCCACACCGTTTTCAAGTTGTTCCAGTGCTTTTCGACGCTGACCTTTTCGCTGGTGTTGATTTGTGTCTCGGCTTTTTCCCTTATGCTTGCAATGAAGATGTCCTTTGTAGCCTGGTCCTTCAGCTTTTGAGTGTTGAACTTGGCTTGTGGTCTATCTGCAGCTCCTGATTCCCTGAAAGCTTTTAATTTGATTTGGATTGTCCCTTGTACGAGATAGGCAACGTCTGCTCCTCTTCTTGCTTTTGTGTCCAGTAGGCTGCGCCTCCACTTCCTTGAGATTGAGATGAAGTCGATTTGGTTTTTGGTTTGCCCGTCTGGTGACACCCATGTAGCCTTGTGGATATCTTTGTGCTTGTATACACTGCCACCAATCACTAGTTCGTTGAAGGCGCAGAAGTCGGCGAAGAGTTCTCCATTTTCATTCATTTTTCCGAGAGCTTCTCTACCCATGATGAGTTCCCTTCCTGTGTTGTCTGGTCCCAGTTTGGCGTTCATGTCTCCCATTAGTATTTTCATGTCGCCAGCTGGAGTATTGTCCATTGTTGCCTGTAGTTGTCTGTAGAATTTTTCTTTCTTTTCGAGGTCTGCGTTGTTTGTGGGTGCATAACATTGTATGATTGACACTTTCCTTCCTTTGGAGTTGAATCTGGCGGTCATTATCCTGGACGAGATCGCCTCCCATTGCATCAGGGCTTTCGTTGCCGTTGGTGACATCATGATAGCCACGCCCTCGGTGTGCGTGTGGTTATCTTCTGGGTGACCGGAGTAGATCACTGACTCACCCGTTGACAATTTGGTGAGTCCACTCCCATTCCATCTGCTTTCACATATTCCCAGCACTTGGATTCCGTATCTTTTCATCTCGTTTGCGATCTGGGCAGCTTTCCCTGTGTCGTACATAGTGCGGACGTTCCATGTTCCCACACAGACTTTTTCTTTTGGTGCAAAGAGATTCATCGTGCTGAAGTTTCTGTAACAACTTTGTTTGCAGGGTGGGGTTGGATCATTGAATTTTGACTCAATAGCTGAGAGGTTAACACGACAGTGGAAGTCACCAGTGCGTACTGCTAAAGAGTCCAAACTAGAATGAAACGATTGTCCAATACTCCTAAGTTTCACCTTACATTCTTTAGCATATACATTCATGGACTAGCCATTGGATCGGGTCCCAGTGACCGAATGGTCTACAAGCTGACCTTTTAACTTTAAGACCCTGGTTTCGAACTCTGATGGGTGCGCGCTGTGATGAGTCCCCAAATAGGACGATAAGAAAAGTTGTCCAGCACTCGACTGCTGGTTTTGCAATGCTTCTATAACCAATGTCAGCTCATGATGAAATCTTGTAACCAATCAAATCAAATCTCTACAAGGCAATACTCGAATACATATCTAGTGTTGGTTTGCAGGGATTTGATTGGTTTGATCACGAAGTAACTGACTGACATCAGTTGGAGAACCACTGGAAACCAGTAAGTACTGAACAGTTGTTTTCTTCTAGTTTGGAACTGATCGCCAGTACACACCTACCATGCTTTGAAACAAGGCCTTAAATTTTCAAGGCAAGCTCGTACCCCCTGATTTTCCTTGTGATTCACTAGCTAATGTCAGCTTATGATCGAACCCATAATGTCCATCGATCGATTCATAATGAAACCTACATTTGAAAGAAATTTAATTTTTTACTTTTTTTTAAATAACATGCTTGCTTACCTTGACGTCTGCTGCATCATTAAAACGTACATTGAAATATCCAACAATAGCATCTAATTTAAAAGTGCCACTTATCTTTGTTGATAGATTCGATGGTTGTATGAGCAAACTAAAATTTTGTTCACATAATATAGAAGAGTTATTTGTTAAATTATAAACGCGTTGCTTATGCATATCACACAAGTCTATATCGATTAATTCATACGGTTGGGAAGTTAAAATTGTAATCGGTGAAGTTGTTTTCCCCGATTCTGATGAGCAAGTGGCGAATGATGATTGTAAGGATGCCAGTGACACATTGGGTGAGAATAATAATGGTGAGGATGGAGTTTGTTCATTTGTTAAATTTAATATATGAGCTTCACTCAATGCAGCACGACGCAATGCTGGCATATTATATCCATAAACATTGTTCCAATGTTCCAGTCGACGTTGACGTAATTTATCTGAGCATTGCACACCCAATAGATGAAGTGTATAATGACGCGGGAATATATATCCATCTGGGGATAAATATTTTGAAGCAATATTCAGCACAGAGTCAAGCATTGACTCAAAGAATAGAAAATATCCCATCCATTCTGAGATAATAACATCAACCTGTAAAACAAGATGGTGGTACAGGTACACACACATAAGTACAAAGGAAAAATAATCACAAAATCTACAGTTGCTGTTAACAAACTATTAAAATAAGAAGGATAGTCACTTCTTATTTAATCGTAGTAACAATTATTTAGAATGAATCGTGACGGAGAGCCATATAGCATGGTGTGGCCACATTGCAAATATGAATGGCAGAATTCAGTCTGCACCAAGCGAATGACCAGACTAGACTCATGACATCAGTTAGTATTACTGATATGTACACTGATGACTCATCAATATTGATTTTTCGCGCCTGCATGATTAATTATTTTCTCGCACCTGCATGATTGACTTTACTGAATTCCCACTGGTTGTTACCATTTTTTAAATGTGACATTGATTTTCCTAACTGTATAAATACGGAGTTTGGTTTAACATTTTCGACTGTTCTAGGGACAGTAAAAGCTCTCCTATCAACGTCCAGTCTTCTTTCTTTGTCTTGCGTGCCCAGCGGTATTATTGTTGTTGTTGTTGACGTACGATTAGGACAGATTAGTCAGCTCATTAAGTTAGATTCGCTCGTAGTCTACAAGGTCACAATATTCATACATAACAATTGCCCAGCGTCTAATCAAAATAACGACTCCATTCCCAACAATACATATGATAATGATATGTGGAATTAGCAACATATTGTAACTAATTTTCTCTTGACATAGTAAGGGGAAAAATAGTTTACAGAACATTTACACTGATGATAATGTCAATAAAAATATTATTAATATTATTATTTCCCAGGGTCCAAGTGGAACATAGGGCTTCAACAACACATCTCCACTTTATTCTATTTTCCACCGTTTTCTTCAGCTGGGTCCACGATTGCCAATAATCTCTCATCTCCTCCACCCCACACCATTTGTTCCATGCCATCCTCGGACCAACGCCCCATTCGCTGCCTACTGGGATTCCACTCGAGCAAAGACCTGGCGCGCGATGTCGTTCGACGGCCTCCTCAACATTTGCCCCATCAATCCACCTCCATTTTCTCCTAAATATTTGTTGAGTGATCGGCTCTTGGTTGGTTTGTTCATAGCCGGAGTTTCTTGTTGATGATTCTTTCTGATCATTTGATCTTCAGTATGGAGCGAATGCAGCTTATGATAAAAGTCTGCAGTAACCTGTTGGAAACCCTTTTTGTGACACACAGTGCAAGTTTCTGAACCATATAGAAGGACTGACTTCACACTGGTGTTGAAAATCCGAATGTTGTTGTTTATGCTGAATGCAGAAAATTTCCGAACCTCGCCTAGTTACATAGCTGACTAGTTTTCTAGCCGGTCCCAAGACCGGATAAAAAGGGAGGGTTGGGCGTGGGACTAGCCACCCTACACCACAAAAGCTATCAGACTCCTAGAGAAACTTCAATGCACAATAAAAATGTAAAATTAAATCGAAACAGTGACAACAATACATCAATGTGATAGAAGGAATAAGAAGTACTGTTCATCACTTTTTGTTTCACAGCAAGTTAGTAGTTCATGCCCAACACATTTTTATCGTCACATAAAGTGCCTACCAAATAAAGTACCGCAGGGTTTTTCTATCAAGTCATCTGGGCCTAAAGTCTTTTATGATTGTTTCCAATCCTACCTGATGATGAAATACAGAAGGAGAGTTGTGTACACAGAGACGGTATTCAGATTTCGACAAGATGATATTCGCTAATTTCTAGCATGACTTCAAGTGTTTGTCCAAGACACCACTAACAAGTTGGATTAGCGATACCCAGTTCGCCCTATGGAGAGCTTTTAGTATCTTACTCAATACAGTCAGGAAAGATTAAGGGATAGCAATAAAGAAAAGGGAAGCTACAAGAATTAACTAACTGTAAGAGTAAAGGTTCAATGACACCAGATTGTCATAACTTCCTTTTGTAGACGGTTAGACAGAATATCTTCTTAGAGACTAACATGAAGTGGGAAGACCGGGAAAGATTAGAAGAAAGACATAATAGAAGGTGTTTAACATTCGACTAAATTGGCTTCAAATTCAGCACTTTTTATGACACAAGAATCAGGAGAACAAAACAATTCACCTAAATCATGTTTTTTTATGAAAGTGAAATTAACGGTCTGCCATTTGAAGGAATTTGGCTTAAGATCATTCAATAATGACCACTGAATGATTTCTAATAAAAAAGGTATTCAAGTTTTGAGCAGTTTCACAGGAAGCTAATTGTGACATGCAAATAGTCAGATCATCGGCATACTTGACCGAATTGTGTTTATTCTACGCTGACATCCACTATAATATTTGCTCTTGAAATTAACGGTTTAACATAAAAGTCTACTTTTAAAAATGGGTGAGATTGGAACTGGTATGATTTGACATATGATATTTGTATGGTAAGAACAAAAGGACTAAGTGAAGACAATGGAAGAGAGAATTTCGGTAGTTCTACACAAGGTAAGTTTATTTGATAAAGCACGAATAAATATATAGTGATAAACGAATAATAACTTGATGACGATTCCAGCACAATTTATTGATGCTCGTGATCATATCAATGTATAACACGCTACTTTTTCACTTTCTTTAGCCTGCCTTTCTCCCTCCCAATCTCCACATCATTTTAGCTGCATGTGCTTTGTGTTGATTCAATGAACGCAGATTCAGTGATTAACCTCTCTTGCGCTCCCTTACTACACCTAATTATACTACTTTATGGGGACTATGTATCGTTAAAAATTCAGTTTTTCTCTAGAAGATTAAACTAAGCACGATTAATTATTCTGGATTTAGACAAATTCCACAGCGAATCGGCCTTACTGTTAAACTGCTGCATCACTGCAAAAGACACATTGGTTGATCGTTACCGAATTACTAATAGTATAATTTTAGTCTAAGTGATCGATAAATCAAGTTTGCATTGCAGTCATCAAGACAGGTAACTTCTTATCGTCGAGGTTCAAATCCTAGAAAAGTCATCAATTCGTCTAAGGTGGCAGGGACACCTTCCAGTCATGTGAAAGTCTACTCAGAGTATATACAATCCATCTCCATTTACTTTTCCATTTGTGTTAGGTAGGTGATAGGTTCTCGGTTATTTTTTCGATGCATTTCAAAGCTCCACACTGCTTATCCTTCCTGATCATTCATCTGATCCCCACTATGCAGAGGAGCAAGCTGTGGATAAAAGCCTATTCGGAGCCTGTTGGAGATGCTTTGGGGGTGACACGTGAGCCAAGTCTCTCAAGCATATAGAAGCAATGAGTTGACATTAGTGTGGAAGATCCGCCGGACCTTATTCCTTATGCTGAATGCAGCAGATTTTCACACTGGTTTCAGATTAATGTGAAGGTTTGTCTGACTTTTCCAATGGTGGTTCACTGGCTTTGACATCTTCATCCATGCAGCCTGCTTGTAGTTGAAATAACACTGCCTAGATAGGTGAGTGAAAAAAATGACTTCCTTGAAATTTCTCCCGTTGGTAGTGACAGTGGTTGGTGCTTTTGGTTATTGTTGTTCTTGGTTGTCGATTATCTTCATCACCTCCGTCTGTTTGCTATGTTCAACTGAAATCCTGTCACCACGCCGCTGCTTATTCAGTCAACTTATTTCTGTTTATCAGTAAATCTGTGAATTTATGTGACATATGTAAATCATCCTCCAAGTTCATATCTTCTGGAGTCATCTTGTATTTGCTGTCTAAGTTACACTGCACAGTCTGACACATTATCTAGTCCACCACAATAACAGATATCATATTACCCGTATTATTATATCAATATGAATAACTTCGTCAATGTGGAAATAATTAAGTGATGAAGGAAATGGGATTTATGTGAAAATTAAATGAGACACAGATACAAAGATATGACCCACTTTTTTAACAGGAAGTTCAACAGACTCTGCTTGACCATGTATAATTGTAATACGATCGAGTAGATTATTCACCCTTTGTTAGAAAAATGAGGTATGAAAAGTTAAAAATAAATAAATAAATAAAGCAATAAACACTTCAAGCGAGAAAAATATCAATAAATTCGTTTGGTGAAATAAATGAATGAATTAAAAGAAGAGGAGAGCCTTATATACTCATCGGTGTATTACGGCTCAAATTGACAGAAATTCAGTAAAAGTGACCCAGTCACCCAGAAACAGATTTCTCACTGGTTCCTTCTCCGGCTGGAATGATGAAGTAGTTGGGACGGGATTCCTACCTCCCCCTTTGAATTATTGCCTAAGAGGCGAGTGTTTATGAGTCAAATATTCACTTACACTAGAGAAGAAATAAAACATCGAATAATGAAGAGTCAATTAACTAACATTTAGCGAAAATGTTCATGAATTATGCTACTTTCATCATGTCTTCTTCTGTATTCACCAGTCATATCATGTATCCATGAAGCAACACAGAGAGGGCAGCTGTCTAGCGTTCTTCAGCAGGTGATTGGACACCTTGAACAGAGGTTCTAGTATGTTCACCATGTGATTCGCCCCTGTCAAATGTGAGATGATGTTGTAGGACTGGTTTGCACCAACCAACTTAAAGATAAGGAGTGAAGTGGTTCAACGTGTTGACTCACAAAATTACCTGGGAAGTTGTATCAGCTCGAATGATGAACTGATTTCTGACGAAATCGCAACATGCATACGAACAGTATTTGGTGGCATTTGGTAACATCATCTCTAATGTAGGCATGATCATCTCCGGCTATCATCGATCAAAGAATGAGTGTAATACGCAGCAGTTTATCTCTCTTTCCTCCTTTATGGTCATTAGAAGTGAAATACCTGAAAAGGCTAATCGTCTTTGACTATCGATGAACATGAGCTCTATCTCATCGTAGTAAACGGTATAATGCAATGAGTAATATTGAAGGTAAACTTACAGTGTAAGGCGAAGGAGGAAAGTCAACTGATGAAGTTGTTAAGATTTAGGTAGCTGAGACATGTGTTAAGTAATTTAGAATCTCCGCCTTCCTCGAAGAGCTGTGTAAGCTGACATAGATTAGTTAGGAAAAGACTTAAGTGTGGTCAAATCACCGTTGGTTTGTGTGCCACGTGGGGGAGGTGTAGACTTACTGTGTTATTTTTGTCGACGGAATGTTAGGAACGAATGGCTTCAGACTGCTGGTGATATATATACATGAAAAACCATCCATAATTCCATGGATACCTTCATCCTCATGTTTTTACCATGAAGTTCTTCTGAACGTCTTATTTCTTGCTTTCCTTTACCTTGGTGTAATATATAGATTGTGGAAACTTAAAGTGTTTCACTTTTGTGGAAAGTTTTACGATAAACCTTAATCGATCAGCTAGATACTTGACATAAGCAAGAGATGATGCAAATCGAAAAATGTCAAAAAGACGATTGTTCCTAACACTTCACTTGAGAGAGTTAATAAAATCGAATCACGTACTATGATTTTACTTTTTTTCCAAACGAACGACAAATGTAATTGTCATATAAAAGAAAAGAAGGCGTTCAGTGAAGAGACTCTTTTCGGCGAATTCATTCACTGAGCTGTACAATCGCATATATATATATATATACAAATTTGTGTGTGTACATGTAATTGTATTTTTTCTTGAGGCATTGAACATCTTCATTTCAGAAAAAATATATTTCATACGCTCTATTCATGAACCACCTTTTTTCAAAACATCAGTAGAATTCCTGAGATGCTCAGTTACCTTATTGAACACATTTATGAATAAAATTAAATAAATTCATGATCAAGTACCATTGATGGACACCCTTGTTTTTCATTCCTGAGCACTCCGAAAAGAACAGAAGGCTTTGAACTCTTTTGGAAGTTTTAGTAGGCATTTCATGTAGCAGAGATGCTAGCCTTATACTCAACCTTCCCTCTTTTTTAGGCTACTCATCGGGTAATAAACTAGGCAAAGTTTATTTGCTGGCCAAGAATCGAATACAGACGACGTCCGATATGGTTCGTGAGCATTCCACAGGGGAACTGCTGACGGATACCGCTAGTTTTCCTGAATCCAGATAATATATAACTCTTCATTAAACCTAAATTAGCAATCAACTACTACTAACAAAAGCCTTACACATCAAAATATTTATCGATCTAAGTTATTACATATTTAGCAACAGTAATATAATCAGTGCAGTACTGAGGGATAAAAAAATGCCACACACACACACACCTTAAAGTTTCATGTGAAGCTGCATATATCTCATCAGCTGCCTCTACACCATAAACATGTTTAGCACCAGCTTTTGAGGCAATCATAGATAGTATACCTGAACCAGATCCAACATCTAAGATTATCTTGTCCTTAAAATACTTGTCAGAGTTAGATAAAATAAAATTCACATAAGAATCAGTACGTATTCGATCATCTAAAGAAAGAAACAAAGAAAGATAAAGGGAAGGTAGATTGTAAAAATTTCAAAGCAAAGTGTGAATCATGAAATCAAAAGCATGCGTACAACAATAGACCGAACAGTACTCAACTTCTTGAACTAACATGTCACTTAAGAAAACAATATTTTTCGCTTAATTGTGTAGTTCTGAATTATTATTGTTATTATCATTATTAGCTAGATATTCAAATAATGGAGAAGTGATATAGTTCAGGTGGAGGATTTTGAATTTATTGTGTTCACTGAGCTGATTAATTTAAAGTGGGTGTCCCCTTCGAATCCGAATCCAAGAACACCAATTGGTTGTAAAAAAAAAATGATGTGTATTCTTTCATATCAATGTGTTTAGATAATTATGGACACCAATTTGATCGGAATAATGTGGAAACACCAAAAATATTGCCGAGGAATCCCTAGAAGCCTATTACTCAAATGAATCAGCAATTAACAAACACATTACTATACAGACCCAAGTTATCTAATAAAAAGTAAATCACATGTGACAAGAAAGTTCAAATTCCAAGTCAATAAAAGGATGATCAGTAGAGACGTAAATTAACAACCAGTCACGACAGTGGCTGCCAGGAGACGAAATTTTATCATTCATGGAGAATTCAAATAAGTTCATTTTATACTAAAACCTGCGTTGAAGATGGCAATTAAATAAACCAGCTCAGATATTTTGTAAACAGGAAGCACTTGTTGATGTGGAAAAAATTTAAAAATGAAAGAGAACAGAAAGAAGAGAACACTTTCAATTTTCTGAACATGTACGTCTTAAGATAACAAATGCTTCCTATGGTGTCATTCTCAGGCATCTCGTCGATATGAGTCATGAGGTGGACAACATGAAATCTTATAAAAAGTATTAATAGTCAATACAGTTCATTTCCCTTGAAGTTTACCAAGGCAATCAACTGCTACCAAAAGCCTGAAATCTGTATCATTTCTTCAGTAAGAATCAGTATTAGTCTTTTCTTGTCCCGGGTAACTGGACGTCTTTACTCTCGTCGTCTTCACTATAATGTTATATTGCTTGTCTATCTTGTTTCTATGATTTCAGTTGAACTCACCACATTGTTATACAACTTCTTAGTTACTTATCATCCTGTCTTGTTATCACACAACTTTGACATTCTTTCCAAGCATTTCTTTTCAAACTTAAACCATATATGTATAAAATATACAAGTATAACTTTTGCGCACTGTTTATTAATTTCCGAATCTTTCATCAACCGACATGATAAAACATCCACAAGTATATGCAAACTGTTCCGTACATAAACTTAATGTTTAAAGCTGTATGGAGCTGACGAGAAGGCGACGAAATACACGATGGCATCATCTCATTCTGCATAAACCGTTGTTTCTGCTTTATTCAAATTCATGAAAGGGAATAAATGTACGAAATTTCTAAAAACGATTAGAATCGACATTTTAAGCCACTTTATCCCAAACTTAGATTTATGTTGTGAGTTGGACGTTATAATCCATCATATTGGTCAGTCTTTAACCCTATAAACAAACCAATCAGATTAACCCATTCCGTAAGCAACTAAGCTTAACATTATGTACATTGGAGATGTATATATGTGTGAGGTATTTTTGTTGTTCTTAAAGCCACAGACGAGACATTATCTTCAATCTAGAGTTCGTTTTTATCGACACTAGCCAGTAAGGCGTATCTGTTCTATCGGAGAGAAAATGATGTCACTTCTCTGAGGTATTCGAGTCACTCAACTTTTTTAAACAATACAATTTTTACCCTGTTAGGACTACCTACACACTGATTAAAACAATGAATACCATACTGTATCATTTCACTTCACACATAAACACACTTATTAAAATCACATAACTGCAAATAACCGATTTCTTAGCATGATTATAACTTTCATTGACGTTTGATGTGTTGGAAGTGATCGGTAGGAAGCTGTGAGTCTACCTTTTATGCGTTTGGCTACTCGTCGACAAGGCGTATCTCCAATCTCTCCAAGTGACTGAGGTCTTAGATTTGAACCCGAGTCACCCAGTGTTGCAATGACAGATGTTAGCAGTAAGCCATTTAGACGCCCGATTGCTGACCACGTACAGAACTTGAATGGATATATTGACTGCTGACATGTACTCACATTCTATCTCATTAGTCTCTGTCATACAAAAATAAATCACACGTCATATGATGGGTATCAACCAATCACAATCAAGCAAGAGGCCAAGGCCTACTATTCAATTTTATGACTGGATGAATATGTACCATGTTTTTGTATCCTTGAATACAGCTTTGCTCTTAATTGTTTGGAAATACACAGTGCCTACCCTGCCCTGTGGGTCTTTTGGATTCTACTAGTTCAGATTGGGGAAAAGTTGACCAGGATGTAATCCAGCGTTCATTATATTAAACTAGCATTTGTATTTATACTCCGGGCAACGACAATAAAAACTGGTCACCACCAGTTTGTAACCAATGTCATGTATTACGCCATTCTTGTTGGCCTTGACTGATTTCTATCCGTGAATTAAATATTGATCGCAAAGTGATAGCAGTTAGAGAATCACAGCAAACCAGGAAGTAATAGACAGCTGCTTCCTCCTTGTTTAAGACTCTTCAACAGTATAAGACCATGATCCCCCACCAGGGTCGAACCCAAAATCATCAAGTTTTACAAGGCAGGGTCGTTGACCATCGAGTCCCTGGGATGAAGTCCAATGGTCTGTCAATTCTAAATTCTGCTACTTTGCAACAGCTGTCCAGTATTCCCTGATGGTTTTCAAGGATTCTCTAACAGAAGTTAGTTTATGATAACAATCTTGAAACCAATCATCAAATCTCTGAGAACAAACACTTGAAAATCTGTTAATCAAATTTGATAGTTCTTCACTTTAATGGAATACATTCAGTGTTTGTAAGTAGACATCAGGAGGTATACAAAAACTTACACTCGGTTAGTTCTAAAAGACAAATATAAAAATTAACTATTGCACGAAATGAATGAATTAAAGACAACGGTTCCGGAAGCTCGATTGACTGGAATGTTGATAGGACGGACTAACCTTGTTCGTAAGCTGTAAAGTCATGACTGATGCAATCAGTCAAATATTGATGATTTATTAATGGTTCAGAGAATAATATACTCTGTATTGTGAACAATACAGATTGCTGTTGTTATCTTACACCTGACTTCTTTGTCTATCTCAGTGTTAAGAATATTTCAGAGTGATCAGTTGACTACAGTGTCGTGACTGGAGGCTCATCCTAGTCAGCACAGACAACAACAAGAAAAACACCAAACACTCGGTTACAACAAATGTCCTGTCCAATATGTATATATGAACTTTACACATTTCCTGTTGTCGACTGTGCAGTGATGAAAATCTGCCATAAACAACCTGGCACGACCAAGAGTGAGTAGAGTGGGCAGTCTTCTTCTCAAAATGCTCTGATGTAGACATACGTTCATAGACTATGCAAGGTAAGTTCTATTCATCACCCTCACACAATGAGACTGTTCTTCATAAAAGTCGAAAGCTGAATCCTAAAGTCTGGTGCTTACAACCGGATTGATGGACGTACTGGTCTTCATGAAGCAGCTGGAAAACCCTAATTCCCAACCTATGGTGTACATAGACTCCAGAATCCGAAAGGATCGAATAGAGTATACATGTGTGTTGGTCACCGATGCTATGGGGACTAAGCTCCTGATAATGGCCACATTGACCACCAGTGCATCGAATTTCAAGTCCAATACATTAGGGGTGACCTCCTTCGTCTAGGAGTTCGAGCAGTCTCCCAGCTCCGGTAAACACTATGAGGTTTTCTGCAGCACATCTTTCAGTGCCCATAATGTACCAAGTTTGTGTCTGTCTGTCTGTCTGTTTTCGACATAGAACTTTGCACAAATGTGCGGAAGTTCAAGTCGCCACACTCCGTGTAGCACGCGAAGCAAGAGAAGAAAGTACAAGAAAAGCATAATAGAAACAGTGAGCAGAGGTGTGAGACAAAGGAGGAGTAATAACGAAGAACAAAACAGTTTCATTGGAAATCATAAGTCACAAGGAGTGGATGCATCTGCGCCACTGAGAACGATTTTGAGCCATGTCACCAATTGTTTCCAACCATAGATTTTTACCGTCTCGAGGACCCCAGCCTGGAAGTCTACACCTTCCTACGTGGCTTAGACCAACTGTTGTGGATTTCATTGACTGGTGCCAAGTTTTTGTTTGACCGCCGCTAGCTCTTTTCTAGCCTGACCCTATATTCGCTAACATTGCTCGTCGAGGAAGGCGATGACTTGGCATACGTAACACTTGTCCTAACCATCTCAGTCTATGTAACTTCACAACCTCGTCAATTGATTTCCCCTCCTTACCTAGCACTCGACGCCTAACTTCAATGTTGCTCACCTTATTATGCCACTTTACACGGGAAATAGAGCGCAGGCACCTATGATCAGAGACAGCTAGTCTTTTCATGTCTTCCACTCTCAATGGTCAGGTCCCACAGCCATAGAGGAGGATGGAGCGGACTGATGAGCAGTACACCCGCCCTTCGGTCGATAGTCGAATATCTCGTCTACACCAGAGTCGGCGTAAACTGGCAAATGCGAAACGAGCTCCCTGTATTCGTGCTGAGATTTCGTCAGAGATCAACCCATTGGCACTGGCTGATGGTACTTCCCAAATAAGTGAAACGGTCAACGTGCTCTACCACTTCACTTCCTATTTCTTATCTAGGAGTCGGTGTAGTCCAGTCCTGTAACATCATCTCACATTTGGTGGGAGCAAATCGCATGCCAAACATTCGTAGATGGCAGCTCAAGGTGTTTAGAAGACTCTGCATTTTGTCAGCGTCTTCGCCTAGAAGGACTATATCGTCTGCATATTCCAAGTCAACGAGATTATTCCCCGGTAGCAAGTCAATCCCTGAGCTGCTGAAGTCACTTAGGGTTAAGTCCATTAACATATCTATGATGAAGTTGAATAGAAAAGGGGATAATGGGCATCCTTGACGGACACCACTAGTCGTCACCAGTTCAGATGACAGCTCGCCGTAAGCCCTCACGTGGCTGTATGAGTACGAGTAGAGTGCCTTAATCAGTGCAATATATTTTCTCAGGATTCCCTTTACAGCCAAGCATCTCCAGAGGACTTCTCGATCGACAGAGTCGATAGCTGCCTTTAGGTCAAGAAATACAATGACTGTTGGACGCCGGTAGGAATGCCTATGCTCTAGTTTGTGTCTAAATAGATAATATAAATAAGTGATGAAAAGCGTAGATATAGGACGAAATCACTGTCAGCTTACCACTACATCTCAAATAGCTGACAACACTTCATATCTACTGTCGATTAATGTGATATTATTCTAAACAAATATTAACATCATAAGGAGGAAAAACGAAACAATAACTCACTTATCATTTCACCATGTATCTCAAAATGGCCATAAGATCCAAAATACGAAGAATCATTCGGTTCGATGATATCAGACTTACGATCTGGTGAACGACTAGATGATTTTGTTCTTACTGGCTCTTTAGCCATATTTGAAAGTAGAAGTCTGAAAATATAGTTAATCATCATAGCAGTACGAAGGACAAAATAAATAGGTTATAATTCATATATATATATATATATGTATATATATATATATAGGCTCTGAAAGGTAAATTTAGTCTCCCAATTCAATCATCACCCCAATCTCTATCCCTAACCCAACTGTAACCCTAAGTTGCCTCTAATTAGGGTAACCTACACTGTCTCTGACCAAAGCCTAACCTCAATCTTTCCCTAAACCTACCTAAAACTGACCAGATATTCTGTTCAATAATCATTACACCCTATTCAACATTTTTTCAGAATAAAAATAGTTAGGGCGAACAATTGTTATCATGAAATTCTTCTTCAGGCTATACAATCATAACTCCATTAATTTTTAGTGTACATTAGCCAGTAAAGGCACATTGCAATTACATCAATCAAAAGATGGGATGACATAGTAGTCAGCAGTCCCCTACGTCCTCCTTTAATGGCTGTGATTGAAAGTCGAAGACATCAAACGCCTGGATAGCTGTTTTTGATAATTGGTATCTGCGTTCTATCGCCCATGTGTGTCAGGTGATATAATAAGATAAGCAAGAATGAGTTTAGGCCTCAGTCGAGTACCAGGTAAGGAGGAGAGGAAATCAATCGACGAGGTTGTGAACCAACTGCATCGATTCAGATGGTTAGGACATGTGTTACACATGCCTAGTCTGGCCATCGCCTTCCTCACCGACCGACGGGAAATCTTAGCTGACTGATATAGGATTGATCAGGTTGGAAAACAGCTAGTGGTGGTCAAACGAAAACATGGCTTCATCAGTCAATGAAGTCCACAACAGTTCGTTGAAACCAGCTATGTAAGGAGGTGGAGATTAGCTTTCTGTTTCGGGTGTTCGGCCTGGTAAAAGCCAATGAAGGCTGGGATACTGAATAAGTATGTAGGTTTCAAGTGACCTTGACAACCCCAAAATACTTTGAAAAGTTTAGAGTTAGCAGCTATTAGAAGCTCCGCCTTCATAATGAGAGTGGGGAAATGCGATGAAAAACACCATGAGTGAGCGATTCACAACTTCAAAGTATACTTATTTTAAGGTTATGAGTAACTACAAGCAGGAAGCGGCATGGATGAGGATGTCAAAGCCAGTGAACCACCATTGGAAAAGTCAGACAAACCTTCACATTAATCTGAAACCAGTGTGAAAATCTGCTGCATTCAGCATAAGGAATAAGGTCCAGCGGATCTTCCACACTAATGTCAACTCATTGCTTCTATATGCTTGAGAGACTTGGCTCACGTGTCACCCCCAAAGCATCTCCAACAGGCTCCGAATAGGCTTTTATCCACAGCTTGCTCCTCTGCATAGTGGGGATCAGATGAATGATCAGGAAGGATAAGCAGTGTGGAGCTTTGAAATGCATCGAAAAAATAACCGAGAACCTATCACCTACCTAACACAAATGGAAAAGTAAATGGAGATGGATTGTATATACTCTGAGTAGACTTTCACATGACTGGAAGGTGTCCCTGCCACCTTAGAGGTCTGTCTGTCTGTCTGGATTCAACATAGAACTTGGCACCGAAGTGCAGCAGTTCGAGTTACCACGTTCCAAATAGTACACAGAGGTAGACAGGAAAATAAGTGAAGAGAATCAACAGAGTTTGACAAGTATAAGAGTGGAACAGAATAGGTAATGGTAGAAAGGAATATGAAAGATTACAGAGACTGAATACATCTGCGCCATTGACAACGATTTTGAGCCATGTCACCTATTGTCTCCAGCCATTGATTCCTAGAGTCCGGAGGGCCCCAACCCGGAAGTCTGCATCTCCCTACCTGACTCAGTTTAACTGTCAAGGATTTCATGGATTGATGCCATGTTTTTGTTTGGCCACCACTTACCCTTTTCCAACCTGCACCACCTATGTCAGCTAGTAATGCCCGTCAGGGGAGGCGATGGTTAGGCATGCGCAGCACGTGACCTAGCCATCTCAACCTACGTAACTTTATAGCCTCGTCGATTGATTTCCCCTCTTTGCCCAACACTCTACGCCTAACGTCAACATTACTTACCTCATTAAACCACCTAACGTGAGAAAGAGATCTCAGACATCTGTGATCGAAAGCAGTCAACCTTTTCATGTCTTCAACTCGTATTGGCCATGTTTCAGAGCCATAGAGAAGGACGAAGCGAACTGCTGAGCAGTACATACGTCTATTGGTTGATAGCCGGATGTCACGCCTACGCCAGAGATGGTGTAAGTTAGCGAAAGCAGCTCGAGCTTTTCGGAGCCATGCTGAGATTTCGTCGCCAATCAGTCCGTTGGTGCTGATACAACTTCCCAAATGGGTGAAGTGGTCAACATGTTCTATCACTTCACTCCCTATCACTAAGTTAGGGGTTGACGTGGTCCAGTCCTGTAGCAGCATCTTACATTTTGCAGGGGCGAATCGCATGCCAAACATACGAAGATTGCTGCTCAAGGTGTTCAGAAGACTCTGCATTTTGTCAGCATACTCCCCTAACAGGACTATGTTATCTGCACCCACCTTAGAGGAACTAAGTCCAAGGGTGATGATATAAAGGAGATGGTGTAAGGAAAAATCTAGGGCCTGTGGGTAGTCATCAAGAGGATTCCAGAAAATTGAAAGTGAAATGGAGATGTTCTACTAAAGCTCGGTGTTCTTTTCAGAACTCTAAGAAATAATAAAGTTAGAATATATGAACCACACACCAACCATGCATACTTGCAATTATTTAGTTGTGCGCGTAATGTTCTATTCTCTTCTACTAGTCGTAACAATTCCTGTGATGGACGCTCAATAATGAGCTCTCTGGAATAAGTAGTACCAGTAGCGCCAGCATTTAATCCATTTGATAGCACTGTTCCATTAACAACTTGTTCATTTTGACTATTATCTACCAAATATGATTCAATATCTAAAAGTTGAAAAAAAGATGATGAGAAACCAAAAAAGGAAAATATTACACGAAAACAATCTGAAAAATGATTTATACCGCATAACTTTGAAACTTGAGTATCATAATTCTTTCTACTCCTTCCCATTAGTCTTAAGGGTATTAGAATTTGCCAAATGTCCGCAATAGGTGTTGAGTCACTCCTATCGTATGTGCTCCCAATATATTATTCGATAGATAGGGCTCACAGTATCAATCTCTCCGTCCACTCTGTTAAGTAAGATTTTAAGACTATCATCATATCCTATCCTACCGTATGGCTGTGAATAGTTGCATGTAGTGCTATAGCTGAGTCATTTTTTAGATTTCTTATTTTGTTACGGTCAAATAATGAAGATATTGCTGGGGTATTTGTGCACCGCTAGTCTGATTAACCCCTTCGTATTAATTTGACTTGACAATCATTGCACAAGGTAACATAAAATAAATTATTTTGTTTAATAGGCTGCATATGCGTCGGTGGCATAGCGGTTAGGGCGCTCGCCGACCATGCACATGGTCAGGGGTTCGATCCTCGGCCGATGCACTCCTCTACCTTGCCAAGCCAGAAATAATGCTGGTAAAGAGGAAAGGTTGGGCATTAGGCTAGCAACCCCATCCTATAAAATAAACACTGTTACAGAAACTTCAAGCCACTAGCTTGGAGCTCTATTTTCCACTGGGGAACGTGAAGGAAAAAAATAGGCTGTATATGATCCTTTAACCGCAACAATTTGTTTATAAGTGAGTTTCAATGCCAGCCACGCTTATTCCTAAATTTGTTAATAATCCTAAGCAAGGTTTCAAAGGTTCCTTATTTGTTTGGAATCATTACTTTAAGAATAACCTACTAATAATTGGTTGTAATAAGCAAATAATTTTTTTCATTCCTTCGGCGTTAAGAGTGGAATATAAGACTTTGAACTTGAGCTTTGAAGTTGCAGTGGTTGTGTTGTTGTCTTCTAACAGGATGTGGTCACCCAGACGAATGCCCAACCATACCTCCCTCTTCACCGAGTTCACCCACTACTGGTAAAGCGAAGTGAAGGTAATAAAGGCTGGTATTTATCAAGACAACTGAAAATACGTACAATAAGAATCACTCAACATTTGTCCACCCAGACATCTGGAAAATTCTACTGCCCCTATGATGAATGGGAAGTAATAGAGAAAATTATAAAACTGAGGTTTCGAAGTTGTATAGTTACAACTGATTATATATATATATATATATATGCATAGAGTGAAATTAAAGCAAAAGAAAAAGGAGAAACAAGAGAAACACTTACCAATTGATAAAACCTCATCATCCGTTAAGACAGGATAAAGTAAGTCCATGGAATCTGTTTTCCAAACCATATCAAAAAACGCTTGACGTAAATCAGTTGGTTTCTAAAAACAACACAAAAAAGAAGCTCAAATAATTAAAACTTTTTTTACAAATTATCACTAAACCATAATACATAAAAGTAGTATTGCTCCCTTGGGTTCAAATTGGAACATAAGGTTTGAACAACACATCTCCACTTTCTTCTATATTCTGCTGTCCTCTTCATCTGCGCTCAAGATTGTCCATAATCTGTCATCTCGTCTTCCTCACACGATCTGCGCTGTCACTCTCGTACCATGGCCTCACTAGTCGTTTCCCATTCGAGCTCCACTCGATCGATGGCCTGCATTGTGTGCGATGTCATTCGTCAGTCTCCTCCCCTCAGCGTGTGCCCGATCCATCTCCATTTCCTCCTACACATTTGTTGAACGATGAGTTCTTGGTTAGCTTGTTCCCATAGTTTCTTGTGGCTAATTCTTCCTGACCAGCCATTTCATCTTCGATAGAGAGCCACCGAAGGCAGCTGTTAATAAAATTTTGCGGTAGCCCGTTGGAAATGCATTTTGTGACGCGTAGTACAAGTTTCTGACCCATACAGAAGAACTGACTTAACATTGGTGTTGAAAATCCATAATGTTGTTGTTTATACTGGGTGAGTGCAGAAGATTTCCAAACTGGTTTCAGGTTGATGAAGGTGTATCTTGCCTTTCCGATTTTGGCTTTAACGTCTCCATCCGTTCTGCCTGTGGTTGAAACAATGCTTCCCAGATAAGTGAAGGATGTAACCTCTTTCAAGTTTCTCTCGCTGATAACGATTGGTGCTATTTGTTGGTTATCTTCATCACCTCCGTCTTCTCTATGTTCACTTGGAGACCTATCTTCGCTGCCTGCTTCTTCAGCCAATTTGTTGGTTTTCACCTGTAGGTTTTCGAGTTTATGTGACATCAGACATATATCCTCTGCGAAATGCAGGTCTTCTAGAATCTCCTTATCAGTGGTCCAGCGTACTTTGCCTCCTCGCTCCCCACAGTCTGACACATAATCCAGTCCACCACAATTAATATTATCATCGGTGATAATAGACAGCCGTGTCTTACTCCTGTAGGCGTTTCGAACGCCTCACTGAGTTTCCCGTTGTCATACAGCTGTTGACTGAGGTTGATAAACACTTGAGGTACGCCGTAGTATTGAAGTAGTTTCTAAATTACGTCTATTTCAGCACTGTCTGGTGAAGACCTTTTCGAAGTCGATGAAGTTGAATTTGACGTTTGACTGACGTTCTATGCTTTGTTCGATGATGATGATGATGATGATGCACAGAGTCGCAAATTGGTCTGCACATGGTTTACCTCTCCTGAATCTAGCTTGTACTTGTCAAATATATAGAAGTATCGACTTGAAATTCAGTAAACAAGGTTTGAATTAATAACATTAAAGTCAAGGTGGTCAGTCAGTGCTTCCATATGGTTTAGACATTTATCATGCACGTCAATAAAATCATTTTGCAACATCCTGTTGTGAACTTTCACCAACAAGCAACTCTCTTGATTCGATAGTGCTGAAAATCATCTGCATGACCAGAAAGAACAAGCAGCAAGGAACTCTGATAGGCAGGCAGAGAACCAACCAAAAACCTATTACGCAATGAATGAGAAAGGAAATGGAGACGGATTGAACGTACTCTAAGCAGACATTGACTGACATCACATACCGTAACCTGGAGTGGAACCCGAATGGTAAGCTATCAACTGATGGGTGGGTCTGAGGGTGACATGGAGAAGATCATGTGAACAGGAAATGAAAGCTTCTGGGCAGTTGCAGAGTCAGCTGAAAGTGATGTTACAGGGCTGAAATTTGCCACTGAAGCCCTATTTTGAACTCGGAACAAAAGGATTGAATGAAAATTAATTATAATATGAGTGAGTGAGTAAGTAAGCAGATAACTGAAGCTAAATGGAAATCTATAAATTATGCAGAATTCAAACTAGCTGAAGCCGGACTACAGGTTGATTGAGCCGCTAACACCGTCAATTACAATAGATAACTGGCATGATAGTCCATTCATCAGGTGCCACAACCACCCTATTAACTATGACTAACAACTTGACTACAACAAACAAGAATATACAGGAAAAAGAGTAGTTACATTGAGAACAGTGAGTATTCTATGGATCTGAAAGATCAGAAGCAACGAATGCGTCTGCCTCATTTAGAACGATTTTGAGTCAATATCACCAACAATCTCCAAACACTGGTCCTTAGAGACTCGACAACCCCTGCTAGACAGTCTACTGATCCTCACTAGCCTAAATCGACAGTCAAAGACTTCATGGATTCATGATATGTTCTGGTTTAACTATCCCTAACTCTTTTGCAACATAATTCTAAGGTCAGTTAACATAGCACGAGGTGGAAGGCAAAGGCTTGACATGTATATACGCATATCCTAGCCACCTAAATCAATGCAGCTTCACAACCTCATCAACTAACATATATCGAACATACTAATACTTCTCCACAAGGTGTTTAGAAGGCTGTGTACATTACCATATTATCTGTATCTTTTATACAAATCAAAGAACCTCTGTCCTGGTATCAAGTTGTTCGAGTTAATCAGGGTCACACCCAGTAGTACATCTATGATGATATTAGACAAAAAATAAAGGAAAATGGGCATCCAGCCTCCACCATCATAAATGGATACCACTAATTGAAATGATATATATATATATATACGACTTACAGTTTTACGCACAAAATTTACAAAACGAATCCAATCATATTGATCATTGAATATACTTCTGCCTTCACCATCTAATAGGTTAACCCATTCGTGTTGTATAGTGAGATGACGAAAAAATCCGACTACAGAATCACAATTTACATCACACACTAAACAGATATATTTTTCTGGTGAAGCTGAATCCGGCACTGTAACTTCTTGCCAACCATCTGATTCATATTCTGAATCCGTTGAATTACCGTTAGGTATAATTAATTCACTCATATCTGTAGAAGATAGTAAGGGAGAGAGAGGATAAGGGAGCGAATTTTCAACCAATAACCCTTAAAACAAAAGTTACACTAAACATATCCAAAATAAACTGTCAATTTGCAAACTATATTATATGGCATTATATGTCAGGAAAACGTCCTCAACTGTCCAACTATAATGACAGTGGGATTTCTGTCGGGAATCATTAGGTCATCAGGATCATGCCACATGCAGAATCTTGAAATCACTGTATCATGAACAAACAAACACACTATACCATTGAGAAGCATAGATAATTTCCCGTCGCCTATCGTAGTCTTGTGATCCAATAACCAAAACTATAGTGTCTGATATAGTGATGTCTGGTTTCGATTTTCGACGACGGGGGGATTACTATTACTCACAGGAATGTTTTTAAGTGCGTGTGTGTGGCTGACAAGTGTTAAACACGATTTTTTATGCTAGGCCTTGCCAATCGAATTATGACTGGTGAGCTGAGAAGTCTTACTTGCCAACCCCGATGGAGTTAAGATTTCAGTCACCCAATGAATCGCAGGTTCAAAACCCGCTTCATCTACCTACTCCTGTCTAGACAACTATATAATATCATTGGCCATCACGTTATACATGTGACTCACGTGTAGGCCTAGATAGGATTTGTCTCTTTCGGTTAATAGATATGTGTTCGATCTTCAACAGTATTGTTACACTACTTATCTCGTACTTCCAAATTACACAGTTTTTGGCTGCCGGAATTTCAGTGGTTTGCAACTAATTCAGCTCCATGAGCTGAGTCAAACCATGTACACTACTGATGACAATGAACCACAAAAAGGTAAAACGGACGTTTAGCATTTAGATCACTCCGATCTTCCTACTACTATCACTACACACCTTGATATGAATTGTATCCCGCTACTCACATCAATCATTAGTATGAAATCCCTATGCTACTTAACATGCTTCCTAGATTGAAATTTATCTGCAGATCACATATTGTGATCTGAATACCTGAGATAATCAAAGGAAACTTTGGTGATTTCTCACCTTGAGCTGTCTTATTCGGAAATGACGAGTTTCACAATATTAGTCGGTATTCATAAAAATTTGAGTGGTAAAACACATTCTACATGCCATTCAGTTTATTTATATTACAACAACCACGCATGTGGTCCAAGTTCGATCCCCGCTCGACACACTCCAACAAACCTCGACTAGTTAACTAGCTGGTAAGAGGGAAGGTTGGACTAGCAACTCCACCCCGTAAAAAAAAACACCACTGTTACTACTGAAACTTCAAAGATCAAGCTTGAAGCGCTTTGTTCCACTCGGAATGTAAGGAAGGAATGCTCATTTCATCATGAACCAACAAAATTAATAGAATCATGGTGGGATATTTCGTCCGAGTTCGAGACTTCGGTGTACGTATACACATATGACCTCACCAGAAACCTCACTAAGAATTTTCACCTTACGACAGGGGTAGTACTAACTGGATGAACGATTGACTTTCTAACTCTTATTGATTTGTGACGACATCTGCACATTCAAAAGTGATCAATATTCCACAAAAGACTCAAAATCTAGACAATACAGTGTTTCCCAAATTAGCTAACCAACACTATATTGTCTAGTGGTCAATTATGCACACATCTGCCTCAAAAAGAATAAGACAAGTTTTATCCCCAGGAGATTATTTGGTAATTACCAAACTGATGAATACAGTACTAAGGTAGTGTATTATACTACAAGTCAGCCATAATGTAATTTCGCTTATTCAACCTAAGTTTCAAGTTTGCTGACGCTCATCAGTAAGCACCTAATTTTACAACATGGATTAAACTTATTCCCCTGACGTTCGAGTCCCTGTTACTCGATATCAAGGGATTTATTACCATTCTACCACTGTGTATCGGTAGTTCAGTGGTAAAATACTCTTCGACCACGTAAGTGGTTCGGGGTACGATTCCTGGCGGTCGCACTGCTAAACCTCTCGCTCAGCCGGTAATAAGGTTAGGTATGAGACCAGCAACCCTATCCCGTAAAAACTAAACGCCGACGCTATTGAAACTTCAAAACTCAAGCTTGAAGCCATAAGTTCCAGTCGGAACTCAAGGAAATAAAACAAGCAAATAACTGAATTACACGTGTACATAAATGCTAGAGAAATAACGAAAAAATACTGAGAACTGTCTCATCAGATTTTTAGACTCATCACTACCACCGGAGAATAACTCACTAGCTAACAATCACTAGTCCTTATTTATTAACAAGCTATAATCCCATATGTCTTTCTTACACATGTATCAAAATGCGATGCTCTGGCTTCTGTCTTAAGCACACCACTTTTACACAACGCACTTCTGCCTTAGTTAATAACAGCTTAAACAACTACTACTAGGTAGTATCATTAACCATAATATAACAAATTATAATACCTAAAAAGCCTGATATATGTAACAATTTAACAAAATTTGTCTCGATGACTTGAACACAAACTACTTCTAGCCCAGGTGGGGAATCCCCTTCCATCCAATCTAATTTGGGCCCTTACATATATATATATATATATATATATATATATATATATATATAGTATAAACATGCAATTAAAAACAAAGAGCAATATGTGTATATACATCAAGCAAGTTTCAATATTAAAACAGAACACACAGTGTTAGTTATTTATTGTGTAAAAGTAATGTGTACACACACATACAGACAAGATATGGTTAAAAATCAATAATTTATTATTTCTTTTCTTCCTTAATTAACTATTAAAAATAAAGACTATTCATATTCACCTTGAATAAGTTGTATAACATGATAGTAGATAGGATGAAATTTCCTTCTTCAGAATTAGGATTAGGACGCCTGCCTTCAGATTTTTCTCTTTCTAGTGAATTTTAACTTCACTTTAAAACAGATATCATCATCACTCACCAAATATGATTCAATGTTAATCAATTTCCAACCTATGCCATAAAGTGTTAATAAGGTGAGGAGATAGTCAGGGAAGCTCTCTGTGTGTTTATACAGAATCATGAATATGAGCAGTTATTACTTTTCGGCAAACCACAACACCATGGAAGTTGGTTCCTTCTTGGGGTACCTGAAACAGAAGAGAAGCATTAGTGTGCTGCATAACCACAAAGCCAAAGAACAGCTGTTTGAGGCAGGTCGGCCACACACACACACACACACACACACAGAACCTGTTTGAAGTAGATTTTGGAATTGTGTCCATATCAGGATCTTTCCGCAGGCAAATACGGGTAACTGCAAAATAAGTTCGGATGTACAATTTTAAGGATCGATCTTTTCTAATCCACCCTCTCCAGAACGGATTTGTAACACTCCTGGCTTGCTGGTGGTCATCTGAGAGAAACACTTTACTGTTACTGCATCCCTGTTTGCCAGCAACACGACTTGGCCTACAGAACCCCCTAACGTATTGTAAACGACTAACGCTATAATGTTTAAGGGCTATCCAAACAACCTTTCTAGCATGGTAGGACCTGTAGCAACATTAATTCTAGCCAGTATAGTTCATTGGATCATCTCGATTTGTAAGCCGCACAACCACATCAAGGTAGCAGCTAACGGTCAGGAAAAGGTTGATAAAAGAGAAATTAAAATGTTTATATTTTTAAGAAAAACAACTCGATATTAACTTTTGTAAATACATTTTTTGGGTAAATATTTAGAAAAGTTAGTTTTAATTTGCCAGTAAGTATTCATACATTCAGTAAGGTATGATAGTTATATACAGATGCTATTATTATTATTATTATTATTATTATTATTATTATTATTATTATTATCAGTAGTAGTAGTAGTAGTAGCATTAACAAGCTAAATTTACTGATCGACAACTGTCGTACATTCTATGTTAATAAATGAAAACAAACACTGATAGACAGATTGCAGTATGAATCTATACAATGCATTTCAATTAACTACTGAAAAATTATATTAAGCTGATATTATTATAATTATATAGTTGCCAGTGAAATTAATCTTTCGGGCATACATCCTTAAGTGCCAAGTGACTGAACAGGAGTCGACCAACACCTTCAATGGTATGACGCAGCACACCAGTACAATAGCCTTATTTCATTTGGGTCTTTGTGAGAAATCTCGCAATGATTCTTCCGCAGATTCCTCTAAACAATCATGTTAGGTCGGCTTCTCGGCATCAGTCAAACGCAAAGCCACTGCAACGACACCAATCCAACGGCTTCACTAAACCACTTAATCGGTAGTATCATCGGTGGTTCAACGGAGAAACGCTCGCCAACCACGCACATGGTCCGAGGATCGCTCCTCAGCCGACGCACACCCAAGCATGTAGTAAGGCCAGTAAAGAGGAAAGGCTGGACTTGAGGCTAACAACTCCATCCCATAAAAATATAAACCACTCCTACCGAAACTTGAAGCCCACTAGGCACGTGAAGGAATTAAGAAGAGTTTGTTTTTATTTTTGAATGCAGCTTGATTCCACACTGTATTTTTGGTACAAGTATGGAATTTTCAGCATGGATATTGGTAGCCCAAATTTTGCAGGCCGACCATAGATATCAGGTGTGCGTCGGCAGGGAATCGAACCTGGGACCATGTGCATGGTCGGCGAGAGTCCTAACCACTGTGCCATCGACGCACAGAGCTAATGGGATTTCGTCTTCTTAGAAAACAACTTTGATGAAACATGAAGATCTTCGGCCCGCTAAGGAATTTGAACAATAACGACAGCGGAAACATTCAATACAATGTCCAACCTGGAATAAGAACGCTTACAACACTCAATAGGAACAAAACAAAAACAGCAAAATCAAAAAAATCCGAAAATTGGTTGGAGGATTTGATCATGAACTGAGATCAGTTAGAGAACCGTTGGAAAACCGATACTTGACATATCCCAAAATCGTTGTTGTTGTGAATAGAATATACACATATATTAATATCCAGACTTCCAGAAGAAGAATTATAACTCAATATGTGAATCTTTACAAGAGATTCGATAAGATACAGACAACCAGATATACACACCATTTGTTAGGGCTAATTTTGTATTTATCGTTTATTGATTACACTGGACCGTGAAATGTTCGGCGTCTGTTGACATATTACATCCTAACATGGACTATCCGAAGATGTATGAGGATTACCATGATGTATTTGGTGGATGACGACTGGCAGTGGATTCCAGAATGCACATTTCGTCCTTTTGGGGATTCGTCATCTAGATGTATATGCAAATCCTGCACCAGTGAGTTATAATGTTTACAAGTCACCTAGTGAATAGTGCTTTGGAGTTTGAAACCATGCGTGCAGAGTCTAGGTCTTGGTAAAGGGAACACCATCACCAACTGAAGGATGCAGGTACATCCAAACGACGAGTCCCAAACAGGGCGAAATGCACCACGCTATCTCTTTACTTAGTCTAACTCCATCCAATATGGAAGTGAAATGAAATAAGCAAGAGAACACTTTCAATGATACAATAAAACTTCACTGTAAATTTGAGCTACGTAGAGGAAGAGGTTGAAGAATACCTGACTGTGTGTTTTTTGAGATGACAAAAATAAGTAGATGAAGAGTGCTGATGTCTTGATGTAATATTGTTCTCAATAACACAGATGTACTTACTTCTACTGATCTTTCAAATTCTGTAAAAGTTTCATTACTTTCGATGAACTTATGGTATACATTTCTACTTAGTAATAGTTTCTTTAAATTTATTTTCTCTGCGTTTCTCTATGTATACTTGCAAGAAGACCGAATGTGACGTTTCAACGTATAGAGCTTTGCACACACGTGAACCAGTTCAAATTGCCACACTCCATGTAATACACACAGAGATAAAGAAGAGAAAAGAAAAACAAAAAGAAATACAATGAACAGAAACGTTCGAGAGAAAAAATAGTGACATGAGAACTTGATGATAAACCTGGAAGAGTGAATGCCTCCGCTACTGAGAACGACATAGAAGTATAATACCAACATAATACCCCCGCCGTTGGTTGTTAGTATCCCAATATTCCTTAAGTGGCTTAGACGGATTTCGTGAAAATCTTCGTGGATTGATTCCAGCTTTTGAATTGACTACCTCTACACCTTTTCCAACTTAATTATGTCAGTTAACACTGCTCGTCCAAGGAAGAAATGACTGGTGTCTGCAACACTTGTCCTAGCCATATCAATCGATATAGCTACCTTATCTAACACTGATGCTTACTCTCAATATTACTGAGCATATAATACAAATCAACACGGAAGACAGAATGCAGAATGAGGCTTTTGTATCCATGATGAGATATCGTCAGACATTAATTAACTAGGGCTAATACAAGTTCCTAAACAAGTGGTCAGCTAGGAATCGGTGCAGTACAATCCTGTAGCATCATGACACATCTGACAGGAGCGAATCACATGCCAAACATTCGAATATCTCTGCTCAAAGTGTTCAGAAAACTTTATATTTTGTCCGTGTCTTCAATTAGTGGAAGGACAGTATCATCTTCATACTCTAAGTTGGCAAGATTGTACCCTGGTAAGAGGTCAATCCCTATGTGGCCACATTCATTTAAGACCACTTACATTAGTACTTCAATGAAGACATTAACAAAAATGGACAGGGTGGAACTTTTAAGGTGTGTGAACTTGAAGTGAAACATTTCTGTGCCAAAGTTTGAGGGGGGTAATTTGGTTCAATCAGTATACCACATAATCCAACGAAATAATCTGTTAAACTTAATCGCATGAACATCAGTAGGTTAAGAGCATCTCTACTCAGAGAAAGATGGTAAAACAACCCCCACCCAAAAAAAGAAACTACGCAAAACTGCTTTCCGATGTCATAAAAGAATGTGGCTTATGGTGGTTAATAGGTTTACTCATAACACAAATTTTGAGTCATACATATACACCAGTTATGTGAGAGTTAATGACATACTCCGCAATTTTCTCTAGGCTGAAATAGTTGGAGTGAGATTCGAACCTGGGAGTCATTTAACTGAAAGCCAACTAATTGCTTACACCAATGAATCAATTCACCCGTTATCACACACACTAATACTGAAAAAAGCAAGATTAGGAGAAAAAGAAACATTTTCCAACCTCATATATGCATATATGGTTAGACAGTACAAACGTATAATATTGTAAGGTATAAGAAATGTGTAAGGAGAAAGGATAGAGACGGTAGTTAGTCATATGTAACCATCAGAAACCTACCAATAGACAGCACTTCATCATCCGTTAACACTGGATACAGTAAATCATATGAATCAGTTTTCCAAGCCATTGATGCAATTGCTTCACGTAAATTTGATGGTTTCTTTTTAATTAATAAACAGCAGGTGTTAAATTTATTTTACAAACAAATAATGGACACATAGAACTGTATTTATATATGACGATACGATTCAATTCAATGAAGCAGTGTCTAGGAAAATATTACCCGACATATACAACAGTTACGTGGTGAGTCAACTTTTTTCAAAGCCTATAATCTATACCGTCTCAAAAGAAAAATGCCTACATCTGACTGACTGACTGACTGACCACTTTAAATGTAGAACTTTGCACAGATGTGCAGCAGTTCGAGTAGCCACACTCCGTGTCCATGTAGCACACAAAGCAAGAGAAGAGAGTAAAGATAGATTCAAAACAGAGATAATAAACAGAAGTGTGATTGAGGGAAAAATAATAGTAATATGGAAGAACTACAGAATTTTATTGGATAAGTCACAGAAGGTGGATGCATCTGCGCCAGCCATCTAGAACTATTTTGAGCCATATCACCAATTGTCACCAACCTTTATTGGTTTTTACAATCCCGAACTACCCAACCAGGAAGCTTATCTACACCTCAAGATTGGTAGAAGCCTGTACCTGCACTCACTCTTCCAGATGAACTACTCGAAGTTGTCCATAAGTTCGTGGATCTGAGTAGTTGTGCGTGTGCTGGCGGAGGTATGATGGACGGGATTTCCAACCACATCATGAAGGCTAGGGTGGCATACGTCAACTTGAGCCACCTTTGACACCGTCGTGAGGTTAGCCTGGCTATCATAGGCCGGGTCTGCAATGCTTCGGTGCGGACCGTCTCGCTCTGCGTCTGCGAAACCTAGCCTCTCCGAGCTGAGGATGTGCAGCAGCGACTCTGAGTATTCGATCTTCAACTCGACGTATAACTGTTCTAAGGAGAGACAACCGTCACCCCAAGCAGTGGTAGTGTTTGACAATACCACTGAGTATAACCTGAAAAATGCATCAGTCCCTTCAAGAAATCGTAGATACATCTTTCTAGTGAGTGTCATCTCTGGAGTAAACATGATATCCAGATATTAATCAAATAATATGTTTACTGCACACCAGTTAGCTATGTCCCCCTTTACAAGTTAGATATGGCCAATGAAATTGGAAAATATGAAACGACTAGCTGTCTTTGATCACAGATATTTGCGTTCTATAACATGGTATAATATGGTGAGTAGTACTAAAGTTAGGAGTAGAGTGTTAGATGATGAAGGAAAGATAACCGATGGGGTTGTGAGGGTGAATCGATTGAGAAGGCTAGAAAACATGTTTCATATGTCCAGCAATTCGCTTTCCTCGATGGGCAATGTCAGGCGACATTGGATTAGATTGGAGACGACTTAGGAGTGGTGAAATCAAGACATACCATCAGTTCATAAAGTCTCTGACAGTTGGTTCCAGCCAACCACGTGAAGAGGTGGTTGGAGTCCTCGGGACGCTAACAATCAATATCTGGAAACCATTGGTGATATAGCTCAAAATCCTTCTGAATAGTGAGGATGCATTCACTCTGTGATCTCCCACGTGCAATAAAATGTCAAGTCTTTTCCACGCTGCTATTCCTTCTCCAGTACATTTGTGCTGATTAAAGTTCTTTCGAATCTTTTTTCCTCTGCTTTGTGTGCTACATGGAATAAGGCAACTTGAACTGGTGCACTTCTCCGCAAAGGTCTACACGTTGAAACTCAGTCAGTCGGTAAGCAGGTAGTCTAAGTTTAAGGTGTCCTGACGATTAACTTCCACTTTCTAAAATGAAGCTTATATACAATACATACACACACATTTTTGTGGATCAGCAAATGCGACTTACATTTCTTCGAACATAATTAACAAATCGAATCCAATTGAAATGGTCACTGAACACTGAATGATACTTTCCATCCAGAAAATTTAAACAATCATGTTTTAAAGTTAGATGTAAAAAAAATTCCGTTGTTGACGCCAATCTACACGAGCATATCAAGCATAAATAATTAGCAATATGTGAATTAGGTGATAAAATTGTAATATCATCTTCGTGTCCATTGGAATTTGAGTTATTTGAGATTGTCGTTGGTGCCGGTGTTGCTGTAGTTCGCATTTGAAAATCAAGAATATCTTCGGAGGGTTGAAAAAAACGAGAAAATAAACAAACAGAAATCATTGAACTGGAATTGGTACGAATATCCTGCAATTCACATTTTACATACAACCGGCTGTGATTCCGAAACTGAAAAAGGAAGTACCTAGGCTGGACACTTATAGAATCTATCAGTTCAACGGCTCTTGTGCAACCAGCTATGTACTGGCCGTCTCTCCAGGAACCTAGTTTTCATGATCCGCAACACCTACCAGTGTGGCTAAATAATGGTAATAGTTAAAAACACCAACAGTCCTATATTAGATCACCTCGTTCAAACAAACAGCAAAACTAGCATTGAAGAGTCTTCTTCTGTCATCTCGAGGATACCGAATAAATTGCCAAAGGAATGTAAGTGCCAAACACTTCAAACAGTAGAGGCCATTGTGATTCACTGTGTGTAAAAGAAACAGGTCCACTCACCTATGCCAGCCTAGCCTGCTGTGGGACCTATAAATTCATAAACTCTGTATTTATTTTCCTAATCTTATTTGATATTTGGTTCAGTGTTAAATTGATGCATATTATCACTTACAGATGCTTTCGAACTATAATCTGTCAATATTATTGATTCAATATTATTCAAAATACTAATGTTGACAACCAGAACAATGTCTTCAACTGTAGAAAGTGACAAAAAAGTTGTCGAGAAGAATGTCGTTCTTTGTCCCTTAATCAGCCTTTTAAAACTTACTGTTAATTGATTTTATGGAACTGAAATACTCGATAGACTTCGGTGGCACTTTTAAGTGAAAGTGATGGTATTTGATTGATGGTAGGTAGCTAGTAATGATATCCAACAAGTTCACTCGAGTAGAGGCACAGCCAGATGACGAATCTCAAGTAAGTCGAAACGCGCGTCTTGAATTCCACTGGTGACTATCACTTACCAGATACAAATACTATTAATTTCGCTAAAATCAAAGTTATGCTAGAGAACCAATGAAAACCACGGAGGACTTATAGGACAGATGCTTAGTCCTAGTCATCGGTTATCTAATGATCATTTGTGACTGGTTACCAGATGAAGTGAGAAGTTATGTCCAGTGGGGTCCACCAGGTCGGATGCGATCACAAATCCTCACCGACACCATTCACTGGCGGTGATACTATACATCGTGAACTAACAGAAGTTAGAACTGATGCACTAGACATTGCATTCTGCACCAATGACTGAATAGTCAACGGACACCCTTCGTAACTTGAGGGTCTTGATTTTCATCTCAGGTGAATGAGTTATCAGGGGTGCACACTTCCGAGTCCTAAAGCACGAAAAGACAGCTGTGCAATACTCGCTGGTTTTCAATCCTTGATCAAACTTGAAATCGATCAAATCCCTACAAAGTAACGTGGGAAAACAAGTTATTTGTTTTATAAATTCATAACCTCTGGTACTGATTAGTAGTAAGGCATAGAAAAGGTTATGAACAATTCAAGTAATCTTAGATCTTAGAGTATGATCTTGAATATAACTAATGGTCTGGTATTGACAGAAAATCAGTTTGGTAGTTGGATTTTGATTTATTAACTAAGCACTCTAGACACTTCAGAAATTTCAGATCTAACTTACCAATAGACAGAACTTCATCGTCAGATAGGACTGGATAAAGTAGTTCTAATGAATCTGTCTTCCATTCACCATCATAGAACGCTTGTCGTAAATCATGTGGTTTCTAAGAATAAGAATTTACACACAAATAACGCTACAATGGATGTCAGGAAAGCGAATAACTCACCAGTCTATCACTACATAAAAATAAGAACCTGTATTATCTTAATTGTGCACTTTAAATCTCGTCACTATGATGCCTGTGTATGATAATTTTATGTAGATTGTAAGGTCCAATAAAAGCTGTAGTCCAAGGATAAATTAGTCAATAACAAAACACAATGGATTCCAATCCTGATGATTGTATAACATCAGTATAATAGTAACTGATGCGTAACTACAGAGTTACAAACTAACGGAGTCACTAAACTCAACGTAGAACTTTGCACAGAAGTCTACCAGTGTAAGTTTCCACAATCCATATGGCACACGAAGGTATAGAAAATAAAAATCCGGACTATAATGAAAAGTGTACGAGAGAAGGAATACACACGTAGAGGACTTAACGAATGTACGAGAGTATAAAGAGTAAATATATCTGCACCACTGAGAACCACTTTGAGCCATCTCATTAACACTCTGCATTTCAAGGACACTAACTAGGCTATTTACAACTTTCTGTATGGCTCAAATCAATAGTCATAGACTTCATGAGTTGACGATATCTTTTCTGGTCCAATCTTACGTCAGCTAAAATTGCTGAATGAGGAAAACGATGACTCAGTATGTTTAATATATATCCTAGCCATCTCAATTGATGCATCTTCATTGCCTTATCAATGGCCTTCCCCTCCCTACTAAATACTCTACACCTACCCTCAGTACCAGGTTCTTGTTTTTATTCTAATGAGAACTTGACAAGATACGTCTAAAATTCCAATAGGGGTATGAATATTCTGTTTACCAATAATGGAGATAGTCTCTCTACATATCAATGAAATACAAATTCTTGAGCATTTAAATGCGTATCTTTTAAAACAATTTCCTTACAGATGCAATTCACTTTGACTGTTGACTATGAACTAACCTAGTAGTATTGAACAGATATCCTATAAAAGTCAGATATAATCGTTAATCAACAACAACGTTACCACTAAGATGTCCACTACTTTATATACCTCTCTGGAAATTAGAAAAGTGAATCCAAGCAGTCTACCATTGTCCCAAGGGAAACTCATATATTCTTGAAGGGGTTCAAAGGTCACATGTAAGCTCCCTATTGTGACTAATTTATCATACGAGGAGGGACCTAACAGCTTGAACTTCTTCTCCATATTACATAGTGGACAGAGGAATCTCATTACAATGCTCAAAATCCTAAGAAAGGCCGACGAGTCTCACATGTTCTTTTTTCTTCTCACCAAGTTGGAACACCTTAAAGAGCATAGCAGGGGAGTTCAAAAGTCAAGAAGGAACTAAATCGCTACAGAGAACTGGTTCTCCCATCGAATTATAAACTTTTGGAACCGATTCCCGAAAGAAGTAATGTCTACACTCTCAATCGACTCGTTGAATAGGGGATTAGATAAGTGTGCTTATTAGAAAAGGATTAATACATGTTTGATTCCTATTCTTACCCTAGAATTTAAATCTTATCTATACAGAATATAAAATATAAACCGTGCTGAGATAGATTCTTTTTAAAAATTTAGCAGTCATTTGAACAGATACATTAAAAGTATTCTAGATATTAATTAATAAAAATTAATTGATGAGTGACAACTGTTTTTAAGCTCACATTCCTCCGAACATAATTTACAAATCGAATCCAATCAAATTGTGTACTGATAAATGATTGATTCTTATGATGTAAAAAATCCAAGAAATCATGTTCAATGCCGAGATGATTGAAAAACTCATTCTTTGAATGAAATGAATCCACACACATTAGGCAAATATAATTTTCAGATAATTTAGGTAAAAGCATAACAGTACTTGGTTCCATAGTGGAAACTGTAATTGATTAGTTATCCATAGACGTAGGAATCACAATCTGGAATTATGAAGGTATACATACATTCTTTTGGCAAGTGAACTGATAACAATAAAGCTTAAAATTGTTACAGGATTAGACCAAGTCTGAAAAAATTTACAACAACCCAAAGGTTTGCGTGTTTGAACTCAATTGCCCGGAACAAATTATCATTTCCCAGACTAAAAGCTACATTTATCGTGAGAAAAGGAATGATACCCAAGTGCCCAGTGAGGCTGAAGCAGGTGGTACGAGACTCAAACCTGTAACTCAACTGAAAACCGAGTGTTTGAACCAACAAACCCAGCAATCAGCTGTAAGGGCTAATTACCCAACCAACACATAGAAATGGTTAAACAGTAACTATTTTCTGTAGAATTTAGAATAAATCAATTCGATATGTTTTCAAAAGAAGTGCCGTAACTGGTGCAATACTGTGCAGTAACAGATGAATATAAGTTACAACTACTCTGGCTGCTGTGCTACTCATTTAATGAGGATAACACGTATAAAGACACTACAGGTATCATATCTGATATTTCTGTGCAATTATCTGTCGTCATTACTACATATTAGACCTAAGGTAATAATGAAGAAAACAAATATCATCAACACAACTGACCTTCATAAGGCAGAACAAAATCATGTCATGTTACGCATAAGATAAAGATAATGTGGTAATTATTCTTAATTTATATCTGTTGTTTAATTAGTGTGTCGGTTGAGTGATACACTCTTACGAGTAAACCCACATTTCTCTATGCTTCCTAACTACCAGAAAAGTTTGAGTTCAGTTACACAAAACATACTGTGTACCAGGCTGAATCACACTTACTGTGTAGGGGACTGGTGATACTACCCAGCTTCTTAAGTTGAAGTAGGTTTCGGGGTTCGACAACGGGACCTACTGATGAAAGTTGAGTGTTTATACCGCAGAACCATATTTCTAACATAGACAACACTTAACCATGGTACAAGTACAGACTTAATGAGTAGTTATTCCTCGCAGTCTTCCACGTCTAACGAAGACATGACTCTATAAGCAGAAATTAAGCAGTGAGCGTATTCGAAACATTTAATCATACCAAACGACTAGATAACTTACTTTAAGTATTTAGTGCACTTTTATTTTACTTTAATACCTACGCAGTTTTCTATATATCTGGAATTATTTCACATTAATAATACCACACATCATAAAAGGCATATTTGAAAACCGTTGCTGTCATTAGAATTTAATAATATAAAATATTAGAACAGTATGAAATAGATTAGAAATTCACGTGACAACTCTAAACTTAGCAGTAAATTGTGCTTGAATAAATACCACACTGGTAATATATCCACACCACGTGTATACAAAAAACCACTTGTATAACCGTGCAGTTAACAATGAGCCACGCTTATTATTTGAGGGCTACTGGTACTAACTGGCTGTTCAAACATTGGTAGGTGGAGTGGGGTTCAAGGCGGTGACCCAGTCTTTAGGGCCCGAGAATCTACACCACCTAAACATGATACCACACGAATTTTAAATGACGTCGTTAGTAGTTGCACAGGTAACTGAACGGATTCCAACAAGAGCACCTAGACAATGTGAAAGGTATACACCTAAAAGACAATTGGAACTGAAACTTCACAAGGTCGATAAATGACAGCCGATCATGAGCGACCGAACTAGAATTCCACTGACTACCACCCCACTGTTCACAATCCTATGGCCTAACTGGCACTTAAGCACAAACCAAAGAAATACAATTAAATGCCACTCAATTTGTTTATCCCAGGTTGTAAACGCTTTCGTTTCACTATCTCAGAGCGAAATAAATATAGGCAGTCAAGTTCCTACTGGTTATGAAACATTGCGATATGAAGCAATCGAGAACCAACCTCATAGGTAATTTAAAAAAGCGTCTAGTTTTGAGTAAATATGTATTACTATAGTTTCAAAGTACATTATTCGGCAGCATTCATATCACTGTGCAAAATAATAACTTCTATAAGCTCTCGAAGGCTTAAATTTTCCGTTTTTACTACAAGAATATTGCCATTACCTGAAATCTTTTAGAGTTTGTCAACATACACATACTATAAGAAACTTCGACTTCAGCAGGACGATTTTCCGAAAGCACATTTACTTTAGTTGAAAGACTGGAATTAGATGCTCTCCACCGAGGTTCACTTAGCACTGTACAAAGAGATCTACAAAGTTTGAACCTATAATTTTCCGCCAACCTGACAGACTGAGTTTTTTCTAATAAAGGATTGAAGCTAAACGATATTTTCTTCACTCCCTTGAGGTTGATTTGTTTCAGCAGAGCTTTGGAAACTTTAGAGTCATCTATCGAAAGTGGAGTGCGGAAATAGCCATACAAACGTGGCAAGTGGCAGCTTTTCTTAAAAGGCATTCTAAAGACCCACACCACGTCAAGGTTACTTCTCCACTTTGGGAATGAGATTTCTGTTTGACGACAGAATGCTTCTAGTGTGTAGCAATCCTTTTCTACTTAGTGTCTTTACTTATCTGGTATATCTAAGCGATTCGGCAGAAGGCGCGGACTGCTTAAATTATCGGGCTACTAGGATTTCCTTTCATCAAAATGCTTAAACTCTTCTAAACTTCTTATTATTTTTATCGTGCGATTATATAAGATGACAAACATATGAACTTATGCGCGTGTTTAGTTAGTTTTCGACAATACTGTATGCAATTCTTGGAGGAATTAAGGAAGAAATGTACAAAGCTGGTTTTCTCTCTATATGGAACAACACTAGGACAAATGATATACGTCAGATTATCGCCTGGCATGTAAGGAAATATTTTGGAACTGACTACGCCGAAAACTACTGTAATATATGTTCACATATTGTCTGTAACCAATCAGTCAAATCCCTAAAAAACCAATACCTAACTATTATTATTATACAGTTCTCTTGAAAGTCCATTCTGAAAATTTGCAGTCTATTAATTAACAGAAGAGTATTATGTAGATCCAGTCTCACTTTGCCTATTTAAATGAACTTTTGTTTTTCATACTATTCGTGGGTTCATTACATCTACACCGTTGCGATTATCCCCATATAAATTGACTGCTAGTCATAATACTCGTCCCCAAACGTCGCAAATGATTTTAGTTTTACCCTGTGAGTATTCACATCAGTCTAACTACTCGCTTGCTGCCTGCAACTCTCGACAGATTATTAATTTTTCACTCCGTTAGTAGTGACACTTAGTTTTTAACCTTGCTTTTTGCTCAGTTTCGGCTCTTACTTTGGTTTCTTTACTTTCTTTCTTTCTTTGGTAGATAGTCAATATGAAGTAGTTTGCACAAGACCGTCCCACGCAAAGCCACCTCCACCCCATAATCAAATCAATCCCTGTACATTCTGGATATCGAAGGCGATGGTGGATTCAATTCGGTTTCTGTCATTTCATTTTCAATCAGTAGGTACAAAAACGTTTCGACGCGCGCTTCTTGAATAAGACGTGCTTTTCCTCTCTAACCGGAAATATCCAATTTTGTGAATTATTCGTTTGGGAAACCTGATCATCTTACCCGGCGAATTTTATTCAACCATTTCTTCCTCACCGAGCCTGTGTGTGGTACTTCCCGCTGTTTCGAACTACTTCCAAAGCTTCAGGTGCTACTTCTGTAGCAACATCCTCCTCACTCTTTCAAATAAACAGGACTTGTGGGTCTGTTACGTGTTTGCTGTGAAGCCGAATAACCCGAAAGTTGCAGGTAAAGTCAAAAGGTTTTACTTACACACTTTTTCCTTCTTTTCTGTGCTCTCTATTGTCTTTTGCTGTAAGTCTATCGGACAAAATAACAGTCTCTTATTATTTAATCACCAGTAATAATTTAGGAGTAAAATGACAATAGATTCTCACCCTAAAATAAGTAGTGGGACATCATACTCTGTAGTCACCAGGGCGTCAGCCAAACTGGGCAAACAGGTGAAGCTGATGGACTCACGCATACCGGTCTTGAAGACCAGGGCTGATATTCCCAGCTCGTACAAATTACCCATGTCGCCACAGTCCTACAGTGAGGCTGTGCAAAGTCAGCCAAGTGGATGAGGCTCCACCCCTGTTAACATGACTAGGTTAACAGATCCGAGCGGGAAAATTGCACTAAGTGAGAACTGCATAACACCCATCCCCATGGTAGACCATGAAACAAATAGGAAGTCCAAAAAGAAACGTTCACGATGTCTCAAGACGACAAGAACGCTCCCCAAGAAGGCAGACGACTGCACGGTCTGCACTTCTGTTGTCGAACAAGCAGACTCTGCTTTCGAATGTAACTTTTGCAAGCGATGGGTGCATTGCAGATGCGACAATGGGGTACCAAAAGCATATTATGACTTTATGCGTAGAAACCCATGCCAATGGTTCTGGTACATATGCCCGAGTTGCCGTCCTGATGTAGCCTCGCGTAGTCCTTTGAAAACTAAAGATGGTGCAGAAGTAGCGGGGAAAAATATGAAATGTTCGACCAGCACCAATCCGGAAATTAGTACAAATGCGCGTAAACCGGGGATACCAAAATCCTCACCGGTTAAACTTGTAACTCTCGCCATAACCGCTCCAGACACAGAGGCTGGAGAACCACAGGTCTCCGTCGTTGGAAAAAGACCCCTCTCGTCTGCCAGTAATATTGGCCACAGCATTGAGACACAAAAAAATACCCAGTCGAACCAGACGAACCAAAACGGTCTTAAAGGATATTACAAATGTGCGAGGACCAAGCCCAAGCCCACGGTTAGTAGATCAAATTGTGTAATCCTCTTTAACGTACCAGACTGTAGCAGTAGTCTGCTGAAAGATAGGGCCCTATTTGATCAGGAACAGTGGTCCATCTTGTGCAGCACACTGGGTTTGTACATCCAACCGGTAAATCTATGCAGATTGTACAAGGGCACTGCTGCACCTGAAGGCAAACCATCCCCACTGAGGGTAACATTGAGCTCTACTGAGGATGTTGAAAAAGTGTTACTGGCTTCTCAAGTCCTTTCTATAGGGAGGGCCTGTAATATACGTGTTAAGCCAGACAGGCCGTGGAAGGAAAGACGAATGGCGAGGGAGTCGCCAGAGCTCATTCCTTCTGCCTCCATGGTTGTGCATGGCATTCCCGAACTGGTGACTTGGAACGCCTGCGAAAAGCATTGTCATGATATACAACGATGGAGATGGCTGGCATCCCAGATGGCCCCGGGGAGTTCAGGGGCTGTCTCTATTTATAGACTGCCTCGACCCTCTCATCTTATGTCACTTAACACGCCGCGTCTGTTAGCTGTCAAGTTCAGCTCGCAAGACCAGTTGACTACCGCTCTCCAAAGATGGTACGAGACGGGAAAAGCCCATAATAGATTTGATCGAAATCCGCTGCATACCATCAGGAAGGCTGGATTCACTGAAAATGTCAGAATGGATACTAGATGGGGCCCTGATGAGAAGTCTTCTAGACTGGATTACGTGCTCACTAGTGACCAGCTACTAGTGGAAAACGTTCAGATCACGACTCCCATAGGTAGTAGTGACCACGCGATCATAGTATTCGACATGGTCCTCCGTGAGCGCTTACAGTGGGACAATACACAGCCCTATCTGTGTTATAACAAAGCCAACTACACCAAAATGCGAAGACTTCTGTCTGAAGCAAATTGGCCCTAAAAATGGGCAGAGCTAACAGTAGAAGAACACCGGAGAGTGGTAAAGGAGATCATTCACCAGGCGGTCTCAGACACTGTTCCTTTAGTCACACCAAAAGCTAGGAAGCAACGTTCATGGCTAAAAAGGGGGACACAACGCCTTCTGCAGGCGAAGCGAAAAGCCTGGTTCGCGTGGCGACGATCGAAGAATCAACCCGAACATGAAGTGTACCTTGAACTCAGGAATCGATGTAACATACGAGTCTGGAGCGATAGAAGGACATTTCAGGGAAACCTCGCCAATAAGCTTCTCGTGAACCCCAAAAGCCTATACAGGTTTATGTCCGAAAGAAAACCGACCAACCAGGGAGCATGCAATCTAGTGGGTTTTGATGGGAAATCTCTCACTAGTCTCGAAATGGCAGAGACATTCAGCCTAGCCTTTCACAGGCAACTAAACAGTAACGAGGATATTACCCCCACAGAACATCCAGTTGACATCGCAAAACCAACACGCGAAAGCCTCCTGGGTACATTTCAAATTACCCCGGCTATGGTACTTGCAAAATTGGGAAGGTTGGCTTCGGGAAAGTCTTCAGGTTGTGATGACATCAGACCATCTGTCCTGAAGCAGTGTTCAGAAAGTCTCTGCCAACCCCTAAGTGATCTGTTCCAACACTCCCTTGATGTAGGGAAACTTCCATGTGAATGGAAACGAGCAATCCTATCCCCTATCTTCAAGGGTGGTGACCGGCAGAATGCGACCAGTTACAGACCAGTTGCTCTACTTCCAGTGATATCGAAAATATTGGAAAGTCTCATTGACGACCACATGAGAAAATACTTCGATGGGACTAACCTTCTCCACGAAGCACAGCACGGTTTTAGGGGGGGATATCCTGCGTGACGAATCTTCTACTAGCTTGGAACGATTGGATACTATCCTGGGACGAAAAGGTACCAGCCCACGTGATCTTTCTCGACTTTGCGAAAGCATTCGACACAGTTCACCATGGTCTACTCCCTCACAAAATAAGCAAGGCGGATGTTTCTGGAGCACTTCTCGCATGGCTGACAGATTACTTAGGCGAGAGAGAATTCTGCACCAAAGTCAACCGCATCCGATCATCCTGGCACACCTCGGAATCAGGGGTTCCTCGGGGTTCTATCCTAGGGCCGTTGATGTTTTTGATTTTTATCAACGACCTACCCTCCCAACTAAACTGCTCTGCGCTTCTTTACGCTGACGACGTAAAGATTTGGAGAGCAATAAACTCATCGGAAGACTCAGATAGATTGCAGGCGGACCTGCAAACTCTGGGAAACTGGGCTCTGGCTAACGGAATGCATTTCAACCTAAAGAAGTGCAAAGTAGTGCAACTTCATTCGGGCAGGTCACAGAGTGTAGATTACACCCTTGGTGGCCAGAACTTGAGTTGTGTTCAATCACATATATATTTCACACATATATATTTCTTCCTGTTTATGCAGGAACATACCAATTGTACAGGCATGGATAAGTTTTTATATAAATTACACAATTTGATGTATAGTGAATTTACAGTTTGGTTGTTCTTTCTGACATTAGAGTCAGTCGGAACAGTCTGCTATAAAGTCTGTGTAGCACATAAAGAGATATAGAAATATTGTCTTCGCATTAAAAAAACCCAGACATCAGGTGAATGTAATACGGATATCTGGGAAAAAAGCTTGAAGTCAATTCTCTTATATAACTTTGTTGTGAGCAACACCC